TTTCCATTCCATTGACTTACATTATTTGAAAGTCAGATTTCTCTTCTAACTTTAAAATCAGAATCATCTTGAGTAAAAAAGTCTCTAGATAATCTGGATCATAAAGTAATAAAAAGGAAAGCTTGACATTCAAATTAGCAATGCAAAGGAAAATTTTTCCAGCATCTTCATTCTTCTCTCTTCTTTCTTCTTTAATCTATATTAAATGGTTGGAAAAGAATGACATGTTATTAATATCAAGAAAAAAAAAATTAAATATACGATTATATTATTACTATTAAAATGTTAGAGTGCTGAATAAGAGTATAAAAAAAATATCATACATCTTTTCAGCAAGATATGAAATAGAGAAAAAAAATATCTTTCAAAATGTTGCCAAATAGGCAATTTAAAAGATAAACCTTGAGTTAAGTCCGCAAATGTGACTAATATTAATCTTAAACGAGTATTTGCACAACACACAAAATCATAAAATAATTTCCACCCACACTGACATACATAGAAATAGAAATCTTATCATCTAAAAAATGTCACTCTAATCACAATCTCTCAACAAGTATATCAAAAACTAGTTTGTCGATGATGAATCAGTTTCATTTTTCTTCAAAAAAATAAACTTAACATTAAGACTTAAAACTAGGCTAGTTAAACTTACAATAGACTTAATCTAAAAATTCTTATAGATAATTGAAAAATAAAATAAAAAATAAAAAAACAGGGGAAATAAATATAAAATTATATCTAGATAAAATTAAAAAATTATTACCTCATTACCTTTCTTTTTACCTTTTTTTTATTAGTTGATTAGCAAATCGTAGTTCTCTTGCATCATCTTCTTTAGCATTTTCATTCGAGAAAAAAAAAGCAACACGAAAGTCTCTTACAAAGAAAAAAAAAGAGAATGCTTCGTGTGCTTAAAAAAAAAAAGAATATTCTCGAAAGAAAAATGCAAACGCGAAAGTTTCGAAATACTGTAGAATATTCACTGTCAGCAAAAGACTAGACCAACGTGCAAAAGGCATGCTGTTCATAGTTTCTTCTTTCTTCATTCTTCACTCTTCTTTTTTCTCTCTTCATCCTGATGGAAAGGTCAAAGAACTCTCACCTCAATTCGAGAAATCGCTCGATTGCGACGAGAGTCGAAGACCTATTCTTCTCTCTTCATTTCTGCTACTCTTGTTCTCTTCTTTATAATTCATTCCTAAACACTTGGAAATAAAAAAATACACAAATAGCATTGATGAAGCAACAAAACAATGAACATGGTCATGATACATAAATGACAAGTTCAGAGATGATGATTAATATTACAATACTATGAAAATTATAACAATCGTATGATAATTCTTTACAGGTATATATGTATATATAAATATTTTATCATCATTATAAAATAAATTTTTATCATTTTTAACGTTAAGCAATAACAATGTCATGTACCATATTTAGAGGGCATTATGAATATAATTATATGTATAGATATATATATATATGAATCATTTCCTATTATTCATATACATATGAACGAAAATATGCATTACATAAGTATACATTTATAAGTAATCGGGTTAATGAAACATTTGATGTATATGCATTACGAACAAAAAAGCGAGTTATGTACACGTGAGTTAGTAGAAAATGATATAAATTGTTTTAAAAATATTTTTGAAGAAAGGCATACGTTCTTAATTCACAAAATATTTTCCAATTAATTTTTATAAAATAGCAATTATAAATTATTCTTTACAATAAATTTTTTTTACCAAAAAAAAAATTTATATTAATTAATTGTTCACATTTTTGTGAGAAGCACGTACGCCTTGAAAGAGTTAAGAATGTAATTACACTACTGAAGGAAGCATTTCATGCAAGACGAATTATCAAAATAATGGCACAATGTAATAAATATTTTATTTTTATTGGTGTTGTTGAGGATGTCGCTCACACATTATCGTTTTCATATATATTTCTTTTAATTATTGCAACATACGAATGACCTTCTTTTGGATGTCAGAAAAAAAATAAGGCAAAATTATTCAAATCAAATGCAATTATTGAAGTATTAAAAGTAAGGTATTATTGATATAAACAAAACAAAAAGTAATGAATTGGTTTTACGTGCAGTTGAGAAAATGAAACCCCAACCATTTGTTTTGAATCTTAGTAACGTAGTTTTCAAGAGAGGCCAATCGTATGTTATTTCAATTTAAATTCCATTTAAAACAATTATTTGAGATAATATAAAATAGAAAGATATAAAGTGCAAGCGTGCCATTTGTGTGAACACATTTAATATAGTCCCGTAATTCAAATACGATTATCCAAGAGTATCCTCCCTTTTTTTTGTGTATAACTAGTTTAATAAAATCACTACTAACAGAGAAAAAAAAAACACGAACACGACTACAAAGGGTGGTATCTTCACTCTTGTATTGGGTAATCTCTTGGGAGTATAGTGATACAACAAACGAAGATGATGCTTTCGATTTTATTTCAAGGAAAAAAAATATTTTAATACATTCTTCTTTTCTTCATTGAAATATAACAAAAGTATCGTCTTTTTTAGTTGTCACTTTTTATTTTTAACATAAATCAATATTTAATCAATCTACACGTTGCAGATATCGTGGTACAATATCGGTTCTACAAATAAATACCATCAAAAATGTTAATAAAATCAAAAAGAAAAATATTAACAACTGTTTCGAATTTTGATTAAATTACTTAGGGCACAGAAAAATAAAAAAAAAGCAAATAAACTAATGTAAATAAAGAGGTCAAAGCCTCGATATAAAAATAATGATTATAACAAAAATAAAGAAACTCGATTCAAGGTAACAAGTCTCTGATGATAGAAAAAAAAAACGACCATCGCCATCAATGCGAGCAACTTAGAATTTTTTTTTATACGATTTTGTCTCTAAACCTTTGTACTTTTCATTTAGTCACGGCTCGAATGTTAATTGAATCGTGAGAACGATCTCTTGCAATTTCTTTCCGACATATTTGCAATTGGGAGACAATTGGTGGAAAGTGCAGTTTCAACTTCTAAATAAGAGACGATTGAGCACTCTAGTTTGAAAAATAACGAGTGGCATCGACCGCTAGCATTGACAGAGAGGTCGTTCCCTCTCTCTCCGTTTGATTACCTTGAGTTATCCCACGTTGGATCATCGCTTTTGATCATCAACCTACAGGCCCGTCAAAAAATGGATACATGATTCGCACGTGTCCTCAATTTTTACTTGACCGCTAGTAAATCTTCACCATCTGTAAAACGATCGCGTCACGTACAATATATATTTTCTCTCTCTTTCTGAATTACGGCATCTGTCACCGACAGCTGTATTACGGCAGATGTAGAGAACCATCTAAAAAAAATTCAGCAGCTGCTGAAAATTCGCAAGTTTTCAGTTAAACTTCCGGCCGAGATCCGATTTAATTACATTTCATTTATACCCGTTAATTAATAACGAAAATATATAAAACATTGAAATGAATAAATCAACTTTACTAGTAGTTAAAGCGTATAATCTATAAACGAATCTAGGTCATACTCTCTATGGTTTCTTCTTCTCACGCCAACTATTTTGTTCGAGAGTTCATTAAAGAAGCCGTCCATACTGGGATGAGAGAGCAGCAGAGTATTCGTCAGCAGTATAACTAATACACGACGACCCCAGCGATTTATCTTCATACACGAGCTTTTCTAAATATTCGTGTTGGAACCTCAGGGGTCCACTATACATGTTTAATAGTGCACACAGACGTTCTCTAAGCTCTGAATAGAGCCCAAGGCCAGCAAGTTTTCGTGGGAACGTCTCGACCAAATCGTTCTCCTTTTTCCCTTCTCTTGCTTCTTCATCTTAAAGATCTTTACAAGTTGCTTTGGCGAAATCGCGGATGTCTGCTACCGAGTAAGAAAGAGAGAGATAGACTTTTTGCGACCAAAAGAATGTCTTTGGATAAAATTCCGAGATTGTGAATGCTCTTTTCCCTTCATTGTTTTACGTTATTCAAACTTTGATTTAAACTCGGTAAGGTTTTGCTGCTTCTATTTAAATAAAGTCTCATTTCTATCGATCTCACCTAAAGATTAAAAAGGGGAAAAAACCCTCATCTTCCATTGGTGAGAAGCTAACACGGAATGCTATTAAATTCACGTTAAGAAATCAACTCTATTTCGTATTTTATTATATAACTTTAGACCGCGATAGCAAGTGTATTTTCACTCTGTTGGCTTTTTCCTTATTCTAGAAACGATATTTTAAGGAGAGAGAGGTCGCGACTTCACACGATGCGAAACCAAGAGAGGTTAAATAAGAAACTTAAAATTACAAAAATAATCAGATTTAAAGATGAAGAATTTTTCTCAATTGATTTCACATCATAGTGAAGTTAATTATTAATTTAAAAAAAAAAGAAAAAATTGATCCAATACATAATAAAAAAAAATTGAAAGAATTTTTATAGAATTATGAAAAAATATAATTAACGTGCCCTGACCAAAAAAGTACATACACTATAGCTCTTTCAGAGACCGTGTTACGCTTGAACAACACCGACATCTCGGTTGTACCACGTTATCCAGCAACGAAATAAAAAGCCTTCACTCGCCTGCGCAACGGGCACTTTTTAATTATAATTATCCATTAAAAATAATTTTCATTTCACCCGATAAATGCTTTTTTTAAATGAGTCACAACTCTAACAAAGTCATTAAAGAATTTACAAGTCAATTAAATAAATTAGAAAATTTATCAGAAATAATGAGACTCATTTATAAAAGCATTGTTTACGATACTAAAATTTTCAAATATTTGCAATTAAATATTTTACTATCATTGAATATTAGCATGATAATATTGTGAATGAATTTATTTTGTTTTTAAAATAGCTAAGAGTAATGATAAAATGCTGTTAAAGCGGAAATTGATCGATTACGAGTGCCTGTTGGTACGGGAGCCGTAGGCGATTGGTAAATGGTCAAGTGTGCCTACCTTGAGAGTCGCGGTGGGCCTGCGCGGCCTCCTGGGCAGCTAAAAACACTTCATCAGTTGCCCCCGGAGCTCCGGCTACCGAACTAACTACTCCGCCTGCATTACTTCTATCTCCTGTTACATGCCACGCTGCGAGACCTGTTTATTCATTGGCAAAAAAATGCATACGTGAATGAGTCATCGAAATATAGTAGACATAAAAATGCTTTTATGTAATGGAATTACATTTATTTCATGACAGAGTCACTAACTTCTATTACAAATAACGTTGGCAAGTAAATTGATATCTTTTATACATTTTGTATATACACATATATTTTATTTTAATTTATTACATATATATATATATTTGGTATTGTATGATTTATATATTATTTTTATTACGTTGATGTATATTTTAATATAAACTATGATCAAATAATACTGTTAGTTTCAGTCTATTTTGAACTACGTTATCATGGAAATGTTTTCTTTTCCACTTAAAACTCTTCGTTAAGTAGATAATAAATAATAGACATTCAAAACTGCTTGACATTAAAGCGTCTATTACCAATCAATATTTAAATATTATTTCAACCAGTAATTGTATTTGAAAATTATATTATAAGTTTTATCTACAACAAAAGATTTAAACTTGAATATTATTATTGCCTATGTGGCACTACAGTGCTTGGTTGTCTCCATCTTCGTCTGACGACATTTAATTTTTTTAAATAAAACTGAAGAGTAGATCTATTAATTCCATACATTTCTGATGCTTGAGTTGTACTAATGCCTTGCTGTAATATCGCTTCCAGAGACATTTTCACGGAATCTAAACTATATTTTCTACCCTGTTTGGTGGCAAGAGACTTGAGCAACGCGGATACATCAACGTCGGGACCACGTCTTCTTATATTCGGTGTCTTTTTATAATCGAGGAAATGAGCAGTCCAGTGGGTTCCAACACCACCACCACTGACGTTTATGTCACTGTCAACACCTACCGAATTACCTCTCGTACAAGACCGCGCTCCCGCCCCCCATCCTGTAACGAGGAAACCCAAGCTCTAATGTCGACCAAGTTATTTAACTTCCCGTATGAAAGAAAAATCTAAAGAAAATGGTAAATTAAAAGTGCCACGTATCGCGATTCTATGTGCGCCAAAGTACCAGGCTCGACCTGGATTTTTAATCAACTCCAGCTGATAAGACTAAGTCTGATTATGAAGTTTTGTATATTTTAATAATATATGTGTATGTGTATCTGCAAATATCTCATTACAGTGCCAACGTTCATAAATTAGATTCGTTTTTTGTTTGAAATTAGAATGTAAAATAATAGAACTTAATAATCATAGAAGAGACTCTGTGAGTTTCGATAATCGAGGAATAAAAATATCGATAACAATAAAATGAAAATGAAATTTAAACAAAAGCTTACCAGGATGTTGAGAGGGATCGTGTGAGGGACCGGCTCTGTTGTTATCTTGTTCCATTTCATTGAGGTCATTCATATCATCATCAAGCGTTAAGTCTTCTACGCTCTCCTCAGGATCCTCCAGGTACTCAGACTTTGGCTCAATCAGGCTATCATTAGGCTCAGGTTTTTCAACTGGCATCTACAAATAGAAATTTTATGTTGAAAAAGCTCTCTTAATTACACAATTATTAATTAAAACTACTTTTTATGTGAGAATAAAATAATTATATAGTTATGTTAGTATAATGTTTCGTGCTATTTCCGCACTGTATAACTCATGGAAAAAGATAATCCAGTTGGATAGTAACACGATAATTACTCTACCAACGAGCGAAAGAAGAAAAGTGATTAGTACTTGACTTCCATTAGACGTTGGTAAAGTTATTCAATTAGCAAAACTCATTTTCAAAATTAATTTTTTACCTGTAACATTTCGTCGGCAGGTTTTGTCAATTGTTGCATAAGTGCCGACCTTCCGAGAGAATCCGTTGGGTCAGCATGGGATTTTTCGTCAGCTACGGGTGCTACACCAAGAGCAGGCACACTCATTTGTTGATGAGGCATATCGCTCGAGTTTGAGGTTTCATGGTTTTCTATAGGATTATCATCACCAAGACTTCTTCTTCTGAGCCTTTTTCTTTTTCTGGCTGTTGGACTTTGTGATCCTTCCCTGTAAATCAACATAATCAGAAATTAATATAAGAAATTGATTCCAAGTACAAGATATATACTTTATCATTCAAAAATACGTCGCAAATTACCTGGAGGAAATTCCTTTAGGTAATTGTGGACTTGCTGAATCTTCAGGCAAATCTCCTACTGATGTTTGTGCCAAACTTTGTCTAGGAACTTTATTTTTTTCTATTGTGAGGCCGGAAGACGCATGTGGAATGTCCAACGATGGTGCAGTCGGTTGTGGAACTTTTTGTTGCCTTGAATCTGTTTTATTACTAGTACTACCACTACCTCCCGTTTTACTCTCCGAAAGGCCCTTAATTTGGAGGGACTCAGCCGCCTTTAAAAGTGCTGCCAATTGGTCTTGGGAAATATTTACTTCCCCTCTGTACATGTAGTCCATCATGGCCTTAAGTTCTTTAAATTTAACGTCTTTAAGTATAAAGACGGGGTGCTTGTCATAGTGCTCGCTGAGGAGGCCCTGAAAAAATAGAGAAATCATTTATCAATAAAAGTGTGTGGCACATGATATAGAAGCTAAGTGTAAGCTTGACTATAATTTAATCAAAGGGTATGAATTCTACTTCCAGGGCAAGTGCCCTGCAAAAACAGCCATCTTGCTTTCCCTGTATTGATCAGGGTTAACCGTCAGGAGGGGATTTGGATTGCTCCCCACCCTCTCCTGTTTCCAGGCCTTTCCTACTTAACGGCCATCTTGTTTCAACATCAACTTCTCTCTTTCTATTTGGTATTGATCTAACTCTTGTCGAACCGGTGAACCAAAGTGAACATAGCAATATCGACCTGATTTCTACGCTTCTTTTTTTTATCAAATAATCTAATCAAAAATAATCCTGAATGGAATTTAACCGTTTTTTCTTATTCTACCGTTATTATTTAGGATAAAAATATGATTAGAAAAAATTTTACTCTATAAATTTAATATATAAGATGGAAAGTATTGAAAGTTAAAATTAAGAAAATATTAAAATATTAGATAATTACCTCAAAGTACGGACTACACGCGGAGAGGACTACTTTGTGGGCCTTTAGATACTTCCCCTCCGCTGCCAAGGTGCAGTCAACCAGTGTGCCGCTCTCTAGCAATGTGTCGAAGTTTTGGATGAGCGTGGTTTGGTGATTGTTCCACCTAAGGCAGAACTGTTGATCATCCTCCATTTCGTCGTTCTTTTGTTTCAGCGTTGGATCGATGAAAGTCAGGATGGACTAATGATATTAATAATCAGCAGCAAGGCGATGTCCAAAGAATCAGGCACAGAAAAAATAAAGAAAATATTTTCATCAGTCTTTTGGCACAAAATGTTATCTTTTCACGATTGCATACATCTGAGCAAGATCACTACGACCCATAAGTTATTTGACTAATGAGTGGTGACGCGACGCGAGCAGAAAAGCTCCGTGACGATAGAGCTAAGCTTCCAAAATGGCTGTATGATGCAAGCGCGTCCGGATGGTCTGGTCTTTTCCTTTGTGCGTGTTCTCCTAACGGTAAAGGTTAGAAGTGGGGATGATGCGGGAGGGAACGCGAAAGCACCACGCAGGCGCACCATGGAAACTTCGAGCGACAACTGCGCCTTGATTCCTGCGCACATAACACAACTACCGGCTTTACCAGGGATGACCAAAAATTTTTATGAACCCCAGACATTCTTTGAATCATTAATGCTCTAGAATAAATAATTATCAGTTATCATCACCATAAAAAATACCATGAAATCAAATTGATATCAACTATTTTATCATAAGGAATAATAATGACAATCCAATCTTAAAATCAACGAGAGATAAAAGTTTGAAATTGATTTCGAATGAACTCAAGATAATAAGAAATCGATTAAGCGAGAATTTATTCGCGCAAACGCAATAATGACGTTAGCGCGGTGGGAATCAAAGCAACGATCGTACAATGATTATTAAACGCTTGCGCGTAAGACATTGCATAATCTATTTATATTATTATCATACAGGTAATTTTATAAACGTGACTTTTATGAAAAGCGGAAACATTCATAAGAATATTTTTTTTTCTAAACGCTGATACGAGTGAAAGTACCACGTGAAAATCAGTTATTTGAAAGTATGGTATTCTTGATCGAAGCAGAAATGAATAGAAAGGAATAAAAAAATTAGGTCGAACACGCGCGCGCAATGGCTCCCTCATTTATTCGAACCCTGGCACAAAGGTTATTTGAGATTCCCCTCTTCGCCTCTTCAACTCCCCCTGGAAACTCGACAACGGGGGCACTCAATATGGCCGGCAAACGGGGTCGCGCCCGGACAAGATGGCGAAAACTCTAATGAAAATCATAGATGAAAGATTTTTTACAAAAAAAAAACCGTCGTAAGCCCGTAATCACTGTTATTTACGACGATAATTAATTTAGGAAATTCAGATTAGTATGAAATTTAATACTAAAAGTAAAATAGTACTCAATTAATCATTTTAACGAGATTTTCCAGCAATAATCGCGTCAATATTAAAATGATACCACACTTCACTAAATAAAACTACTAAATACATATAATTTATAGCTCAATTTATAAAGCGTTAGAAGTTAATTAATATTAACTAAACACTCACCAATAATTAAATATAAAAGAATCTAATATCACAGTAATAAAGTTCAACGCGAAACTTAACTACACCCTGGAGCTTCCAATGCGACGTGTATTCTAAGCGATGCCCTTCACAACAATGGCGTACTACTTCGTTTTATTACCCCACCAATTCGAAACGCCGTAGCAACGCCGGCAACGCAGAGAGCACTAGTGTTGCCATCAGAATATGAGAGAAATAAATTTTCCGAGAAGCTTCAGGCATAAAAAAACGAATAGAAGAACGGTTCATGGCAGAAAAAATAAATCAAATGAATCCAAAATATATGAAACAATAAGATGAATTAAGTGACAACTTTTTATTATTAAAATAAATTTTGAGAATAAAATAATAAACCTCTTCAAAAATTTGTGACTTAGTTATCAAATGACCACATATTCTTTGAATTTTTATGTTAATTATGCTTAATTTAGACATTAAACAAAATGATAATCATGAATATTTATAATACACCTGTTACAGATTATGACAGCCTATTATCAATTAATTATTATCGTAAATAATCATCGACTTTTTAATTTGCTAACAAATAAACATAATTTTCATTGAGATTAAGCCGCATGATATAATTTTCCTTGAACTGAAAAAAAGCAACAGATCAATTGTAATAACGCGGTTATAAAAATAATAATTAATTATAAATAATAAGTCAGACAATGAAAAATGATTATCAAGTAATTTACGTACATATATGGAACAATAAATTTATTTACAGTGATATCACGCAATTGTTAAGTCAATGCGACAACATGGAAAATGTTTCACACAAAGCTGTTCACATGTGAGGAGCGAGCGTACAGTAATGGCGGAGTAGATGAAGTCATTGAAACAAAATGGCGAAACAAAAGAGAAAAAAGCGCGGACAAAATTATGTAATAATGTGAATGACGATTTAATATTATATTTAATCATTAAAAAATCACTTCGAGGAACAAGAAAAATATGAAAAAATAGATAACACAAATCACTTGAAGCGAAAACACACATAACCGTAAGGTATAGAAAAGGACGCCGCGTCACCACTCACGTTTTTCACACATTTTTATGATAATTCACGATTTTAATATGACAGCATGCTCAATTAGGTAGAATTTTACTCACCTACGTTGGCACAGTCTATTATATATCACAAGATAAAATTTGTTAGATTAACTACGCGTCCGGGCAATCCGGTCCTCAGCGTCCACTATCCGAGCGTCGTGGGTTCTTTTTACACAATGGCTGAGCTGCGACGCGTTAACGATCGACCACACTTCTCTGCTTCCAAGTAACCAGGATGCACGGAATTCAACGCTAGTTGGTGGGGAGACGCGGCGCAATAATCGCGAAAATGTAAAATGCGCATCGAGTTGAATCAGACGGGGGAACTACCACGTAAAACATCGCAGCGCAGCATCAATAGATACCTGGAACCCTTTCTTCAAAAAATTGTCAACGTTTGTCAATTTTTTCAACATAAAAAGGCGGGAATTTGAATATAGAGACAATTTTAATCAAAGAAATTAAAAATAAAACATTTATATGTGTCAAAAAATGGTGTAATTATTTTGCAAAAATTATTATTGACACAGGGAACAGAATGTTTGTTTTTTTCCTGATGGTCCTTCGAACAACATAGAGAATCTGATGCTTTTCAATAGAGAACTCGCGTCGGTTCGGGTGGTGGGAAAAGGCGTGGGTTTCCGTTCAATAGTATGTTCACCGCGTAGCACAGCCGGCGGGAGAGATGCGAAGAGGGAGGGAGAAGTGGAAAGCCGGGAAGAGAGAGCCGAAGGAAGAGAATCGGGGTCCACAACAAAATCGCTTAATCGCTTTGCGCCACCGTCCGCTGCGCTACGGGAACGCAAACGGAACCGCGGCACCTGCTCTCTCGTGTCTTCCGCGAGAGACTCAGCTACACTCGGCGCTCGTCTCACGTCGATGTGTGTCGTGTTTTCATAACCCCGGCACAATTTAACTGTTTTTTCGTTAATTACATCAAAACTATCAAGTGACAGCTGTCAATAGGCATCGTTCAGATTGTTTTACGTGATAATTGACTACTGACAGTGTGGATTAAGGAAATTAATCAAGAAAAAACATATCAAATTGCTAGTTTTCTAGTACAGACATTTATATTTTATTGGAGTACAAAGCGGGCCTATTAGGGCCCGATTTTACGTTTATTACTCATCATTACGTCTTTTCTACGAGCTGATTTGTATCACGGGTCATGGTAAGGTATGATGCTCATAAATTATTTATAATTTTTCATTATTTCCGTTGTTAAAATAAAATAAATAATTTCTCCAAATCATTATATATAAGCTAAACTATTGCGGCATTTTGACAGTTATATAAAATTATATTCGCGTCTATTTGTAAAGTTAATTCCATGTACAGCGCGAAATTTAAATGATCGTTTATGTCATTGACGATGTTGAATGATAACGAAGGATTATTTAAGATTATAGTTATTTACTGAAATGATATAATTAAATGAAATTAATTAAGCAAGTAACATCAACTGAACATTTTCCTGATTATGAATAATGACAACTGGTTCCCGCCGCGGGTTTTAAATGCCCGAGGCATCAGTTCGGGTCACGTGTATTCAAGTTTTCGTCCAATAAAGATTGAACGCTGAAACCGGGCTAGTGTACGCACGATCACCAATCAGCCGATCTTTTACTGATTGGATCTTTCTCTGTTGTTCCCGCGAGTAAGTCTCTGTTAAGTTACGTCATTTCTGCTATACGTTCTCGGAGGTAATCAACTGCTCCTTTAACTATGATTGCGATCCATCCTTTTGGTTGTCTTGTTGTAGCTGCAGGAGGTCATCGTAATGTATATATAAAGTATGCACGTGTGTTCATGAAGCGAGTATGGATAAATAAAAAATAAAAGAGCGTAGGAATGATTCAATTATTGTTTCGACTTCTACTGCGTTGGCCCAGTTTTCTATAGAAAGGCAGGAAAACACAAATGTTATTCAACTGTAAATGAAAATGGTTTTCATATTGAAGTTGAATCAATTGATAATAGATATAGTAAGTAGATGTATTGTAAATGTAATGGTCAAGATTAAAAGGCCTGTTGTAAAGCTATAATTAATAACAGGAGAGATACACAAAAATTCTTTGGTTTCCTTTTGATCCTTATTTTCAACAACCGCAGTAGTTAGTTAGTGGTCTCTTGCAGTGATAAAGAGAAATGTTGCCTAGAAAGCAGGTCTTGACTTGAATCTAGGCCACCCCGATGCCGCCGTACACATTCTCCACAATTTTACTGTTCCGTCTCTCGGCCTTGCTCACTCGTTACATCTCATTCTTACAAGACATTCTCATCTTTTCTCAGTCTCCTCTTTCTTTACAGCTAGTCATCTTTGCTCGAGTCCTATAGAGCTTACAATTTTTCCTTGACGTGATGCATCATCACGACATCAAACCTATGTAATTTATTGCAAATAGAAAGGAAAGACAAGTAGTGTGTATGGATATATAAAGACAAATTTGAAAATATAGATGGAGAAATATCGTCGTTGACAACACGTTAAAGATGTTCACAAATGAAAAGAGGTAGAAGCTCTCTCTCGCCTTTCTTGTCTTTGTCATTTTCTCTTTGTCCCCCTCTCAACTGGAACTTGCTTCTTTCCCTCGATTTCCCTCCCCACCTTCTCTCTCTTTGGCCTCTTCGATTTTTCGCTCCCTTCTTTCTCCTTTCTATCTCTATCTAGAATCTCTCTTTCTTTCTTGCAATATCTACCGTTATTCATCCGGACATTTCTGGTCATTTTTCTGCCTTTCCTCTCACTTCTTTTTCTCCCGACTGAAAGCAAGAAAAAGATAAAGAAAGAAAACGGGAGACGCAGAAGAAGAAAATAAAATATTTAAAAAATGAGAAAACAGTGAGTTCTCTCTTCTCTGCTTTTGCTCTTTCTCTTCGCAGTGGAAGCAGACAACTTCTTCATCTCTTTTTTTTTCTTTTTCCCCCTATATCTTTCTTTCTCTTCCGTTCTTTCTGTCTACTCAATCCTCTCACCTCACTCCCGGCGGCCAACCCTCTCTCTTTCGCCTTTCACCCGTCCACTCCTCGTCTCTATACCGACCACCCACCACCCACATCCTGTTTCTTCAGCAAAGCCAACGAAGGAGAGCGAGAAAAAGAACCTTCACTTCTATATTCAGCCACGAATGAGCGACCCTTTTTCCCATCTTTCCCACTCTTCCTTCTTCACCTTTCTTTCTTCTTATACCTTTCTCTTCAGTCAGAGTTCAATATATTTTCCTCTAGAGAAAATCATTTTGTACCACTTTTTCATCTGGATATCATATAGCATCTTTTTCATTATCATTTCTCACTTACAACTTTTGTCATTTCCTCCCTACACGATTTTTCATCCAATTTACTCACGGAAGTTACAATATCTTTTGCTTTAATATTATCTACGTTTCTTTCATCTTTTTACTATAAATATTTTCCTTCTATTCTGCATTTTCAGTTGTGTTTATATTATATTTGTATCAACATGATTACACTTGTATATCATCCATATTTTCCTCAATCAACTTTAATACAATATCTAGCAAACGGAAATGTTCGGTCAATTCTTATTCCAACTTTACTTACTTGGTCTACAATCTTTTCAATTATGTGCTCTTATATTCATTGAACTTATCACTTCCTTTTATATTAACTTCATTATAGCCTCTTTAAAAACCCTTTACAACATGATGATTGATTATCGAATTAAGTTAGTTTTTCATACAGCAAATTGCTTTGATATCCTTTTTAATTTATTTTAAGTTGATTTATTCTAGTTTGAAGTTATTTCCTATCATCTTTTTCACTTTATCAGAATTAATCTACTGGATAATTGATACAACTGTTATTTTATTAATAACCTTGACAAGAAAATTTTGATTTCACTTTTGATTTGAATATGATCATAGTTTGCATTGCCATTCTATTCTACTAGTGTTCAACTTTCCTTCTCGTATATCAACTTTATCGAATTTTCAAAGTCACGACGTTATGCTTAATTAATTTAGGAGGTAATGGTTCTTGTAGTTATGACTTTAGTATCTATTGTTTATGAAATGATAATTAATTTAACATAATTAGTTTTTAATTATTTATTTATTTTTTACTAATGAATTTGATTAGACTTTAATGAATTCTTTATTATTAGTGAAAAAGATATGTTTATTAACACGAGTTATAAAGTATTTATTTTTATTAAATAAATTGATGGTTTTATTTATTATAGAGAAATCATTATTTCCTTTCGCTCTTTAAACTGCGAGCAAAAATAGGACAACTTCACCTTCCTGATACACCTCTGCTGTACTTTATTCTTCAAGTTGTACAATGTTTCCATCGACTGAGAATTCAATATTTACCTGCTGACAGAATAGAAGGAACATATTATGTCTTGACATTTATAAACTATAAACACTTTTATTCCTTATTATTTTATATTTTCAATATAAATCCTATTTCATGTGTATATCATATTTTTCACATTTCACTGTTATGTACAAATTGAGATGTATTTTAATTAATTAATCTTACTTTTATGCTACAATTTTTCAACAACTGTTTGAAGTGAACTATAAAAATACTTGAATTTTTTTCAAAATGCAGGGATACAAATGTATGTTTCTTTTCCATTTGAAAATATAGAAAATTCCATTAAATTTTACACAATTTTATCTGATTTTTTTCCAACATTTGCATCCTTTAAAAATTTAAATTTCGCTTTTTCATTATTTTTACACATATGAAATACCTTCTGTTGCTTTTGCAATGTCTTTTACTACCCTTTTTCATACATTTCCCTTGACAAAAACTTGAATATTTTTAAAACGAGAATTTTAACTTACATTTGATCCACAAGTATCTCAAAAAGTTCAATCTCTTCGATTCCCTAACGATTTTTCCAGCCCAGCCATCAATCAAGAAATTCTTTAATTTCTTTCTTTTTATTTTTCTTTATCATGCTTAGCTCGATATAGTAAGCTCTATCTTTATTTTTTTACTCACATTCTTCTCTAACATTTCTCTCGTCCTTTCTACACTGGAAATCGCATTCCCCCTTATCTCTCAAGTTTCTCATTGTCCGTAACAGCCATCTGTCTCCAGCTTTTTTATCCTACGCTTTCATCCCTTTGCTTCACCCCAATACAAAGAGTCTCTTATCCTTGTCCGCCCACCCGCGTTTGCTTCCCTTTATTTCGCTACCATCTTCTCTTCTATGTGCCTTTCCGAAGGGAATAGAGCTAAGGGAGCAGAGAAAAGCGAAAACACCCTCATAAGAGAAGCCATTTCCACCCTTTCCTTGGTTATTCCCACCTCTCTTCGATCCTCTTTTATACGTTTCATTTTTTTCCATAATACTCTTGTGATTTTTTCTAGTATCATAACATTGTTCCACGTCCTGATTAAACGTACAGAAAAATCATTGAAAAATTTATGCATCAATTTTATTAACAGATAAAGAGACGACATATTAGTGCACGTGTACTTAAAAACCCTTACTACCAAAAGGGTTTAATTGAAAGAAAAAAAAATCTCCCTGGTTCTATATTATCTCCTGTTGCAGTATATGCTGTTACAGAGAAAGAATTTACTATCTCTTTTTCTCCTACATAATCTTAAACGTGCGACCTTGAACGGCACCGACACGTCATCCCTTTACATAGTATTCTCTACTACGCATTATATCTTTCTAAACCCCTGCATGATATTCATACAGTTAGGGTGCGCTTTCCAACCCTTCAAACTATCTTCCCCATTTTTCTTTCTCCTTTTTTTTTACTCCCTAACACAAACATCTACGTTAAATCTTCTGCCATGTTAATGTTTTTTAAGTTTTTTCTCTGACAATATAATTATCTAGGTCTCTATTTTTAATTTTATACAATTTTTTTTTTTTTTTTTTTTTTTTTGAAATTATTATAGTTTTTTCTGTTTATTATTAAATAATAAGTTGACATTTCATTAGTTACTATTTAACGTTTTACATTTTCATTTTGTTATAATTAAAATATTCTACTTTTATAAAACGTAAATGCTTAACTTTTATTTTTTGTTAAGACATAGCAGATAGAATTTATATTATTTCAACTCTAATCTGGCTTGAAATAAAAACAAAATCATATTTATATTTGACTTGAAGGATTAATAACTTGGATCAAAATATTTTCAAGACAAGTCTTCATTGCATTTAATAGGCCAATCTAAAAGAAGAAAAAAAGATCTTTTTTTTTTTTTGTCAATCACATTTTGAGATTATTCTAATATTTTTTTTATTGAAAAAAAAAAATCTATATTCAAGTTGAATTCTCCTAAAAGCAAATATATTTTACGACATTTCTTGAAAGAAGTTCTGAATAAAAATCTGTGTATACCAGGTCTCGAAATTTTATCGAAAATTTTGTCACATTGATTTTATTATAATTTTTAAAGAATAGCGTGAAAAATATTCAAAGCGGGAAATTGTAGGTTTAGTTCCCGAGGGTCAGACGATGCTTCACAACTAGTTTTATAAAATGAAAATATGGAACCTTGAATTTTATTTCGTTTTTTCCTCAATAAAATCGATGACAAGAAACACAATAGTAATAACATCGGAAAGGAAGTCGGAAAACAATTTTTCCCTTTCCAAGAAGAATTATTCACAGCAGTCGTATGTTGAAAGGAATAAAGCAGAAAATAACGATCAAGGATCATAATAAGGAACACAAAAAGATGTCCAAAGGAGAGACCAAGTGAGAAGAAAGAGATAGAAAGATGAGATAAATGAACGTAACGAGAGTAAATGAAGAAAAGAAAGAGAGAAAGGAAGACGAAGAAGGAACGAAGGGCACTTGGGAATGCAGTACTGTTATACCTTACGGTACAGACAGGACGGAAATTAGGACTACTTTGCCACGCTCCCGTGGACGACTGATTCATCGCTTTCTCGCGACGCGTTGCTTCTTTAGCCTCTTTTTGTTTCTTCTCCTCAATTACTAATTCATGCGGTACTCCATTCTCCAGGTTTCAGAGTAAACGAGGGAAAGCCCCCGGATGCCGGTCAACAATTTCAGCGCGTGAGTGACGTTGGAAAACGCGCGGATGAAAGTGTGATACCTACGTGACGTACTACGATGGAGGGAAAGAAAAAATTCTCGAGGTAGGAGTGTGGAGTAGAATATACACAGGATATGGAGGAGTAGAGAAAGGCGAGGGGAAGAAAAAACAGTTTGCTAGTCAACGTAGAAAGTATCTACTTCAGCTCATAAGTATGTGGGTAAAACTTGATGGGAAATTTTAAATATGAACGGCATTGAAATCCTCTCGAGAATTTTCTCCGATTTCTTGCAAATTACACCAACATCCATGCTTGGTTCCTTCCATCACTGTGTAAACTTTTTATTATTCTTCTTCTTATCAAATGAATCTAACTCATTATTTCATCAACCTGACTTTTTGTACTTGACTCTTTCAACATATACACTTACAATACATTTTCATCATTTGTGATTGATTTTTTCAAGGATCAACGTCTTGTGCTTATCCGCTTTTCGAGTTTGTTCATGACAAGCAGGACAAGGAGGAGTGTAGACTTCCTATAGTATCGACTTCCTTATCCCTCGAACGATGAAACTTTTTCTTGTTTCTTTCCTTCTTTCTTTTCTCTCTTGTCTCTTGTGAGAAACTCGGTTTTTAAGTCCGTTTTATCTTTTTTCTCTGTCCTCCTTTTTTCCTTTTATGCTCGCCATCAAGCTACAGTAGAAAAAGGAAATGGTTGATGATAAATTAAATGAAAAGAATAAAAAAACATTCAATGTAGTAGCAGCTTATTTTTATATGTAGTTATTTGATTAGAAATTCAAAAGAATATTGATAAAAGTCTCTAAAGATCGTGAAGGATAATTTTTATCAAATAATCATCATCAATATTAAATCGGCAAAATGTCAAAATTATATTTCCTTTTTAAGATGAGAGTTTCACACTAATCGTTAAGTATGCAAGTAATTTATTTGCGAGTGGGATTCGTCTGAGCTTGTAAGAATGAAGAAGATGATGAGAGAACAGAAGAAGAACAAGAAGACGAGGAAGAATAAGAAAATTAAAAAAAAAAATAATAATAATAAAAAGAAAGAGACATGAGATTGGTATCAAAGAAGACTTTCCAACGAGAAACTTGTCTCTTCTTCTATCTTGGTTGTGAGAGAGCTTAGTTTTTTCTTAGACTGGAGAAGTTAAGAGAGAAACGAGCTTGGAGCGTCCAGAGGTAGCGAAAAGGGAAGTGAGGAGAAGCAACGAAGAACGTCGATAACGTCGGAAAAACGTATAAAAGCTAAGGAGGAGAAGGACAGTGGGAGGTGAGGTGGAAAAGGGGCAAAGAAGAGCAAAGTCCCGTGGCCTCGGAGCATTAAACGAGAAAGAAAGAACTCGAACGAACGAGTGACAAAGACACGAGCAGGAAAAAAGGCAAGAGGAAAAGAACAAAAAATTGAGAGGGAACGAGAACAGAACTTTGCAGGATCTCAACAAGAGAGGAGAGACAAAGGAAAGAAAGAAAAGAAAGTATAGAGATATAGGGGCTGAGGAGAAGGGAAAAGGGCGGAGAACATGAAGAAAAGGGGCCACGAGAAAATAGCGTCTTCGTTTCACTGGGAAGGGACTTGAAGAGTAAATGGAAACTACAGGAGAGTGAGGGCGAAAAAGAAGCGAACAAGGGAGAATGCGCACTCATATATATATCTAACATATATTCGTGTGTGTATGTGTACATACAATTCATTCCCCGTTCGCGATGGAAAAGACTTGGAGCAAAAGCAGTAAAAGGGAAGAGAAATGAAGCCAACGAAAAAGAGAAAAGTGTTAGAAACATTATACGATATATCTGTATACATCTGCTCTATGTATGTCCACGAATCCATTTAAGTGACATTACATGGGGGAATATGTGAATGACTAGAAGGAACAGATAAAATTATTTGGTGAATCAAAAAAAGTAGGTAAAATGAGCTTGGAAAATGACAGGGGACTGGAAATACAAAGAACATTGAAAGGAAAGAAGATCGTAAAACGAAGGATTGGAAGATACTCAATTCAAAGGACAAAAAACTACTACTACTTTCGTTATTTTTGAGTCGACGAATGAAAAATTTCAACAGGGAAATCTTCATAACGGAGCAGTCGACTTTCATTTCTTTCCACTGATCCCTCAGGCTTTTTACATCCTCAAAAATGAACTGGATCTAGAGACATTCACATTCTTACGATTTATTTCCTGAAAAATCATGTCGAAAATAAGGAAAAATATTTTTTTGCAGTCAATTGATGAATTCTTAAGGATTTTAGCAATGTAAGGAGACAAATATTCTCGAATTGTTTAGGTGACTCTTTTGATTTGTTCAAGAATCTATATAACTGTATGATGTCAATCTTTTTTTTTCTTCGTCTTCTTTTACTTGAGTCCACAATGTCATTCTCGATCTCCTTAGGAAATTGAAATTCGTCGGCACTCGGTCGTTTCATGAGTCGATAAACGAGGCGGAAAGTAAAGGAATGAGCTAAGGGTGCAAGGAAGTTAAGAATGTCATTATATTTATCATGGCTTCGTGAATATTATCAGAAATTATTCAATCCAATTTTCAAATATCCATTACATTTACAACATTGTCATAAACACATTTCAGTAACTTGATAAAGATAACAACTATCAAGTGCAACTTTGAATGAATTAAAAAAAAAACTATGCATTAAGAAAAAACGTGTAATTTCGAGGTGATAAAAAATAGTGTAAAGAATGTCTTCTTGACAATTTCACATTTGTTTTTTCTTTTCTCTCATTTTATTTTTTCTTGAAATAAAAAATTGTCTTCTAATTCTATTCCTGATAAAATAATAAAAAAGAAACATATAAAATAGTTGTTGTAATTAATTGAATTATAGATCACTGGATAAACATTACTAAATGATTATAAGGAAAACAATTTATTTCCATGTTGCAGCCTACTCAATTACAAGTATCTACTAAAAAAGTAATTAAAAAAAAAATTCACATATATTCTGTAAATTCATGAAATTAACGCCTTAAACATGCTTAATTGTTTCTCTTGAAAAGTTAAAAAGGTTTTAAAAAGCAAGGAAGCGTTTAGCAGAAATAATTTTTTGTTTGCGACGGTAAAATTTGTGAAATATATATATTTAATAAAACGGCATCGAAGAGACAAGAAATAAAAAAAAATGGGACAAGTGAATGCTTTGGACTTTGCCACGCGAATAAAGACAGAGAGACAAGAACGTGAGATATAATGGGCACTCAGGTGTGTTGAGAAAAGAATAAACAAGAAGTAAAATCTTGCAGCCATATGTAGGATCTTGTGAGCTAGACACGACGAGATAGAATTAATAAGAAATGATAGAATGGGTAAAAGACGAGAAGTAGTAGCAGTCAAGCAAAAAGATGATGAAGAAATAAAGAAACAAAAGGAAGATCAAGAAATAAATGAGAGAGATAGAACGGAAGGAATGGAGCTTAGAGAGTATCCGTTATCGTCAGGCGTCTAAGCAGCTGATAAAAGTCCGTGTGCCGACGGACAGATAACGCAAATAGCCCGTATAAAGAGTCGCATAGATAGAAGCAGATAAAGCACAGTTCACAGAACAGGTGAATATCGCATCCCGACCAACGCCCCAACTTCGTCAAAGGTAGTTAACGCGTCGCGCTCTCTTTCTTTTTTTATTTTCCTTTTCGTCCAACTTCCAATTGTATCTCCTGTATATCTAGGTGTTTAATGATATTAAAGTAACGTCGCGTGTGTACAATCTTTCAAGAATTTCATTTCATCAAATCAGAACCAAAAGTAGTGTTTTCGTGATTGTTTCTTCAGTAATAGAAATTTACTTTACCGACTTGTTTTGACAAATTTTATTTTTATCTTTTATATAATTATAGGATTTAGTATCGTTCGTACTTACCACAATATTATTTTTTTGGAAAATAATTTAATTAGTCATGGATTCTGCACGTTATTGGAGTGCTCACTACAGGTATCTGCAACTTGGGATTATTATTTTTCTTTCTACTTCTGTAGATAGCGATGAAACGATTAATGTTAATGACGTGAAGAAGAATTACTGTTTGATATTAATTAATGTTTTGTTTTTGTGTTTACAGCGGAGGGATGGCCGGGCAGCACTACTGCCTGCGCTGGAACAATTACCAGTCAAATATGACGTCTGTTTTTCATCAATTATTACAAACGGAGGCCTTCGTAGATGTTACCCTGGCCTGCAATGAAGCTTCATTAAAAGCGCACAAGGTAGGCGAGTGTAAGAAGTAAAAAACGATAGAGTATATGATATCGAAATTGATAAAACTGCCTCAGGGAAAATCTTAGAGAATGTGTAAAAAGATTATGCGATATCTTATACTCAAGACTCTTATCAGCTTACGTAGATGCAAAAATGACGCAATAACTCGCAAATTGTGATTTATTACGAGTATGTTTATATCAATATGATTTCTTTGTAGGTCGTCTTGTCAGCGTGCAGTTCATATTTCAAAAAGCTTCTACTGTCAAATCCATGTAAACATCCAACGATAATTATGCCACAAGATGTTTGCTTCAATGACCTCAAGTTCATCATCGAGTTTGTCTACAAGGGCGAGATTGACGTGTCACAAGCGGAACTTCAGGTGAGAGAAATCGAGTTCGCTCGTCCGTATCTGGGATAAACACAACTCTTCTTTTCTCTCCTTTCCCGCGTCACGCTCTCTTGCCGTTTTTGAATGCGCAAATGATTTGAGTTGTAGGCGATAAAATTACCAACTGAGTTAGTCGGTATAACTTTCAACTTCCTACTTTATCATCAATTGTACTCTATTTTATTAATTGTCGAAAATTTACTTCTCACTTGTTGGTAACAAAGATTACTAAATTATGCATTGAAATCATTTCAAAAATGAGTGCTTTGCTTCCTCCTTCCGTCCTCATCCGTCTTTATCTACCGGATCTCGACTTCAGTTTTTTTCTCGTAAATAATTTGGTGCCCATAGTGAAAATCACTTCCCGGCTTTTCAACTGTTTCATCGTAAATTCCAAGGTGAACGAACCAGTCTGAGTCATTTGACAACAAAAACAAATCAAAGCACGATTATTAAAGAGGCTTTAAAAGTTTATTAACGCTTTAAATGGAATTATTTGGAACGTATGTCGTAAATAAGAGGTTAGCCATGCTTTACTCATCATGCTGAAGCCTACACAATACATGTAATTGATCAATTTTCTCTGGTATGTTTTAAAAAAATTTTTAGATTAAATTAGATAATAATAAGTAATTATTTAAAAAATATTAATTATTTATTTAAATAATAATATTATCTATGATATATATTCAAGTTTGGCGCCATAATCGATTTTTTGTCTATTTCCATAGAGTAAACATTTCCTCAAGATTTTCATGAATAAAACGTGGGGGAAAAATTTGCCGGTTTTTAATACCTCGTCGAGTAAGCCGTCTCGTGACTCCCGCACCCGGTTGAAATCAATAAAAGGACAGTCTTCGACCCCCATCTCGTTAGGACGCATTGTTCGGCAATCAGGCTACTCTGCGCGAGCTTGCAGGGGCTCTCAAATCACTTCCCTTTAGGCGCAACATTATATTTTGGCTCTTTGACTCTATCGTTCAGAGAAAATCGAGTCAATGATCTCTCTTCCTCTGTCTCATTCGCACAACAGAAGTCATCGTCACGCGCACGCATGTTTCCTCTACATATGACGTAATTACGCAACCGATTGACATCGGACAATTATTAAATTTATGGGTTATTTATCAATTATTCGCTTCAAAACTATTCACCAATGTCTGCTTCGTTTACTACAACTATACTCGTTCATATGCCAGACACTTTTTTCGATAAACCTCCCATAAATCATACTGAAAATTCATCCAAGTTTTTTTTTTCATTTTTGCTGGTTCCAAAGTGTAGTAATTTTTTTATTTTTTTCTTTATCGAATTCTGTTTGGATTAGTGATTGAATATTTACACGACGCTTTTTGACTCTGCTTCTCTTTCACAAACACGTGTCTCTTTTATCCACAATCTAAAATATTGTCAATTTCTGTTGATATCGATGCTACACAGGCAATTTTATCATCTAAATTTGTGTTTTTTATCATCATTTTACTATCAAATATTTTACTGTCATTTTACGCTTGTCATTGAGTTGTTTTTTTTTTATTGTCATCTTTTATTGGTCTACGATGATAGTTATTGAATAATCTTTTATTTACATGATTCATTAGATAGATTTTATTTTATCAGAAAATAAAGTTGCATCCCGGAGCAACGTGCAAATATAATTGGCAGTGATTTTTTCTCTTTTGTCCTCCGTTCAACCGTGCGCAACGTGCTGGCACGCAACGCCCCTGGCGAGTTGTTGGTGTCGGTTCTGCACACCCGTATTCTCTCTCTTATGCTAACTCTTTCTTTTTTCCATTCTCTTCATGATACACTCCTTCTTCTTCATCTTCTCCGTGAGATTCGCAAAAGCAAAAGGGCCGACAATGAAATTAGCACGATCAAAAAAAAAAACAGAAAAAAAATGCAAAAAAGACTTTTTATAATCAAAAAAATAATTAAAAAAAGCTAATTAAAAATAAATTTTAATTAACTAAGTATATATAATGCTATCTTTTATAAAGAAGTATAAGGGATTTTTTTCAAACAAAATATCTCAAAAGTTAATTAGCAAAAATCGAGAAAAAAAAATACGATAAAAGAATATAAATTGCGATTGGAAATATATACAATAGAAGCTGTAAAGGTTTGCAGAATTTCCAATCCCAGCTGAGCGCATCACGTGCTTCAAGGACTGACCTTGAACAAGCTATATATACAGATAAAAATCCATGACTGTGTGGTATATACACACATCGATATTTTTTCCCCTCTTGAACAGCTTAGCCTGCAGCGAGAGAAGCAACTGAACTTGGCTTTAGCTTGGCTGAAAAATACCTCCTTGGTGCATTTACTTGGTGTAGAACAGGAGGTCGAATGTAGTCTGTAGTAGTATATATCGTATAAAAGCAACAGAAGAAATAAAATAAAGAAATAAAGAGAAGGAGGAAGGATTCACGAATGACCTCCTTCTTGACTTGCAGTTGTAACATTTTTTCTTTATTCTTCCATCGTCCGTTTCCACATCGCTTTGTATGCATACCATATCATTTAAATTGTCAAAAAACAACTAAATAACTGAAATGATAAAAAGGATTCTTTAATGATATCATTTTTTTTCTTTTCATTTCTTCAAGTATTTTTAAAATTTATTTCTTACTCGGTGACACTACAAGTAAAATAAAAGAGAACAAACGTGAATGAGGATAATGCTCTCTCGTTGACCTGGTTCCGGATCCTTTTCTCACCAGAGAAACTCGGACACCTGACCAGGAACTGTTCTACGCTGCGTACTTCTCTCTACGTTCACTCTCCTTCTTTTCTTTGAGCATGGGGGGAGTGAAGTGTCGAGGGTACCGTTCCAGAGACCTTGAACTCTCTTTACACCGTAAACTTGCGTACATGCGGTCTAGAGATTAGTTATAGACTGCCGTAGACTAGACTTTTTTATTCCACGTGCTAACACGTTTAGATTCTAGGTGTGTTTGCTTGTCGAGTATCTAAGTATAGCCAGGTGCAAATACGTATGTTCCGGGTTGGGAGTAATATAGGCATTTTACAACCCCTTTAGACTTCCCTCCTGGGAAGCAACGATGAATATACATTAGGCTCGTGCATATACGCTGGAACAATGGCGAATTCTGAAATGGAATAATTAATGTTTCCTACGTTGACTGTACCCCTTAGTTGCTAGCGTTATAATCATTTTATCTTAATAATTCTCTATCATAAAGTTTACTCTCTATTGGTATTATTTCTTATAATTTTGTTCATTTTAATCCTATAACAGATTATCTGTGTATATAATATTTATTTATTTCTTTTCACGTGAATATTATTTTCTACATAATACCGGATTTGATTTTTCCCTGTTTTTTTCTTCTATTTCTAGACGAATTTATTATTAATACATCTCTCGGGATTTATTCTTCTTTGTTACACGATTTTATTGTTACATTTGAATGAAAACAATACACCAAATTTTATTTTTCGCTTATTCTTCTTTCTAGATTAAATATTCCATCATCTCAGCTTGAAAAGCTCGATAAATCAATATTATTAATATGGTAATTAATTTGGTATTTATTTTTCCAAGTTATTTCAAAATTTAATCAAGCTCATTTTTCATAAAATTACATGATAAAAAGCAAACATTTTATGCAAATTACTTTGCTTGAATTTTAAAAAATTCTTAATCCTTTCCCATATAAATATAATTTTTTTTTCTTCTTTTTTTTTTAGTCTGACCTTAATTAAAAAATATCCTAAATTCTAATATTAAAGTGATATGTATCATGATAATATCACAGGTTTTTTAGACATTTAAAAACATGAATACCATTTCATATTATCAATATAATTTATGACGAAATTTAATTTGAATAAACAAAATCTATTTGGTGTTGCAAACAACCCCTGTAAAAAATCTCTTCTGAAAATGCTCTGGGTCATTTATTATCAAAAGTCTAAAAAAAAGGGTATTGAAAAAATCTATCACAGAAGTGGCAGCAAATAGATACAAGTGTAAATGTCGTTGGAAACTCAGTAATACCACGGTCATTATTCTTTCCTCTTTGGTAGATTCGTTCGAAATTCAGAACTTCCACTCTCGACTGTACCACGCGGTTTCTGCAAGCATGTTGAGATGTATGCGTGATGTATATGCGTGCGCGAAAGTGAGCGTATGCGTAGACCAACGACTGGAGCCGCAGATTCCCTTTGTCTGCGCAAACTCTGCAGCCGCGACGGCCTTTTCCCTCTCCTCACTATGTCGACTCTTGGTCGACCGAATCTGATCCTCTCTCTGTCGCACTACACACAGAGGGTATATCTCCCACAGTGTGTGTATATATCCCTCAGTTTGGCCTGCACGCTTTTCGCTCGCCAAATCTACACACCTCCTCTCTACCTCTCATGCCCTTTTGCTCTCCTCGTTCTCTGCTTCTCGCCGATTTCACATCCTCTTCTGTATGCATGTACCCTCACTAGAATTGGTCCTGACCGCGCCCGAGTCGTTGCGTCTTCCACTCAATGCACGCATTGCGCCATCATCTCATGTCACTTTTAATTTTTTTCTCCCTTACTCATTTCCCTTGGCCTGGCTCTTCATTTTCTCCGCATGTCATTGTCCTCAACAGTCCTAAAATCCTAAATGTTCTCATCGTAAGAGAATTGCCAACATGTTTCCAACATTATCCGGTAGTGTCTCGCGACGAATGAATTTTCAACTGATGATTAAGTGGATATTATGTAGAACTGTTTTGAAATAAAGAGGATAGATGAGTATTAATAAAATGATAATAGTAATAACATTAGACGGTGTAATTGATGTATGAGTGAGGAGAAAAATGCAAAAGTTGGACGAATGTTTGTGAGGCAAAGAGCAGCGTAGACGGGTCCAAACAACGGGGGACCCCTCCTCGAGATTATCCACGTTCCGATAGATCGATCTTCTCTGTCGCCCGCATACCTTTCAACTCGCGGGTCTGCTCTTTTGCTCCCCCGTGAGCCCCTCGGTTGGTTTGCTTTCCCTCCACTTGCCTCTTCGTCTCGCGCCTCAATGTTGGCGTCTGTCTTTCTCACTTACCTCCTCCTCATCATTGGCTGCGCCACGTCCACCAATAACCGAGGTCTCTTTCCCTCTCGTCGACGTCACTTGGCTTCTCTGTTGCTCCGTCTCTCAAACACGCACCCCTGAGTTGGTAGACCGAAGCGTGTGTGTCTGAGCGTCTTGTCTCTTTCTCTCTTCCTCCACGTTCGTTGCTCGCGTCGGCGAATTTCGTGGCCTGCTCTTCGCTCCATCTCGTCGTCCCTCTCATCCCCCTTTTCCCCTCTTCTCTTCTCCACTCTACACCTCTTTCTCCTCCTCCGGAGCTTCGACGCCGCCGCTTGGCGTCCTCTACCGATGCCAGAGAGCCTCCGAATGCCATTTCACTTTCGTTGGGCTTCGCCACGGAGGAGAGCGGGCCCCGCCAAGAATTATCCTCTAAAGACGAGTCTTCTTTGTCGTTAACGGACTTAGCAGTTGGCCAGTGTGTGTTTCGCGATCTCCAAAGACGTACAACTCCGTCTAGCTTAATACGCACGTGTAGTGCCGCCAAGAGGACGCGTCGCGACGCAGCTCCTTTTTTTTTTATCACCTCCACCACCACCACACTTTATCTCCTCCTTCCTTCATTGCCTATTCTTCATACTCTTCCTCTTCTTCTTCACTTCTACTTCTCTTATTACTCCTCTTAACGCCTTTTCCCTCCCGCAGACTCTACACTTTCTTCGCTCTAGTATCCAACTGAGTGAGAGTCTCGTGCGCACGTGCCTTCCTCTTTTCCTTGTCTCTGCTTCTTCCTCTTCGAAGCTTCCTTTTCCTTTATCCCCCCCTTTGACATAATCTTTCTCACTTCTCCTTGACTTTCCTCTATCCTCTCGTTCGCGTCTTTGCGGCTACCCGCCTATCAAGTGCCAGGTGAGTGAGAATAAGACATATAACTTTCCTCGTGTCTTTTTTAAATCTCAACCGGAAATCACGTGTGTCTCTGTGTGTCTTCCAACTTTCAGGGAATTAGTGAGAGAATATATTTAATCGTTGCCATGTGTTGTACAAGACATTGAAAGGCGAATATTTTGTCCTTAATATCTCTGGCAAAAAAACTATCACCGGAAATCCAGTTTGTTTCTTTTGCTCTAGTGAGTAAATATCCAAGTTATATATTTATCCAATCGCCCTCCAGTCGAAATGGCTTGTTAAACTGTCAAGGGATTTTAGTATATACATGCATGCACACTACACCCAATCGTACAGCTTAGTGTAATAGAACCATGAACGAGTGAGTAAAAGAGAGAAAGAGAGTGAGAGAAAGAACTAGCTGCCCTCTACATGAGTAAAGTGGCAAGGAAGTGACTTTACGAGAGCTCTCGGAAACGTCTGGGAACGTTGGGAACGCTCACATTATCAACCCTCTCTGCTGCACGTTCGTAAACATTCTTGCATGGTGATTCTGGATTCTGGAAGTAGAAGCAAACTTGAGTTGTGCGGTTCTTCAGTCTTTACTTTTTCTTTTTACATATTCTCCTTCTCTCTTCCAACACTAGCTGGTCTCTCCTACACCCGAAGCTTTGAGAATCTTCATATGGCTGGCTAAAGTCCAATGAATGCAGACGAGAAACTATTTTCCTTAAAATCTCTTCTTTTGCTAAATCTTCGAATAGTTTGTTGTCATTTTTAACTAACAATTTGCTCTACTTTCTGATCCAACTTGATTTTTCTTTATTTTCAATAGACTAAACATTGCTTCATTCCACGCCAAGTATTTTAATCTACTTTTTTGCTCTAAAATCACAAATGTATATTCTTTTTTTTTCTTTTTAATTTATTTATAGCTTTAGTAAATTTAATATTTTTTAGCCATACAATGAAATTTTATATTGACCAGTTTTTTATTACAAAAAAAACTGTTCCAACTATTGTATTAAACTCTCATCAAAGTATTTTTTGTAGAATTTTAGCCGATATCTCTAATTAAATGCGAGAAAAAGAATTTTTCATCAATTTTCATTTAGTTTTTATTTCAATCCAATTTCCTTGGTTTAATTTTATTATATTGACTTTTAAACATCATACACTCTAACAAATTTCATTATATTTTAATCACATCAAAAAATTTGTTCGGCAATTTTTTTTTCAATTCATATAAAAAATTTTATTGTTATTAAAATTCCATTGATAAAACTTTTTTTTCGAATAAAAAACATAATAATTTGCCTTTAAAATATTTCAATTCTATTTACCAATTTTTTCCCATCAAAGTTCTCCAATTTTCTGTACACAACAAATTGGTAATACATTTTTTTATCAACCACCTTTCATTCAAAACTTCACCTACAAATTGTTTTCAACGTCTTCTCCTTATATCTTTCTTTCGTGACTACTCCTTTCCCTCCTGAAGCACGTGGCCTCTTTCATTGAGTAAGAACATTACGTGAAACACCACAGAGAGAGTATATAAAGAGAGAAAGAGAAAAAGCGTAAAAGAGAAAGATAGAAATATTTACACCCGTTAGTACTAACTCTGGTGTGACGACACATCCGTAGTAGTCAGCGATAATCTTGTTCTGTCTGTCCATACATCATTTGGCCTTTTTTTTTCAGTCACACCACATTTGCCCTAGTATATTCCTGAGGAAAATAGAGAGCTTCCTGAAGTAAGTGTACAGCCAAGTATATCGCGTGCTTTCACCCTTGTTCTTTTTTTGGACTAGTGTCCCTCCTTCGCTCCCTGCCCATCCACCCTCTTCAGAAACGACCTTCCACGCTCGGTCTTTTCTCGGATTTACACCTGTTGGACTTGCCATTCCGTACTTTTCTTTTCTTCACCCTTTCTCGAGATCAAGCTCTCTCGACAAAAAAAAAGAGAGAAAAACATCCACATCCATTGAATCTTCAGAACGACTCTATTATTTTATTTTATACGTTTCCTTTTCGTTTTGATATCCTCCATAAAACAATTCTCTAGTTGATACTGCTCAATTTGAGACATTTTCTTGTACAAGTGAGTTAAAAAAGGCTGATAAATTGATATAGGCAGATTTTCCCACTTGCTTCGTGTCAATTAGTCAGAGATAATTGTTCGGGCGATGCCCTTGAACCCTAAGTATTGATTGGTGAGGTTGGGATTCTGGCGGTGGTTTTCCCTTCACTCCTCACTCCTGTCTGAGTCTCATATTTTCTATCTCTCTCAAGCCGTGCTTGGTTGCTACCGTCGCCACCCATCGTGCATCAGCAAAGCCCCTCTTCTATACATGATACTCCATCTCTTTCATTGACTCTCTTCAAATTTCCGTTGCCGTCCAGCCGCTGCGTGTTGACTACTTTATTTTCTCTTTGTTATCGTCCTTTACTCTGCGATTGATTGGACTTCCAATCGACACTTGTAATAGAGTCGACGTCCTATTCGCGAGTTGACTCTTTTACAATTAATGTCTACACCATCAGACTGATGTTTGATAGATGCAAAAGCTTTTGAAGTGAACCCTCAAGCGCTACAATGACATATCCGGCTTTAGAAATTAACTTGAGAGCCAGAAAAATCACATCCAGGTGGTGGTTTCAATGACCGCTAATGGCAAAAGTGAGCGAGAGGTAAAAGAGTATTTTATGGAGGAAAAGAGACGCGTGAATTGTCCACGAAAAGTCGCCGACCAAGCCTCGATGATATATTCGTTGGTTAAAGCACATAGGGGAGAGAATTGAGAGCACGAAAGAGAGAGAAAGAGAGTGAGGGTGGTTGAGGGGGTGGTCGATACGGCTCTGGGGTCGCGACAGCCGCGTCGGAGGCCTCTCTCCCCCATTCTTCCTGCGGGCGTTTTTGCCTTCTCCGCCACTCTGCGACACCCCGCCTCTTGGAATCGGCTGCACACCGGTGCTATGTACTACTACTATCAAACCGTAGTGACGCTTTCCCGCTGCCTAATCGCACTACCCTCGCCTTGATTAAAGAATACAACACCCAGCTTCTCCCAGCTGAGTCTCCTTCCATCTTTCTTTCGCACTTTTGGCGTTTCCATGTTTCATTCGTCAAATATATCCTTTCCTTCTCTACCACCCACCTTTTCATTCCATTTCAAAAGTCTTAATTTCTATTTTAACTTCTAGAAATATTCATGAATTGCCTGGTAATGAGTAATTATTCATAATTAACAGTACAATCATGTTCAGAATTATTCAAAAACTTATTCCCTGTTTGTAATCAGTCATTGATTTACTATGGACTTTTTTCTTAAAAAACTTCGATTAAAAGCCAAAAGTCTGCTCGTTTAAGATGCCATTTTTATACTACGTCAATGTAATTCAACAGAAAAATATTAGAGATGATTTTTTAATGGATGGTTAAAAGCTTTTGCAACAGTTCATTTGCGGATTTTCGAGCAGTTAAATGTAGTCGGAAATTAGATGTATTAATAATCAATAGCTGGATGAAATAAATTTGTATGCAAAAAATAAAATAATGAGATGTATGTATATTCGAAGATAATTATAATCGATAATCTCAACCTCGCAAAAAGTTAGCTACTGTCAGTATTAAATTAGCAGTAAAACAAAATTGAGTGATTATTTCAGGCTAATATTGTGTATTAAAATTAACTTAAACTAGTAAATTAAATTTCCAAATTAATAGTTAGACGTTAATAACATAATTGAATTTATGCTCATAGTCATTGCTGAAGACGGCTGATCAGTTGAAGATCAAGGGTCTCTGCGAAGTACCGGAAAGTAAGGAAGCACCAGCAACTGTCAGTTTAAGCTCATCGCCAAGAGAGTCAGCTGCATCGAGGTTCAATTACACCAAGTTGAAGAGGCATCATCCAAAGTATAAACGACCACGAACGACATTTGAGCCAAGAGCTACGAGTACTGACTCAAGACACTACGACAGATACAAAGAAGAAGAAAATAACGATAGTCGTGGATTTAATTGCGAAAACGATAAAGAGGTAAAATAAAAATAAATGTAAAATATTTTTTATGATTCATTAATAAGTACCTAGAGTTGAAAACTCTGTCTCTGTCTTGTCGTCGTACGCAAGCCAATGCTAAATTTGTACCGGATGTTCCGCAGAATCATCGGGGTGACTGGCAGACAGAGGATGAGGAGTGCGGAGAAGCAGCAGTAGTCCTGGAATCCTGCCAACGAGACAGCAACAACGGTAACGGCACAAACAACAATAACGGTAAGCCAATTGGAGACCAAACCTACGCCCCACACCTATATCATCTTTTTTTTCGTTAGTTTGTTTATTATTATTTAAGCTTTCGCATCAAATTAAGCTCTCAAAGTTCAAAGAATATCAGATAATTATTCTCTTCTAATTAAATATTCAACAAATAATGGAAATAAATTATCCGACCTTTTTAGCTAAAAATATAAAGGAATTTTAGTTCGGATTTTTTTCAAATATTTGTGAAATTTATGAAGTAAATAATTTTGATTAATTAATCTAATTCAAAAAATTTTAATACACTATTCAAATTAATTTTATGAATAAATTTATTTTCTATTGATTATGATATTATTTCTATGCTTGTGATTTTCAATAAATAATTTCAAGTTAATTCAATTAATAATTTAACATAAATTTCCAAAGCAAAAAGAAAAATTATCTACCCCACAATATTATTAAACTCATTAATTGATCATTATAATAAATAATTATTAAATTTTTTTATTTTCAATATATTATAAATTGGATAGAAATAATGGTTTAAATTGAACTTAAGAGCTTTAGTAGTCACTATCATGACAATTTCAATATTGAAAGATGGTAACAGGTGTGGGGCGACATACAACACTTACAAAGTCACACGGAGCAGACCTTTTTCACTTGGAATAAAAAGGTGACATGTTCTGTCATACAGGGCTAGGTCACTATGGACATCATCCAGATCCCGGAGAGGTTGATTTACCACCCGAGACACAGCCAACACCACCAAGTGCTACGCTGGTTGGCACAACTATTACACACCTCAGGGACTCCGATAATCATTCGACAGGTAGATTAATTGAAGAATTGATTACAGTACTTACCAAACAGCAGAATAATCAAGATGGATTGATGCGAGGAACAGCGCTCATTAGTCGGGGGAGGGAATCATAATAATTGCTCTAATCGGGCTTAACTGATCATGATTATATTTGCTTCGTTTGCTTCTTAGCAACCCACGCAGTTCTATTTAAACTTTGTTAGACATCAGTTTGTTGCATGATTTGCATTTTTTCATTCAATCAAAAATTAATAGCAAAATTCTTGGAATTCAATAACTATTTACTTAAAGTATAAAAAATTTTTCCATTATTCATTTATGAAAGAAATGGGATAATTTGTTTTTATTTAATTTAAGTAATTTAAATCAATTTTTGGTTGTCGTCTGCAGATATTCAAAATTGTGACAGCGTCAAAATTAAATTTGAAACGCTTCATACGATGGATTCATCGGACACGATTGACATAGACAGTCACATGTCAGATTGTGCAAGTGTTAGCTCGAAACATGCAGCAGAGGGTGATAATATGATGATGATAACCCCAGAGCTGTTGGGACTTATGCCATCTGGGAGTTCTGTTCATTCAAATTCTGGCGAGAATAATACCCGAAGCCACTCTGGCGGATCTGGACACCATCATGGTTCTAAATCTTGGACTCAGGAAGATATGGATGCTGCACTAGAAGCTCTGAGAAATCACGATATGAGTTTAACAAAAGCCTCAGGTGAATATCAAATATTTATTTATAAAAAAAAAATTCTTAAAATACATTTTAATTAAAAGAAAAAAAAGATCTTTTCAACCAGTTATTATCTGTATTATCAACGATCTTTATTGCCGTAGCAACTTTTGGCATACCATCGACAACTCTTTGGCAACGTGCGCACAGACTAGGTATCGATACTCCAAAGAAAGATGGGCCAACAAAATCGTGGAGCGATGAGAGTTTAAATAATGCCTTGGAGGCACTACGGACCGGCACAATCTCTGCAAATAAAGCTTCCAAAGCATTTGGTATACCTTCTAGTACCTTGTATAAAATTGCCAGGAGAGAAGGTATTCGATTAGCTGCTCCGTTCAATGCGAGTCCTACCACTTGGTCACCGGCAGATCTCGATAGAGCTCTCGAAGCAATCAGGTCAGGACAGACTTCGGTGCAAAGAGCTTCCACTGAATTCGGTATACCCACAGGAACACTTTATGGAAGATGTAAGAGAGAAGGAATCGAATTGAGTAGAAGCAATCCAACTCCTTGGAGTGAAGATGCAATGACTGAGGCACTAGAGGCTGTTAGGTTTGTAAATAAATAACATTACAAGTGTCGAGAAAATTGAGAAATTAACAAATTAATTAATAAATTCTTTTTTACAATGCTTTTTTACATGTATCCTGTTTTACATTATATAAATAGAAGCAATTGATATTGACTATTGTAATAGAAGTCGCAAAAACAGTAGAACGTTTCATTAATCTTACTAAATTATTTCATCGACAATTAAAAATTACAGAAGTCAATTATGAGTCGAGCCAACTCACTATTGAATTTCTAAGTTATTAATCATCGTAAAATATCAGTTCAATTTTTCTATTTTTCTCGATGCTGATTAAGAAGTTTTTTTATTAATTAAAAAAAAATTTTTTCTGTAGGTTGGGTCATATGAGCATCAATCAAGCGGCTATTCATTATAATTTACCATACTCTTCTCTCTACGGACGTTTTAAAAGAGGTAAATATGAGGAGCCAGTCGTCAATGAAATGTCTCAAGATGGAACAAGTCCGCATTTTCATCAAAGTCCACATCATAATCATTCGTCCTCCCTTCCTGATCAAATGCCCTACCAAGGTAGCTGAAATTTACCTCTTTACTAGGCTTTTGTCCCTAGCTTTAGCGCTCTCGATCTCAGGATGTCTTTAATTTTACGTTAGTGAATCTCTCAAGATCATCGACGTGTAATTAAATGCGATCATGAGACACGGACAGCGTCGCGAGAATAAATCTTGCAGTATTAAAACAAAAAAATAATGGTAAAAAAGAAAAATACAAATACGTATGAAGATAAATAAAAAGGGTAGCGCAACAATACACTGTTAATTAAGGAAAAGTGTATATGATTGCGATTACTTCATTAATTCTTGTTAAGTGCGGCAAAATAAATTTCATGAAGTTTCATTTGCATAAGTTAAAAAAAATTTGTACAGACGGAACAAAGTTTCCGTAAAATTTTGTATTTTAACCAGGTATAGTTAGCCCAGGGAAGTAATTAAAATAAATATGAAAATAAATAGAAATAAAAAAAATATTCTGAAAATTGTCCGTACTAATCCAATGACTGTTTTGGTATTTAAGAAAAAGAAACAATCATCGATAAATAAATATATAGATACAATTTAATTAAGAATGTCAGGGACATTTACAAAGAATAAAAAATACAAAAAAAAACAATCAATATTGAACAAATAAATTAATAAATAGTATAAAGAATGCGTACTAGAATATGAAAATGATTACATAAGTTTTAATGACAAAGTTATAAAAATTTTTTCAATGTTTAAAGTTATTTTTATGGTCTTCCAAACCAAATTTTAATTTGAATTTGACGTACTTGCCACAATTAAGTGCAAAAACATTTGTTTGTAAGTTTAAATTGAGCATTTTTATTTTTGAGTGATAAATAATTGATGGTGATTAATGATTTATGACACAAATTTGAACAAATTATCATAGCGTGTCGTAGAATGGACTGAATAGGGTACGAAGAACAAAAAACTGAAAGAATAAAGTATATACAAAACAAAGCAATGGATTCAATGGTGTGATTAAGAGTCGATATGTTAATATGAGATTTAACCTTTTTTCTAATTTTTTCTAAGAAATTTGGAAATCTCAACACGGCTCAACTGCCACACGTATCAGTATGTTTACAATAATATTAATTTATAATGCTCATTGCTATTATAATTACTTGAAATAAATTATACATAAAATCTGAATAATTATATGTATAAATATTAATGATATAATAAATGTACAGTTTATATATTTTAAATTAAAAATTAATTCAACTATACAATGTTTTTATATTCTTCTCATAATACCATGAACTTTCATCTGATATTTTTTGTGATAAATTTATCAAGTAAATCAATAAAGTATCTCTTTCTATTTTAAGAGGGTCTATAAATATTAGTTTTTTAGAAGCTGTTCTAAACCTCAGAGTAATTTCCAAATCATATAAGACTTCGTTTATTTATAAGCTACGAAAATAAACTCTTTTTAATAAATTTGTAATGAAATTTATTAGAATAATTTATTATTATAATTAGTTTCTGTTTATTTTTTATTTAAAATCAAAATTCTACGGGATATCATTTTACAAATCAGACTAATGTATAAAAACGATGGCTACACATTATGATATGCTACTGTAAAACTAATTTGCAGAGGAAAATTAAATCTTTTCCTAAATTATTCCCTTATTTAACTTTGTATTTACTGTACAAATAGATATCTCAACCTTTGACTCAAGAGATTTCGGGATTTCATGAAGAGTAGAAATAAAATTGAGTTTTTAAAATTTTCATTCAAACACGGAAAAAATTTGTTAGTATTTATTACTTATAGTATAAAAATTTTACTTAAATATTGAAGAACGTGTAAAAAAAATGTATGCAAATTTTAAGAAAGTTTATTTCTCGTCCTATATCATGACATTCTCAAAATTTTGACTATGTTAATCAAATTCACTCAATAAAAATATATTTAAAAAAAAAAATTACCAATTTTATCTTTTGCTAAATTAATATAGTTTTTTTTTACATAAATTAATAAAAGAATAACTTTAATAATTATTTATTTTCAATTTTTTAAATTCTAACCACATATTAATTGTTGATATTTTGATTTGATTCAAGAAGTTAATATTACTTCATCCAAGCACCGTTAGGTGGCTAATCATTTTATTTGCGATTAGAGATAAAATAAACATTGAAACAGATTTTATTAAATTCAATCCTTAAAATTGTCAGAAAAATGTCGAGAAAACTCCAATCTCTTATCATAATAATTGCAACAATTATTTTTGGTGCCTATGTCAGTACGTTCGATCATTAATTATCATTAAGGTTTAGTAATTACAATCGTGCAGACATGGTTCATAAGTGCTAAAAGTATTCATTATTATAATAAATAATTAACATCAACAATGGCTACAGTTTCAGATAATTGTATATTTTGTAAAATTATTAATGGTCAATCTCAAGCTGATTTTATCTATGAGGTGAAGTAATTTTTGTAGTCTTATTCTTTTATTGTTATAAGTTTAACTTTTCTCCAATAAATAACTGCGTACATTAAAGATATCTATTTTTTTTTATTTATCAGGATGATGATTTGGTATGTTTCAAAGATATAAATCCTGCATCAGACCATCATTATTTAATTATTCCAAAAAAACATATTATAAATGCAAAAGAATTGAAACTGGAAGATGAACCACTTTGTAAGTATTTTTTTTAAAACTTCAGTGACTTTTATCGCATTATCATTCTACTGTCATACAAGCATCATAGAAAATATTTTTTTCTATTAGATGATAAGATGGTCGAGACAGTGGAGGTCGTCGTAGCACAACAAGGACTTAATTTATCGTCTACTAGAACTGGATTTCACTGGCCTCCTTTTAATACTGTCAATCATCTGCATTTACACGTAATCTATCCAATAGAGAATATGAGTTTTATCAAAAAACAAATGTTCAAACCAAATTCTTATTGGTTTGTTGGTGTAAGTTTATAAAAATTTCATTTAACTTTAATATAAATCAATTACGTGTATGAATTATATCACAATAATCATTGAAAACAATTTTATTTTTTCAGACTGATTATGTCAAGTCACGATTCAAATCTCTTAAAGAATGATAAATGACTAAAGTTTCACATTATATTGCTAATCATAAAAATTTTTTATATATATTTATGTAATGTCATTCAGCATTTTTTCGTGATGAAATTTACAATTGAGAAAATATTCTATGAATTTAATAAAAGAATTGAAGCCATGTCATTCGTTTTAAATTATATACTGAATGAAAACGGCTAACCAAAGTAAGTGTAAATAATACAGTTTATTTAGATTTTGGGTTTCTTGTAAATTCCTTCATTGAACATCCGTTGCCATTCTTTTCCACCAGGATATTCATAATTTATAATACTCTCTTCCTTTAACTTTGTAGAATATCCTGGATCTTTAGGCGCTATATATTGTGCATTTTTAATAATAGTAGGAGTTTCAAAGTGTTCATGTTGTTGATCTACATATTCGATTATACGTTTTTCTATTGTTCCACTTAAACAAATGTAATCCCACATTTGCAAATGTTGAACCATTTCGCAAAGGCCAACTCCTCCAGCATGAGGACATACAGGAACTATAAATGCAATACAATTACATATTCAATGTAAACATATAAACTTATACATGTAATGAAAATTTTAATCGATCAATATTTGATGAGACTAAAAATAAAAAGCAAAAGAAGAACATTATAAAACATTAATTCTTTCTTAATATCCAACAATTATTTTAAAAATGTGATATTAAATTCATTTTCACACAAATGCTCCCAATTTATTATTATCCTGTTCATTTAAATTTATTCTTTTGTTTTTATTGATTTATTTTAATTATTCACATTTATTCAAATTAACAATAACACATACCTCCTAATTTGAAAGCCATTAAATATACTGAAAGAATTTCATTGACTCCACCTATACGAGCTGAATCAATTTGACAAAAGTCTATAGCTTTTGTTTGAAGAAATTGTTTGAAAATAACTCGATTTGCACATGCTTCGCCTGTAGCTACTCCAATACCTAAAGGACGAAGTGCCTCTGCTATTTTGGCATGACCAAGAACATCATCAGGTGAAGTTGGCTCTTCAATCCAATAAGGTTTGAAGTCTTTTAATTGTTTCATCCACTCAATAGCTTCCTCAACATTCCAGATTTGATTGGCATCTACCATCAATTTACGTTCGGATCCAATTTCCTGACGAATTAGATTACACCTTCGGATATCATCGCTCAAATTTCGACCAACTTTCGCTTTAAAATGAGTATAACCAAGACTAAGGTATTTTTTACAGAGATGACGAACTTTTTCATCATTATAGCCTAACCAGCCAACCTGAGTTGTATAAGCAGGTAATCCATTCTTTAATAAATATTTTTCACGTTCCGCTTTACCTGATTGTTTCTCTTTTAATATTGCTATTGCTTCTTCTGGAGTTATAACATCTGTACTGTAATAAAAAATACATTACTCACAGAAAATTAGTTTAGCTGACAGAAAAAAATTTCTAATGTTCAAAAAAAAAAAATAATTACATATAACGAAAATCAATAGTAGAAACTAATTCTTCAGGAGACATATCTGTGAGTAATTTCCATACAGGAACACCTTTGATTCGAGCCCATAAATCCCATAAAGCATTTATCACTGCAGCTGTTGCTAAATGGGTTACTCCTTTTTCCGGCCCAAGCTAACGAATTTTAAAATAATAAAGAATTTTTAATTTAAACGTTTTTTCTTTTACCCATCGCAACTGAGATTCGCTGGTAATTTTTCTCCAAAATCCTGCGAAGTCTTTAAATATGTCATAAACATTTTCATGTTGTATTATCAGTAGAATAGCTTCACATGCTTTTACAACTGTAGACATACAATTAAATGCACTAATCAAGAGTTGATTACATAATTTTAGCGCTATACGCTATAAATTAAAAAATTAGATACCAATTTCAGTTCCTCTTCCACAAGTAAACGTAAGCCCGTACCCTTCAATTCCATCTTTTAATCTAATTGTTACATAAGCACAGGAGTAATCAGGATCTGTGTGCTATATTAAGTGCATTAAAAATTTAATTACTACTTAATTACATACTCAAGATCCATTCTGAATTTATTATTTACAAAAAAAATATTAAAATAGTTTTATTAATACCATTGCATCACTTCCATCAGATTGTAAAGAAGTCGGAAACCGAATGTCTTTCACAGAAACGTCTACAATCAATCCAGAGACCATTTTTAAATTTTTAATTATTCTTTACACCTTAATAAAATCACTAACTGATGTTTTTATCTGCAAGACGGGTGAGAAATGAATGAAACATTGATTTTATCAGACTTGCTGTTCAAAACAAACATTTATTGTAGTTTATTCACACACTATCTATCTTCTTAAATGTATTACGTGTCTGATAACGTTAACAGCAGCACAGAAGTTATCTAATTTGTACTTGGCTTCAGTAATACATATCATTTTAAAAGATAAACAGTGAAAAGTATTAGATTTTATCAACACAGTTGTGATTTTGATTTAACATAAAATTATAATAGTCAATTGATTAAAAATATTGTTTTGCACTCAAAATTAACTGTAATATTTATTACTTTTATAAGAATTCTAAAAATATAGCCAAGTTATAGCTTTAAAAGTTTACTTTTTAACATTAGCAAGGTCGAAAACTCACACAACCAGCAATTTCAAAATCTAAACACATAGTAGGATAAAAGTTCGAATAATGATGAATTTTTTTCAGAAGAATACATTGAATGACCAAGCTTAAGTCATAATTACGTTATAAAAGAAAAGCTTTAGAGAATTGTTGTTTCACGGATAAATTTTATAATATTCATCACTACTGAGTTTATAGAAATTATTTATAACTTTTTACAAAGTTAATATAAATAAATGATAAAAGATATTGAATATGACGAAGAAATAAATAATAAAAGTTCGATGAGTGCCATGATTAGGTGGACATTTCATGAATAGTAAATAATATTTATAATAATGAATAATCATTCATTAATAAATCATATCAGTTAAATAATTCCGTCAAGCTTTAATCCACTGTTCGACATAATCAAGAGCTCCCAAAAGAATTTTCTTCTCCGAAATTCTTAATTCTAAAATCATTCTCCTTGATGGAGTCATGGTCGTTTTCAATAATACTAAATCCTCCTAAAAAAATTTACAGAATTAAAAAAAAATCATCAAAGTAACATAGAATTTTTGAATAATAAAAATTGAAATTACCTCCAAAGTCGTAGGATAATTAGCTATTAATAACTTAAGTCTCATTTGCAGGAACTTCCGTACATTCTCTTCGACAATAGTATCAAGTGCGCAATCTCTATGCATTAGGTCTAATACTTTGTCTGATTCAAGCCAATGATCGAGTTCGACTTTCCGCATGTTGAAGACTCTGAGGAAAGCAAGCATCTGATCAGATACAGGTTCGCTTCCTGCTCTTAGTAAAAATGACATGTTTGTGGACGTAAATCCAAGCTTTTCAAGAAGACTAATCCGATCGTGGTAGAGAGGATCTGATTTGCTGATACCTAGGCGAAGTTTAAAGCCATCGTTTTTGTTATCTGTACAAACGAAGCCTGAATGTACGAAGAAATCGGAGTTGGTACGTGCACCGTAGCTTATAAATATTTGTTCTCCAGTCTTGAACGCACGTTTAGCATAACACTCGCAGGTGTCTGAATTGATATTGTAGTCGGTTGTTATCTGTGTAGAACGAATAAAAAATATTATTCAATAAATCATCATGGATTTATTGTTGACTAAGACAAACATCCATGTAATTTTAAATATTGCTTTTTTACCATTCCTTCTTCATGATTGCACATATCCCACATTGGAATAAGAGCGTGTATCATCTGCGTGCCGTTTCTGCTAGGAATTATGTTCTGTCTTGTCATGATTGTGGAAACTGCCCAGCTGAAATAATTTATCATTTATTAATACTCCAGTTATTTTATTAAATATGTAAAACATCATTTTAATTCTTATATTACAAAATTAGAATAGATATACCGTTTTTAGTTATCATGAGAAATACAACTATGAGAATTGAAATAAAAATAAAAGATACATGTTTTAATGAAGTGTTCAATTCATAAATAAATAATTAGCAAATGATGAAAGGCTTCTTCGACTATGAATAAAAATTCTTTTGTTTTATACAAGCTAGAAGCTACTACCATTAATTGTATACAATAATTATATACTTTTATTTAATATCAAACAGTACATCTATCCTGCTAAATAATAATTTAAACCATTACTCAATTACATTTATGCTTATTTCATCCTACATTTAGAAATTTTTTAAATTATAAATTCATTCTACCTTTAAATTATTTTCCAACTTATTAATGAGTGATTAATAATTAATCAAAATTTAATCAAGAATATTCATAATTCTAAACACACCTCACATAGTTACAACAATATTGATTAAAAGTTATTAACAAGCTGTTAAACATAATCTTTATCTGTCAATAATTAGGTCTCCAACAATCTCTACACATGTAATTTATACGTGTTGAAATTAATTATAATAAATTTATTCCAGCATTCTATATATTAAATATTTGTGCTTAATATGTTTTCATCATTAATTTCTTATTCTTTTATGTTTAAGCATTACCTTTTATTTCAAATTCTCAACTACTAGTAAATCAATAGAAAATAAAAAACAGTTACATCTTTATACAGAAAGAACTTTCTAGTAATTTCTCTATACATATGATCATGAATGTTACGAATCATCAAAATTCCTATTCAACAGTTGAAATTTATCAAATAAATCGGTCAATGAGCAAAACTCCGAAAGTCGTTTAATTTTTAAGTACTCTGACCCACAAAACCGGAAATATGTTTATAAAAAGGTGATATTATTGTTTCATTGAAACTTTCTCTCTCAGAGTACGTAGATATAATATATGTTCTTATTCAGTGCGAACACGCGTTCACGGTCATGTTAATACTGATGTTAAGACGATGACTAGTGATAATAATAATTTCTTGTAAGTTTACTTAAAGATTCTTCACCTCACGGACAATAAATCAAAGGAAATTATTTATTTATTCATAACATAAGCTTTTTTTCTATAAAAAAGTTTTTCTTTTCTATTATTTTAAAATTAAATAGAAGCTAAGTTATTATTCAATGCTTTAATTGTTTTTGGTTTGAATTAATTAAATAACTAATTAAACAACTGCATGTTGAATTTTTTGATAAGATGATTTAATTAGGTGCTAATAACGTTGTTGAATGTTTCAAAAAAAAAAGTAAAGAAAGTATCTATTTAAATAATTAAAATTAATTTTCAGCTTTATCATTCGAAAAGATTATCTTTAAAATGAAAAGTATAATAAAACTGTGAATTTTTAATTAAATACTCAGTAGCGATAGAAAATTAACACGAAAGAAATCAGTAATTCAAAAAGTTACAATTTGCTAAAAATTTATAACCACTGTAATGATTAATTAAGTATTTGGTAATCGAGATAAGTGAACAATTGTCTTTATAAGCTTGTGTATTTTAGTAAATTGAGGTTTATTGTTTCTACCTACTAACCAGTATAAAAATAAAAGGAAGTATTTATTTAAAATACTCTTATCATTATTAGTTAATTTATTAATTAAATATTTACTTAAAATAACTAATTATTATTTTATTAATAGGATCTTTTAATTAGATTCAATAGCTTCATTAAGAAGAGAAAGACCATGAAAATTGAATATTTTATCTAAAGCTTGAAGCTACTTAATTTCAGTTCTTTTTAACATGCTCAGAATTTGTTCTCTTCATCAAAGAGATTCAAAGAAGCAAAATGAAGAGATATATTTTTTTTTTATGAGAAGAAGATTCATTTTGTTCATCTTGTTAATCTTTTTCTTCCTGTTTAAGTGTATTTCAGCTGATTACACTCAACTGCGTGTATCAAGAAAGTTGTTACGTGTGAAAGTGCATGGGCTCTCATTTTAAATTCCATGTAACTTTCAGTATATTTAATAAAACTCCTTGCCCCACAAAATAACAATCTTAATAACAAGCTACTTTGTACTTCTTCATTACTTATGATGGATTATTACACATCATTTTTTTTTTACTTTCATATTAATTACGATTATGATGATTACGATAGTTATCAAACAATGATGCTTTTAAATTGTAAATCGAATCGAGAGGATAAAAATAGGACGTTTGTGGCTTTAGTGAAAACTGTGACAGCAATGTGAAATCAAAGTTTAAAGATATCCTTTACATTTGTTATTCGCAATTTGAAAAATAATAGAAATGGGGAGAACTGACAGAAATCGTTGGTGGATATACACTTCGATGCATGTGGGAAGGTCGTACGAAGAAGATCGTGAGATTCTTACTGTACTTTCTATTATTTTTTCGTGACTAAAAGATTGGCAGATGTTACGAGAACAATCAAACAATTTTATTGACTCCATGTTAATGACTAATTGAATCTTTACTGTTTCTCAATAAATTTATTGCTCCTATTGTTTATTTATTTCTTATTCAAGTTATTAGGTCATCATAATAAATATGTTAATATAAATATTAAGTTCAATAGACTTTGATAAATAAATTATAATTTATTAATAAAAAGTTGATGAAAAATTAAAAACAACTGTATATTTCATTTATTTCAAATGAAATGCTATAATTTCATCTTAAAGAAGGTATAATATTAAAAAAGAATTCAACTAATCAAATATTTAAAGAAAGTAAATATTTTCTACAAGGAATAATTATTTAAGCTACTGATCAATAAATATATAATTAATTTTTCATGACTACTAAAAATTTACAATTTTATTAATTAAATTGATCACTCACGTATTATCAATCAATTATCGATTTCTCGCTCTCGATATTTCCATTAACTAGTCTGATGCAAAAAAGTTTACTTTCAATATTATTTTTTCTGCAACAAATGTCATACGATAGAAAACTATGAATAAAAACGAAATACTCCATTTATTAAAGCGTAATAGATCCAGATTGTGGTTGAAATAAAAACAAAACAGTCACGTATATAAACATAATTACGGTAATTATTAGGAAACCTGTAATGATCCTGAACGACTGGTCTACATATTTAAATTAGATGAACAACTCTCTTGATTTGTTCATCATCTGATTCGTTTTTGAAACACAGAGTAATTGCTAGATGAAAATTAATCTATCGAGATATATATGAGTGAGAGAGAAGAGGAAGAGAGTGCCTGTCTATGAACCTTTAGAAGTCTCCTGAAGTTTCACCGGCTTACTTACTGCTATGGCCAGAGAAAACCGCATCAGTTTGCGAGAAGAACGTGACGAGAGTGGATCTAACTTGTGTCTTTCTAAAAAGTACTATTTCAAACTTTAGTTTGCTTCAATAACATACATATCTACTATTAATTATTACATCTATCAAACATAATTGAACTTAAAAAAGAAAACAAGTGTCCAATAAAAAGAAAACTTTTTTTTTATTGAAAAATATTTTCTTATCATAAGTTGATTGACCATTGGATGGAATATGAAGATTTATTAAATTTGTGTAATAGAAAAAATATAATATTTGTTATTCTGTGTTTGATGGTGATTTATGTGCATTTTTTCTTGAATTAAAATTTATAAACAAACAATTACTAGAAATTGCGTTGATTTTCTAACGTATATGTGCGTGAGATATGTCGCAGATTCTTGATTTATTAGGAGCTCGCTAAAAGTTCTCACGGATTCGCAAGAGAATGCGATCTTTTTAAAAATTATATTGACATCATCATGTGGAAAGGTTTATTGCTGATTTTATTAACAATATCAATTAATTATTGTTCGACCTTTGAATCATCAAGACTCTTAGTGACTGAGGGTCTAAAGAATGTGCGTGGTATTAATAATCAGGTAAATATTTATTATAATTACTTCAATATTTACGTCAAAGAAAAACTTTTCAACACTTTAATTGAAATTCCTGGTTTCAATTTAAAGAAAAAAAAATATGATTATGTTGTAAAATTACCATTTTGTTTATGTATGTAAATTAAATATATTATGATGTTTGACATAAATATAATCTTTTTAAAATAATGATGATACTTGAAAATTCAAAACAAATTAAATTACTTTCATCTCTTGTGCAATTGTGAGTTTGCATCTGTGATCACGAACTTTCTTTTTTATGGTAGTTGGACTTTTGGAATAATTTACATTTAATGTCTAATCCGGAAGTAAGAGAGAGCATACATTTTGGGACGCCGAATAGAGCACAGTAGAGTTTTAGATATTATCTCATTTTTACTTTCTAAATGATTTAATTTGAATTCGAAAATAAACCTAGTATTATAATTTTATTTTATTATCAACTATAAGGAAATAAATTGAACATTTGGATAACAGAGAAACTGATGTGTTAATTCAACTGGAAAATAATATTAGCTGTCAATAAATATAAATAATAAAATGGTTAAATATAATTTAGTCAAGTATAGTGGTTACAATGACTTTAACCACACTTAGTAGATTTAAATGAATGATAAAACTTTTATTCATCATTTCCTGTGGAAATAGTTTCACGTATCTGTTTATTCTGTTATGAAATTTGATTCTATCATATTTTCATTCATATTTACCTGCTTATTACAGTAAAATTCAATCCTAAAATGACAAATTAATTTCCTCAAGAATATTTTTCGAACGAATTCTTCAAATTAATGCCAATAAATCAATTAATTAAAATAAAAGATAATTATTATTTCTAATTGCATCATTAATATAACAAAATTACGTCTTTCAAGAAAGAATTTTTTTTACATAAGAGTTGATTTTTTTCAACCATTGTTTCAATCCAGTACATCACTATTATTGCAATAATTAAATTCCTCTACTATTTTCTACGATTTATCTTGCCGAATACAACGGCTATTCTTGAATCGCGGCAGATTCTCTCGACTTTCCATGCGACTTTCAACTACACAATCATAATTGGAGCTTCATTCTCACGATATTCCAACGTAGAAACGTCTAGCGTCACAACATCACCAATTATATGTCATAGAGAAGAGATATCATGTTAAAAATATTTCGAAAGTATGAATTTTAACATTACAATCTGCTTTCTTTTGCAGAAATACCGTCTGAATGTTGATAAAATCGACTACGATGAAAATTATCCAGCTGATGAGCCGGGGTTTGAGGGAGGGAAATTGATTGGAAAGTGGCGAAGTACTGGTGCAGCTATTGAACCTAAATGGAGAGATGGAGATTCTATTCCTTTAGTACCTTTTGAAGAAGCAGCAACATTGCGTCGAGTGACAAAAAATAAAGAAAAACCATTGACAACTGGTGAGGCTATCCCACGAGAACTAGCAGTATCTAATTCACTTGCTAGCAAGCTTCATGAAATTCAACATGCGAAAATACGTTACTTGAATGCACCTGTTACTGAAATAAAACCTATTCCCGAGTTTATTTCAGCATTCAAAGATGTAAAAACGTATTCAGTTGAAGAGCCTCAGGAACCAGTTCATCATAAGAATGATTTTACAAATTCTTTTCAGAATGAAAGTCGAAGATATCGACTTAGGAAACCAAAGCCAATAGTTGTTAATTTACATGAAGGTGAAAATCCAGGTGTTGCTTATGTGCGAGAACCAGTTGTAAAAAGTTCATTGAGTTCATCTACTGAAGGTAAACAACAAATTACTGGAGATCGAATGGAAAATAAGAAAACCACAGTACTACCAGGGAGAAGTGAAATAATTCGACCTAAAAGTCCATTTGAAAATCATCCAGAGTATGAATTAAATGATGACGAGTATCAAAGACCAAGGCCAAGAAAACGCCGGCCTCCACAAAATTACGAATTTTCTGAAGAAGGAAATTCCGATCCAGTTCCAGAAGTTAAAAGGTGGCCCAATGGACTAAATTCTGGCAGAAAAAATCGCACGAGAGGAAATCCATTAGAGAGTGAGATAGTGAATCAAAGGATGGAGAATTCAGAGCTCAAGTCTTTATTAAAAATGCAGCAGATTGAAGGTCTTAGTCTCTCAGAGATTCTTCAACGAAGAAATTTATCTCTTAGTGATTTGTTGAAGGGAAAATCAGATGTTATTAAAGTACTGAAGGCTAATAATACTGATGATGATGTAGAAAGCATATCAAATACTAGACAAAAAGATTTTAATCCAACAATTGTTCGAGAGAAGACAGTAGATCGACCGCGATGGAGAATAAATCCTAGAATAAAATCAAAAGATAGAAGACGTAATCAATTCTCGACAATGACAATGACTACATCAACAATGACTACGCCAACGCCAATATCAACGACAATGTGGTTTGAAAAAAATTATTGGGCTGAAACAAAAGACGATTTAAACAGACAAATAATAGAACCAATGAAAGGTAATGAGAGAAAGTCAAAAGAGAGTGACATAAAGTCTTCAACAAAAGCAATTGCTAAATTAACTGAGGCAAATATTTTCGCACGCTTCAATTCTTCTGGTCGGAAACCTGTTGCTATATCTACAACTGTTGAAACTATTAAAGAAGAAGATCCTGTTGTAAAATACGAGCCTAAGAAACAGTTAACAACAGTACCATCAAGCACTGAAGACGATGAAATAATGGAATTTTCAGACTTTTCTACGAAAACAAGTAGTCTAGACGATAAAGTAGCAAAGTCCGTCGTGACAACGACATTAAAACCAGATGTGACGTCCCCAAGGCATCAAGCAACTACAGTTATTGCAGGATATAATGATATTGGAAGAGATGATGGTGGTTCTACATTAAGCATTGAACACATTTTATCAACAGAGCCAACTAAATCCACTGCAGCAACTGCTAATCGGCATATTGATGAAGACAACAAATTTAATACTCTCATCGAATACAATAAATCTGAAAATGATGCAGATTGTAATGATGAAGGTATGATAGATTATCAAAATGATGGAGAAAATAGTCGAGATCAAGAATATGACAATGGAGGCACGATGGATGGTGAAGAATATTATGATCTACCAGAAACAACAACTATAGAAATGACGACACCAATTAGTATAACAACTACAGAGGACTTTGAAACAACACAGATAAGTTATGAAGACGAAGAAGAAACAGAAATACCACCAAACCATCGACCTGAACCATCGAATATGTTTCTTAATAATAAACGTTATGAACAAGTGATTTCAGAGATTGAACCTGAAGCACGTGCGGAGATATTTGAAGTAATTAGCTCAGGATCTAGTACTCATTTAGAGAAACTTTTACGATCAAGGAATATGAGTCTTGATGAATTAATATCACTAAGACAAAGAGGATCTAGCCAAGCTCATTTAGCTGGATTTGCTCGACCGAAATCAAGGTCTCATAAATTCATAGAGAAACCAACAATTCGATCATATGTTCCATCTAGCACAGAAAGTATTAGAAGTACTATTCCAACCACAATTCCCTCATTAAGTAGTTTCAGATCGTCTCAGTTTAAAATTAATGTTGAAGAAATCACACTTAAGCCTTCTCCAACAACTCCATTGATAACTACTATCATTACTACAACTACTTCGACTACTTCCACTCCAACTACTACTCCAGCGACAACTACTTTATTAGCGGATGAAGTGACAGAAAATACTAAGAGTGATTCTCGAATTGTTAATGTCACTGACAAAACTCCAATAGTGATTAATATTTCATGCACTGATGATAAAAAAGAGGAAAAAATTCAAGCAGTATTTGAGAAAAATTCTCTTGAATTAGTTGATTTATTAAATGCCTTTGATTCTCTTCCTTTTGCGATCCATAAGCATGTAGAAAAAATTCTAATTCCTACTTCTACTGAAATTAGTCCTGTTACGGAGAAAAAAGAAGAGATTAAAATAGTAAATGAAGAAGTTCTTGATGTTATCATGAAAGAAAAAGATCTAAACGACAGAGAAATTTTAGTAAAATCTCCAGAAGTTGGTTCTGTAGAGGAAATTATCAAGAAATTTGAAGCTGAAGAATCAACAAGTACAACAGAAAGTGATTTAGCTCATTCAATACACGAGAAAGAAAGAAAAACTTTATCTAAAGTAAAACCGAGTATAATAGCTAGTGGAGTTATACTTGGAATGACTATTGTAGGCTTCTTAGCTCTTTTCATCACATGTAGAATCCGTCAGAAGCAGAGATACATGTACAAAAATACTTTTTCCAAGGCAGTTTTCCAGGCACCAGTCATGAATGGAAGAAAGTTGTCTAACTCGAGTAGCTTGAATACGATAATGGTGAATGTTGTTGCAACATCAACCACCAAAAGAACAGTTCAACAAGAGACACAAGAAGTTGAAGAAACTTTTGATTGTAAAAGTGACATTGATCACGATTCATTGGACGCCAATGATAGCTGGGAAACGATTCCTGACTTTATGAAATAAGTTATATTATTATAACTGTTAATTCTTAAACCTTAACATTGATGTATATTTTTTAGATGTTAAGTCAATTTACTGGCTTTAATGTTTTGTCAAGATTTTAATTTTTAAGCTTCATTTGTTACTTAAAGAAACATTATTTAATTTTCTTAAAAAAAAAAGAAAAAATTATATCAAATAGTGTGTCGAATATTGCCATTTTAAATTATTAGGCAACTGATTTGAAAATATTATCTTAAAAATTAAAAAATTAAGAAGCTTGAAATGATTAAATGAGATTTTTATTCGATAGTTGCCAGTATTTTTAATTGTTTAGATAAAAAAGAAAAAAGGCTGATTACTTTGTCGATTATGACGAACATTTTCATCAAAAAATGAACCAATATTTGTATTATTATAATTAATATTATAATGTTCATCATTATTGATATTGCTTGTGCAATTTTTGAATATCAGTGTATTAAGATAACTATAATTTATTGTTAATATTATATAATTATAATCTACATAATTAAATGTTAATTATTAAATTCACTTTGTTTTTATAACTTTATGTATAAATTTACTCACCAGTATTCCTCGTATGTAAAGACATCTCTTAATAATTCAGAAACTGGATTGTTGTTACTATGAAATAGCTGATGAAAATATGAATATTGCCTCGCAATATTTCTACAATGTTTTAATGCTGTCTCTAGATAAATAACAAAAAATAGCTACGATTAATATTTCTAAAATAGAATACATACTGTATAAATTCATTTTTAGTGTACAATCTAATCGATTAGATAGAAAAATATTCAATAAATGATTACCTAAAGTAGGGCTTCCTTTCAGTTCAATCATATCATTAGTAGACATATGTAAAACTGTACAGTAATTAGTAGGTAAAATATTAAGATAAGGTTTCCATATCGAATTATCTTTATGTCTTTCAATAAGAAGAGCTATCGCCAAGGCTACTTGAGGCATATGTTGAATCAATGGATCATTTTGTAAAGCAATTAGTTCAGGAGCAGCAGTTTCAGTACTAAAAATGAGCTTTCCAGGAATTTCAAGTATCAATTCATTGGCATCAAAATCTTTTTCTGCTTTTAGACCCAATTCATAGCCAGAAAATTCAGCAATACTTGCATTTTCCACATTCGATCCATTATCTTTCAACCATTTTACAAACTGTTCGATAGCTGATGAACGTTTTGTTGTGCTAGTCTTCATCTCCTCAAGTCTTTTAACCCTCCCAAGCACCGCCGTGATCTCCAAGTAGTTTTCCCATAATTGTGTCGTACATGTTGTATCACTGCACACTTAATAATTGACACATTGTTAATAATAAATTATGGGAAATGTGAATTAATTAAAATTGATTTAAAAAGCGTTATATAAAGAAGTAAATAAAGAATAAAATACTTACAGCGAAGTAATTTTTCACACTGAGTTGCTATTTCACCTCGTTTTGTAGACGATAACTTCTTTTGATGCGTTTGATGTTTACCTTTGGCAGAAGGATGTGGTTTTTTTCTACCCATTTTTTTGCTATCTATTGATGCTTTTGCTAACCGTCTCGAATTTCAGATTCATTATAGGACCGAGATAGAACAACAAATGTAACTACTAAAAATCCACTGAACTTGTTTACTAAAAATAGATTTTTGTCTGCCCGTGTGAGCTAAAGTAATTTGACGACATAACCTCATAAAAAGTAAATAGAGGCTAAGTCGAATAGAAGATTCCTGTTTTACTGTGACAGTTCCTGTACAGTTTTTTATATTCGTTAAAATTTTTTTAACAGAGGTCAGATCAACAGAACTACAAAAAATAATATACAATTTATGTTACATGTAATTGTCATAATGTAAGAATCAACTAAAAATTCATTAAAAAATTTCTGGAGTAAAAATTTACTCCAAAAAAATTACAAAGTATTTTTTAATTACTTAAAGTATTTAGTGTGTTAAGGAATTCCATGAAAAATAATTCTATTATTAAGCAAATCATAAAATCTCCTGAAGTACAGTAGGGTTTATAATTTTAATTTTTAAGAACTCCAATAATTTTTAAACAATTTTATTCAAGTATCACAACTTTTTATTTGTCTTTTTTAAACGTTAGAATATGAATTTGAATATGGTATTATGTATGTTCCTTCATATGTGTGACGCAGTATGTTTTGCTCGATAATATAGTGTCATAGAGGATTTTAGGGAATGTAAACAAAATGAGATTTACAAAGTTGTGATTTATTATGACCTACGGTTTCAGAATAGACGATATATTTCCTATAAAATTAAATGTATGGGTATACTTACATTTTCTTTTAATCATACGATTTTCCATCTTTTGCTATCTATCTTGAATATTATTGTCTTCCATTGAATATTATCAATTTTTTAATTATATCTAATTTACCACTAAAGAAGTTTGAAGAAGTACAACAAATACTACATTTTCTTGTAAAATAATTTATTACTCAATATATTAAGATATATCACAATTCGATGCTTGTTGCTCTGACAAAGGTACTATGCCTTTTTCTTTGTATTCATTACGTTCGTCCCATAATGTCTTCCCGTCGCATACACAGATTTTTTTACTATTTTGAAACAATCCTGCCGATCTTGCTATTATTCCACATGCAATGCTGAGAATTACATCGTTTCATTAAACACAAATTGATATTACATTGTATAATTTCATTAGTCTTATCTATTTACTTACCCTTTTCCACTATTTCCATCAACACTCGAGTTAACATCTTTTCCTTTTCCTAAATCATCCTCTTTCTCTGATACTACAATGCTTCTCCCAATTATATCTGATATACGCAGTAGTTTATCATTGAATCGAAAACTTGCTCTTCCGAATTTATCCGCAATTATATTACCAAGATCTCCAAGGTGCTATTTTATTGGATATATTTTTGTCAAATAAATTATTTCCACCGACAAATTATATGCACTCCATGCATACTTACTCGATTATTTACATCGTCTTCACGTCCACCATGATTTACTTCATGAGGATTATAATGAGGACCTACTGAAGCACAACCTTTAGTAATATCTCCACACTCGTGAATGTGTAATCCATGCAATCCAGGACTTAATCCATCAATTGTACCATCAATAATTGTATCTTTTTCATTAGATTCCGCAAATCTTACAAGTCCTTGAATATTATTATTACCGTTCAAATTTAAACCAACACCATCTATCATAGCAACTGCAGCGTTGCTTTCATTGTATCCATATCCTTTAAGCACTGCTTTTTTCCCCACTTTTTCAATTGCTTCCTGAATCACCGTATGAGAAATAGCTGTTTCTACAACAACTGTTTGTTTGTCAAATAATATTTCAAAATGATCAATCCCTTGTAATTCTTTTAACGAATTTTCTACTGCATTAATGCAGTTTTTGCAAGTCATTTCAACCGCAAACTCAATCTGCAATTACAAAACCATTTAATCTATAAGTTATTTTTATGGATATATTTATTTATTCATACCTTCGTTGTCATTTTAGTATCTATTACTGATGGTTTTCCAACACGAAACAAATTATTAATTGACGTTTTATTATTTACTTTTTACTCCTTTTTTACACTCTTGTAACGTTATGTAGTTTCTATTGAAACACGCGCGCAATTAAATAAATCATACAGTTTTAGTTTAATTAATTACATTTAATTCTTACAAACAAGCTAAAATTATTATTATTTTATTATTTTAACGTTTTCATATGTTAATATAATTTTTTATAAATATTTGACTGAATAAATTTTCCTAAATAAATCAAGACAAAAACCCATTTTGTACGGATACCTTGTTTTTCTACAAGTGGCTCCACCCCAGTTCATACATTCATAGAGAAAACTAAAATCAATGAAATATTTGGAGTTACGATGGTACAACTGTATAAGTAACACGTGCTATTCAAAATTCACCTCCATCAACAAATCTTCCAAATAATATTATTAATAATGTTATAAAAAACTTTTCTACTTTACTTGATCATTATTAAAAATGTTATTAAGAAGTTTGTTACAAAATTGTATTTTTGTATTACATCAAACACGAATTAAAATAAATTACAGTCAATTAAAAAAAATTCATCTTGATACAACTGCCGATTTCACTGGAGTTAGTGTTGGAAAAATTAAAAAGTTATTACGTTCTCATAATGTAAATATCAATGAAGGTTACGCTTGTATAACTGTTTCATGTCCTATCTGTAATATCAGTCATTCTCAACAAAATGATTCAAAAATATTCATCAATAAAACAACAGGTATGTTACGACTAATTTGTGTTATAATTCATTTTTTATTTTCTTAGAATAAAATCATTTTTCTAGGTTTTTTCTTATGTCCAAATTGCAGTCATAGTGGATCCTGGGATCAACTGGAAAGTTTTTTTCAGCCAAAAAATAAGTTAACTACTAATGAATTTGAACAATTAAAAAAAACTCTTACTGTAGAAAGCGATTTTACATTACAATGGCAACAAATTAAAAAAGCTTGTCAAAATGTCTCAAAACTACCCGGTGATGAATTTCAGAATATTATTCAACGTTTTGCACTTCCTGTAAGTATTTTTTTAACTTAACAATGATTCCATCATTTTATTATATTTTATTGTTTTCATAGTCAATCACCCAAGAACATATGAAACAACTTGATTGTTATTATGACTCATCATTATCATCTTTATATTTTCCACTTACATCAACAAAAAATGGACGAGTAATGGGTTACAAAATTCTTCCATCAGATTCAACTCTTCCTGAATCAACGATTCCCAATCTTAAAGCCAATGGTTTAATTACTTACGTTGAAAAAAGAACTAAACACGAGAATGCTTCTGCAGTACTAGTGGCTACTATTCACGATCTTTTGGCATTGATATGTAATAAGTCGACAAATATTGTTATATGTTTACCATATGGACTTAAACACGTACCACTTCAAATATTACCTTATTTAGAAGTATATAAAAAACTAATTCTATGGTTTGATAATGACAATGCTAGTTGGGATTCTGCTCGTCATTTTTCGAAAAAATTGAATGAAAAGAGATGTTTTTTCGTTCGGCCTACTCAACGTCAACCAAAACCGAAAGTAGCATCGGACAAAGGTTATAATTTAAAAAACATCATCAACGAAGCTCAACCAATTTGGCACAAAAGTATTACCAATTTTAGTTCATTAAGAAAAGATGTTTTGAGTGATTTAGAAAATGTTGATAAAGTGCAAGGTGTTAAATGGACAAGATTTCCGACATTGAATCGCATTTTAAAGGGCCATCGTCGGGGAGAATTGACTATTTTGACTGGTCCTACCGGTACATATATATCACTTGTTTATCTTCTTGCTTCCAAAATTTAGTCTTCTTATTTATTTATTTTTTTTCGAAGGTAGCGGTAAAACAACTTTTATGAGTGAGTATTCACTTGATCTTGCAATGCAAGGTGTTAATACCTTATGGGGTAGTTTTGAAATACGGAATGCCAGGCTAGCAAAAACCATGCTTCAACAAATGGCAGGAGTACCTTTAGATGCTAATTTACATAACTTTGATAATTTTGCTGACGCTTTTGAGCAACTTCCTATTTATTTTATGACGTTTCATGGTCAACAAAATGTTGATGTTGTTATGGATGCTGTTGAACATGCCACATACGTGCATGACATTTCTCATGTTATTATTGATAATGTTCAGTTTATGATGGGCATCACTGATCACCAAAAACACATTGATAGGTATTGGAAACAAGATATGATCATTGATGCTTTTAGATCATTTGCCACTAAAAATAATTGTCATGTTACTCTTGTTATTCATCCAAGAAAAGAGCGCACAGAAGACGATTTAACGACTGCTTCAATTTTTGGTGGTGCTAAAGCAAGTCAAGAGGCTGATAATATTCTTATTGTACAAGATAAACGGTTAACGAACATACGCGGCAAAAAATACTTACAAATCGCTAAAAATAGATACAGTGGTGATTTAGGAATTATGAATTTAGATTTTGACAAGTTAAGTTTGAGTTATCAACAAAAACCTAAAAAAAATAAATCACAGGAATCACTATCATCAGAATAAATAAATACGACGATACTATAGATCAAATATTTTTTTAATAAAACACATGTGTATATTCTCACATAAAAAATATAGTACATTTGTATATACGACACCATATATGAGTACATGTTAACACAAAAATGCATCAAAAACTACAGATTTTTTCAATATTTTTTATATTTCTTTCATGTACAATAAATCATTCTACTAGTCGTGATAATTTAAAAGAACCAACTATTTTTATTGCAGTCCTAGTAAGAAATAAAGCTCATACTCTCCCGTATTTTCTTACTTTTCTTGAGAGGTTAGAATATCCAAAACATCGTATCAGTTTGTGGTAAGTACATTTTTTATTAACAAATAATTACACATTTTTTATATTGATATTCTTATTTTTTTATTACATTTTTATTGCAGGATTCAAAGTGACAACAATATTGATAATTCTATAGAAATTTTAAAAGTTTGGTTAAAACAACATCAATCCAAATATCATTCCATAAACACTATCCTTGATGAAACATCAACCGGTTTAGAAAGCGAAGAAGGAGTAGCTAGCTGGCCAATAGCTAGATTTAATCATATAATTGAATTACGGGAAAATATACTCAATTATGCTAGAAAAATATGGGCGGATTATTTACTGGTAAATATGCACATATTTATACTTTTTGTTATCTTTTTTTCTCACATTCTTGTAACTAACTCTATGGAATCTATTACTAGATGCTTGATGCAGATGTATTTTTAACAAATTCAAACGTCTTACGACTTCTTATATCAAAGAATAGCACTGTAGTTGCTCCATTATTAAAATCCGATGGTTTATACAGTAATTTTTGGGCTGGCATGACGTCTGATTATTACTATAAAAGGACAGATAAATATATCCCAATTTTACATAATGAACAACCAGGATGTTATAATGTGCCAATGATTCATAGTGCCGTATTGATTGATCTTAACAAGGAAAATTCGGATTACTTGACATATAATTCAGATAATCTTGACAATTATGATGGGCCACGTGATGATATCATTACATTTGCCTTATCAGCTAATAGATCTAATATACCATTACATATATGCAATGATCAAGTTTATGGATTTATTATGGTTCCATTGGACAATGATGACACTCTAGAACACGATTATCAACAATTAATTAATTTGAAAGTCGAAATGCTGTCATACAATGATTTTTATGAAATTCCTATTTCAAATACTTTAAAAACATTTGTTAAATTACCGAAAAAAGATCGTATAGGAATGGATAAAATTTATTTAATTAATTTACGAAGAAGACCTGAAAGACGTCAAAGAATGTATCGTTGTTTTGATGAACTTGGACTTGAAGTTGAAACTATTGATGCAGTTGATGGAAAAACCTTGAATGAAAGCATCTTAAAGCAATGGAATATAAATATGATGCCAGAATACACGGATCCTTATCATAAAAGACCTATGAAAATGGGTGAAATTGGCTGTTTTCTAAGTCACTATATTGTTTGGAACAAGGCTATAGAAAACGATTATGAAAAAATTATGGTGCTGGAAGATGATGTAAAATTTGAACCGTTTTTTAAAAATAAAGTAAACTTTATTATGGATGAGTTAAAAGCTCTCAAAATAGATTGGGATTTAATTTATTTAGGACGAAAACGAATGCAAGAAAATGAAGAGCCTTTCGTTAATGGTTCTAATTATTTAGTTTATGCAGGATACAGCTATTGGACTTTAGGATATATTTTATCTGGTAAAGGTGCACAAAAATTATTAGATGCCAAACCATTAAACTCTTTGGTTCCTGTTGATGAATATCTACCAATTCTTTTTGACAAACATCCAAAAATCAATTGGAAAAATCACTTTCCTAAAAGAGATTTAATAGCTCTATCTACAGTTCCTTTAATTATTTATCCTACACACTATACTGGAGAAAATGGATACATCAGTGATACTGAAAATTCTAATATTATCACAGCTGAGGAGGTTATATCAAATATCAATCAAAAAATTGATCTGTGAAAAATAATTTATATTATCTTTTTACTACACTGCCTTAAAACATTGCCATATATAATTTCACATTATAATATTTATATTAATTCATTGATATATATTTTATATTAAGAAATTAATTTTTTTTACCAAAGAATATACGTACTATATTCAAAACTATATTTAATTGTTATTGATAAAGTAATTAAATAAATACTCAATTTTTACATTTAATTCAATGTGTATCATTTATAATATGGCTAAAACCTTTACAACTATCTCTTCAAAAGAAATTATGACATAGGCAAATATATATCTATAAATCGGCTATCATTCTGACATTCTGCGACCACCTGTTATCTATATTTTGATAAATTCCTCAGAAAAGAATCTATCGTGCAAAATTCTAATAGTATAATATAAGCAGTCTTACGATTCATTACTGTTCTAAATATCAAACATTTGAAATAATTTGATAAATAATGGACCCCGACAATGAAGATAAAATACATAAAAGATCAAACACAATAATGACTGAGGTTAGAATACACTAACGTTTTCTCATTTAAAAAAAATCTGATATTGTTATTGGGATTATTACAATTGTTTTTACCTTTTAAAGATTAGTCGACTGGAAGATTCGTTGAAGGATTCAATACACAGAGTAGAGTTAATTGAAAAAAAACTCAAAACTAAACTCTTAACGATAGAAGCTAGAGGATTATTGGAGCATGAATTAGAACTAGTCAAAGAGGTGTTGAGAAAAAATGAAGATCAATTAAAAAAATTGAGAGCAGAAAATACGAAATCATTCATGTTAGCTGGTGTATTGATATTTTTATGTTTCTTACTATACGGATTTTATAATATTATTACTAATACTAGGTAAAATGAGATCGAATTACATTTACAATATCAATTTTTCTACAACAAAAATATTCAAAATAAATTTATATAAAAGTTAATTTTTTTTTCTTTATAGCATCACCTATAAAACCGAAGAATAATCTTGATTATTTTAAAAATTTAATCATGACAAAATGATATTTATCATTATATCTCATATATTCTAGACATAAACAAATCCATAAATGTGTGGTGTTCAGTAACACAACAAATGTATCGTTTGTCGCCATTTTGTTCCATTTGTGGCCACACACTGTACTAATCTGAATGTTACATACATCTTTATTTTTAATATTCGATTTACAAATATTGATCTATTTTTAAATTTCACAATATTCAAATTATTTATTTTTAAGGTAATTATATAAAAAATAATTATTGTAAATTAATTTTTTTGTTCACTTATATCGTTCTCGTAAAATTCTGTACATGATTGTCAAATGCACTCTAACCTATATCAGTTCAATTTTTATCATTGGCCAAAAACGGCACACTAAAAATACACATATTTACTCTTTATTTCATTAATTCAAAAAAACATATTGTGTATGATCAAAAATTGACATTTAAATACATTTTGAAAGTGTTTATACAAAATTGCTATAAAATTTACATTGAATATTATTTATTAATTAAAAAATGAAACAAATCAATTTTATATGTAAGATTAACAATAATATATTATCTGATATATTTTACAGATATAAGAATGCCACCGATTGGAGAAGATAGTCCAGAACCATCTGAAAATATTTCAGCAAGTGAAGTAATTGATTCTGCAAATGAAGAAAATTCAAGAGGTGTAAAAAGGAAATTTTTTTTATATTCTCCTGAAGATCTTAAAAAAGCTTTAGCGGCAGTGAGAGAAGGGGCAACAACTTCAAGTGCGAGTAGAATGTTTAATGTTCCCCGTTCAACTATACGAAATAAAATTAATGGTACTTCTCCTGAAACTTCAGGACGAACAGGACGTGAGAGTGTTTTAGGACCTGAAATTGAACAAATCCTCGAAGAATGGCTTTTAGAGTCGAGCGAAAAAGGATTTCCTATCAATAAAGATTGTTTAGTTTACTCTGTTAAACAATTAATGGATGCTGATGAAGTAGAAACACCTTTCACGAATAACCTTCCTGGAAGGAAGTGGTTCGAAGGATTTCTTAAACGCCATCCACGTGTAGCTCAAAAAAGGGATGAACAATTTTTTAAACCAAAAGAAATAGTCACTGAAAAACACATAAGATTATGGTTTTCTCGTGTCAGGAATGAATTTAGAGATAAATCCGAAATATGGAATGATCGGCGACGTGTTTTCAGTATGGATGATACGGCGGTATATACATCGCTTAAAGGTTTTGTATTAGCAAAAAGAGATAAAACTGTATTACCTAAAAATTCATGTACATCTAATGATGAACAAGTCTCAGCATTATTTATTGTCAATGCAGCTGGAGAATATGCTCCACCTTTAACATTACACAAATATGAGGAACTATCGAAAATTCCTCTTCAAGCTGCTTTAAAAAATTGGGAAATTGGAAAACCTGATACTACTTGGATGATATACGAAGCATTTTATGAGTATTTTAGTAATACTTTCTATCCATATTTAATTAAAAATAATATTCAGTTACCAGTCGTCGTTTTTGTTGACGGTCAAATAGCTCATATGTCTCTATATTTAAGTAGATTTTGTAGAGATCATGAAATAGAATTGTGTTGTATTCCGTCTAATGCATCTCATATTTTACAACCTTTGGATGTAGCTATTTTTTCACCTTTAAAACGAAAGTGGAAATCATATGTTGAAAATTTTCGCGCAAGCGATCTACGTGATATTCAAAAATATCATGTCCCATCACTACTATTAAGCTTTGTGGAACAACAGAATATTAAAATTATTATTAAAACAGGTTTTAAATGTAGTGGTTTATACCCATTTAATGTAAATGCCATAGATTATACGAAATGTATTGAGGATGCAAAACAACAAAAAAGCGGAAAAAATACACGAAAAAACAGTGATCATTCATCACCAACGACCAGTACTAATACTACTAATTCCAAACAATTGACTCACAGACAATATATAGAAAAATTTATTGATCCCGTTGTATTAACACGATTTAAACAACTTAAAGGTTTAAACAAACGATGGGATATAAGTGAATCTTATTCAGCTTTATATGAATTGTGGAGTAAAGCACTCGATGATGAAGTTAAACAAGAAATTGAAATGGCTACTACTATCGTATCAGAAACTTCAGAACTTGAAGCATTAAATTTCAAAGGAAGTGTTATATTTGAATTACCATTTTTTGACTCTCATTCTTGAAAAAATGACATTATTTTTCGAATTTAACTGTATTTATATTATTATCGTTTTTGTTTATATCCTGTAAATAAAGATTGTTCTCGCTAAATGTAGATTTTTTATTTTTAATTTTTATGATTGAAATCTTGCTTTATTAATATTTATTTTTAATTAAAATTGAAGGACATTGTTAGAATATCTTGAAAGTGTCGTTTTTATAAGCTCATTACCAGATAGTTCATGCCGAAACCCTATAGACTTTATTGCGTATGCAAAAATTATAATCAATGCATTAAAAAAAATTAAATCTACTTTTTTAATAATTATTATGTAAACTTTTTAAAGATTGTGTATTTAAAATAAAGAAATTTTTTTAATTGAACTTGTAGTTTATCAGATAAAGTTTTGTTTTTCTCTTCTCTACTCGAATTAATAAATACTATATTTTTATCATTTCAAATAAAAATTGATAATCTATTTGTGTTGACATAACTAAGGTTTCAGTTTGGAGAACTTAAGTTGTCCTTAGGTATTCTTAAGTCCTCTTTAACTCAATAAGGTATATCTTAAGACTATTTGGCGACTTAGAGTTTCGTAAACATATAATAGTCGGGCATCTTAAAGCACATATGAACGGTGCAATTTAGAGTAACAATTCATATTTAAAGCAAACTTCCAAGCAATACGTTGAGCCGCATCCGACAGTGGACCGTTTAGCTCCAAACCTAATTCCGATTTCCTTTTAGAAAATTGTGCACCCGTGATTTCATCAACTTGGATTAGTTTGTTTAATAGCAATTTTTTCCAAGTATTAATAATAATAACAACAATCAGAACATAACTTAAGTAAGTTTTTTTTAAAAAAAAGTTTAAAGGTAACTTTGTTATTGTGTAGATAATGATTAAATATTGTTTTCATATATTTCAGTTCAATATGTCAGTGATATCAGGTCCTCGTTTTGCTGCATATGGCAGTGGTGGTTGGTCGAGTGGTATGGGCAACCAAACGGTTGTCGACAAAGTACCCCCTGAAATGTTGCATATGGTTGATGCACATTGGTATCAATTTCCACCAATGAACCCACTTTGGCATGGTATTCTCGGTTTTGTTATTGGATGTCTTGGGATGGTTTCAATTCTCGGAAATGGTATGGTCGTTTATATTTTCACTACAACCAAAGCTCTTCGTACGCCAAGTAATCTTTTGGTTGTCAATCTTGCATTCAGCGATTTTCTTATGATGTTCACCATGGCACCACCCATGGTATAAAGTATTTTGATTAATTATTTTATCAGAAAAAAAATAAACATGATAATCATAATGAAAATTATTCATTCTAGGTCATCAATTGTTATTATGAAACTTGGGTCTTTGGCCCATTAATGTGTGAACTATATGCATGTGCTGGCTCCCTGTTCGGATGTGGCTCCATTTGGTCTATGACAATGATTGCCTTTGATAGATACAATGTAATTGTTAAAGGGTTATCTGCTAAACCTATGACCATCAATGGTGCTCTTCTTCGTATTCTTGGTATTTGGATATTTTGTCTTGGATGGACTATAGCACCATTATTTGGTTGGAATCGGTACGCACGGAATTTTCTATTCTTTAATTCTCAAAAAGTAATCATTCAATATATCAATTATCAATAAAAAAAATAGCTATTAAAATGCAATGATATTATTTTAGATATGTACCTGAAGGTAATATGACCGCTTGCGGTACAGATTATCTTACCAAAGATTGGCTATCAAGATCATACATTTTGGTTTATAGTGTATTCGTATACTATTTACCACTTTTCCTGATTATCTACAGTTACTTTTTCATTTTAAAAGCAGTTACTGCTCATGAAAAAAATATGCGAGAACAAGCAAAGAAAATGAATGTTGCATCACTTCGATCTCAAGAAAATCAGAATACCAGTGCTGAATGCAAACTTGCTAAGGTTTATCGTTTTTAATTTTAAAGGCTAACACATTATTTTCAAAAATTATAAAATATATTATTTTTTTATTACAGGTTGCATTAATGACAATTTCTCTTTGGTTCATGGCATGGACTCCATACTTAGTGATCAACTATGCTGGTGTATTCGAAAGTGCTAGAATTAGCCCGCTTTTCACCATCTGGGGATCTGTTTTCGCCAAAGCAAATGCTGTTTACAATCCAATTGTCTATGGTATCAGGTAAGTTCTTTCATTTTTAATATTTCATAATTATAAATTATTTTAAAAACAAATTTTCTTATTTATTTATCTGTCAACTATTGATATTTTAGTCATCCTAAATACCGTGCAGCACTTCATGCAAGATTTCCATCATTGGCCTGTGGTGGTAATTCGAACCAAAGTGATGCTGTTTCCACTACTACCACCGTTACTGATGGAGAGAAGGCTAATGCATAAATACATCATTACTATTTTCTAATTCAAAAGGTAAAGAATCGAAATTAAGACCATTCAAAGACTCGATTTTATAAATTTAACATCGTAAAATAAATTCACCACTCAAATGGATAACTGTGTGAAAATCAATGAGAAAAATTGCAATTCAACTTATTGAATGATATTATCGATGATTGAATAAATGCACGGTATATTTTATTATCTAAGAACTGTATATACAACTTATTGAAATTAATTTTAAATGTATGAGGTAGAGGATGTAAGAACAAGAGAATTTTTAATGATAACATCAAATTATAAATAAATAATTATCAAGGATTGGTAATTTTATTTATCATTCAAAATTGATAGTAAATGTATTCTGACTATTATGCAGTTTACGAATCGTCTAGCACCACTATTCGAAACGTTTACACTACATGTATAGGCTGAATGCCATTTTTTATCAATTTTAATGATTTTTTTCAACAATAAATACACTGAATCGAATTGCAGTCAATACTGTATCTGCTGTTTATTTTGTATAAGTAAATAAACCCTTCAGGCAATCTTAAATACTTGGGTTATTTTATTCCTACAATAATATCTACTTTGTATTATTTATTACGTTATTTTTTGATAATTTATTGAGTAATTTAGTCATTATTATTGACTGTCGACATTAGTTGTTGCAGATGCATTTCCACTTTTTTTACCCGTTTCATCAGACCCGCACACTAAAAATGGCAATTTCTCTTTTAATGCAGCCCGATATTTTGGATGACTTATTCCATATACGATTGGATTATAGCATGCATTTGTTTTTGCAAAAAGTGATCCCCATATTGTAAAAAGTGGGCTTATATGAGCACTTTCGAAAATACCAGCGTAATTTATCACCAAGTACGGTGTCCAAGCCATGAACCATAGTGATATTGTAACAAGAGCCACCTTAGCTAATTTTGCTTCTGCACTGGTTGAATCTTGTTCACCACTACGAAGAGACGTAACGTTCATTTTTTTCGCTTGCTCTCTCATTGCTTTCTCATGAGCTGCAACAGTCTAAAAAAGAGAATTATTAGAACGTGTTAAATTCCTCTTTATTCAATTTTTCATTTACGAATATAAAATAATTCCTTTACCGCTACAATAAACCAATAACTATAGATGATAATAAAAAGTGGTGTATAATAAACAAAGATTGAATAAATCAAAATGTAAGATTTAGAAATCCAATTCTTAGTCAAATAGTCAGTTCCACATGCAGTCATGTTTCCTTCTGGAACATATCTATTCCATCCAACTATCGGTAAAATAGTCCATATTCCAGCAAATAACCAAATTAAGAGAATTTCTAATAAAGCTTTTTTTATAGTAAATGGGGTACCTGACATTCCCTACAATCATTCGTTGATTTATTAGAAACAACTTGATTATAGTTGTGAATTTTTTTTAATAATAAAAACATCACTGACTTTAACTATAACATTATAACGATCCATAGCAATTGCAGTCATGGTCCAAATAGATGCTCCACCACAAAGAGAACCAACCATTGCATAAATGTCACACATCAAAGGACCTAAACAATGGATGTTATATGAATTATTACATTAATTATCTATTAAAATCATGATTATTTACTCACCAAGTATCCACGTTTCGTACCAGCAGTTAATGACCATTGGCGGAGACATAATAACCATCATTAAAAAATCCGAGAAAGCTAAATTAACAACAAGAAGATTACTTGGAGTTCTGAGTGATGGAGTCATTAAAAAAACATATACAACAACTCCATTTCCACACCAGCCAATTATTCCAATAATAACCATCACTATTCCTAAAATTAAATGCCATAACGGATTCATCGGTGGAAATTGATACCAATGAGGATCGATTAGATGAAGCATATCGTCAGGAACTTTGTCTACAACAGTTTGATTGTTAAAACGCATCCCTTGTCGAGCTTCATGAGGTCCTATATTTTGATCTTGAGAAAGAAAAGCGGCTGTTATTTTTTGTGCAGTCACATTTTCAATAAATAATGACAAAGTTTTCGCCATAATATGGGTGATTTTTATTCAAATTATGATGTGTAGTTCACAAACGTGACGCAGACACTGCAGTTAAAAAAAATTAATCAAAATTAAGAATATCAACTCACAAATTTTTATATTTTAATATTCAACAGACTAGTATATGATAAAATTCTAATTAATATGAATCGTGATTTTATAGATCTCGGAAGCCGAAAAAAATGAATAAATTTAATATTCTAATAAATGACTAACAAAGTTTGTCTAGAAAAGGTCTTCTTTGAATTTTTCAAATGAATAATAAGATACCTCAAGTAGAATATGTAAATTTCATCAAGATATTACTGTCATTTTCTATTCAAAGATATGTCAATGCTATTAGCAATAAGAATATAAAAAAATATATATGTAAGTAAAATGGTTAAATTTATAACATATCGTAAGAAAAATAACAATTTATAATTGTTTATATTGTTTTTATTATTAAATTTGTTTTCCTATTCTTTGGATTTTTCGCATGTGCTGACTTCTACCTTCCTGTAGAGCTACTTCTAACTCTCTGGAAAGATTTATTATATTTGTTGGATCTGATTGTACAATAATATGCTTTGATACATCAGAGTCCGTATTTTTTTTTAACGCAAGATCAATTGTTATTATAGGCTCTAGTTGAGTTAACATTGATCTGGAAGCAACCTAGAATAAAAATTTTAAAAATGTGTCTTTAAATAATACAACTTTCGCAATCACAATTGTCTTATGTTCCTACCTGTGTTTCAAATCTCCATTCTATATTATGATAATTTAAAACTTCAAAACCAATATCTTTTATTGATGACTTAATTGTTGTTTGTTTGCTAGTATATAATTTACTTAGCAATTCTTCTTTTTTATCATCAAATCCCAGTGAAATAATAAATTCTTGAAATTTTTTAGAACTCAACTGAAGTTTTAAAATGTTTTTTTTACTAATAATTTGTTATTAACCATTCGTATTTTAAATTTAAAAAATAATTACCTCATGTTTCACACATTCAATTAATAAATGAATCAACCCATCAACACATTGTTTTATATTCTCTGATTCAATGTTGATCTTGTCTATAATATTGAACCATTTGGCAATAATTTAATATAAATAATGCAGAAATTTAAAATATAAAAATTAATGTGACTTACGTGCTACAGTTGTGTAAGCTTTATAATTGTGCCCTTTATGAAAAAAATCATTGACTAGTTTACAACAACTTTGGAAAACTGTAAAATAAACATAACCTATTAGTTGAAAAATTTTATTTTAAATTATTTAATAATTAAATATTGTTACCATTTATTGGTAGTTCTGCCAATAATTGCATATGTTTTTTATGTTCTACACTCAATTTTAACATTTTTAGGACTGTTATAATTCTTATTCACGAAATTATTGAGTAATAAATACAATTGTCACCGATAAAAACAATGAATTTTTATCGAACAATTACATCAAGTATTATTCGATATATTGTAAACAATTGTAACATTTATTTAAATCCTGTATATTCTTCACGGTATACTTCAAATCATATGTACAATTGCTCCTATCATTTCACTCCAAAACAGGTATACGCATCTATAAATTGAGTATATATTTAATATGGCTGCTTATAACGCTCAGTAAATTTTGCGGCAAATGCCGGTTCCTTAGTTTTAATATTTTGCAACTCCAATTGCAATTTTTATGAAAAATATATCTTTCTGATGTATATTTAAACATCGATATTTTCTTACATCTGTGTGATACAACTAGAAAGACAATATTGTCTTAACTAAAATAGCAACTAAAACATAATTGTTATTCAACGTAAAGTGGATATTCGTTTTACTTTATATACTTGTTATTTTTTAGTGAAAACATAAGAATAAAACAAAAATAATATAAAATGACAGAAAGTTTTCAAGATAGTTTAGAATTGGATGAAGATGATTCTACTCCAAAAACCGTAGCTGAAGTTCTTGATGACATTCAAAAAGCTTGGCAAAATGAAAAATCATCTCCAGAAATTCTTCAACACATGTCAGATCATGTTGAGTGTCTTTTACGTCATATAACATGTATGGAAGAGAATTTAGAACGTTTGTCAAAAGATGATTTACGTGTGACAATACATAGAATGGAAATAGATAGAATAAGATATCTTGTTTCTAGCTATCTCAGAACAAGATTAGAAAAGATAGAACTTTATGCAATTGACATAATTAAAAAAGAAGTTGAACGTGATCGCACTGATCGCTACCTGTCTGATGCTGAATTCAAATTTGCTGAAGATTGGGCATTAAATATGGAGACATTGTTAAAAAGTATAATTCTTCAACATTTACCGGGAACTTTTAAGGAATATGAAATCGATAAATTAGCTATTAAGCCTAATTTACATTCGCACGTATTTATTAAAGCTAATAAAGATATTGATGGTATTTTTCTACCTGGCGTTCACGATGAAGAATTAAACATGAAAGAAGGAGATCAGTACATTGTTCAATATAAATCTGTTGCTAATTTAGTGAAAGATGGTTCAGTTCAACTTATTTAACAAAAAATTATCATGATAATAAGCAAAAATAAATGAAATTATTTTTTCAATTTCAAAATTAATGAAATATATGTATTTTATTGTAATAAATTATTAACAAGAAAAAATATTTACAAATATTTTCTTATATTAAGATAATTTATTACATGAGTTATAATAAATTGTTACAATAAAATTGTTTAAAAAAATAGAAATATTAATAAATTTATAAAAATTTCTCTGATCAATATAATGGCATTATAAAAAAGTATTTGGCAATTTTATTCTGTATTTAACTTTGGCATTGTTTCAGCTGAATTATTAGCATTTAATGTTTTCAATGTATTATAACTATTTTCAGATATTTTTTTTAATTTATTAATCATTGATGATCCAGTCTCGTTCAGCATTTTAGTAAAAACCCCAGCTGGGTTTTGAAGTAAAATGTGCGGATGATCAAATTCAAGAACTCGTCCATTTTCCAATACTAGAACTTTATCACTATCCATAATTGTATTTAAACGATGAGCTATAGTCAGAACAGTGCAATTTTTAAATTTGGATCTTATAGTTGTTTGAATAAGAGCATCAGTATTTTGATCAACATTGGCAGTAGCTTCATCAAGAATAAGAATTTTGTTATTTCTAATAATGGCTCTTGCTAAGCAAAGCAACTGTCTTTGACCAGCACTAAAATTACTTCCTCCTTGAGTCACGAAATGATCTAATGATGAAACTGCCGTTTTAAGTTCTACTTCTTCTAATGCATTCCATAAAAGATTATCTTGATATTCATGAAATGGATCAAGATTATCACGTAATGTTGCAGAAAATAGAATAGGCTCTTGAGGAATTATAGATAATTTATTTCTTAAATCATGAAGACCAATTGTTTTTGTATTTATTCCATCAATAAAAATATCACCTTCAAGTTGACATAAATTAAAGAGAGCATTAACAAGTGACGATTTTCCAGCACCAGTACGTCCAACAATTCCTACTTTCATCTCTGCTTCTATTGTAATATTTAAGTCTTTAAGTATAGGCTCATCATCCTTAGAATATCTTAAGTACAAGTTTTGAAATAAAATCTTGCCTTTGTCAGGCCAAGTTGATAGTGGTTTTTTATTTGGTTCACTTTCAAATGGTCCTTCTTCTTCTAATTTCGTAAACTCGAGTATTCTTTCTACGCTAGTCATTTGTGTCATGGCTTCAGCAGTTGTACGTATTCCATACTGTAACATTCCACAAAGAACAAAAATTTGCGATAACGCAAGCCCAACTGAACCAGCGTATGTATATTCACTATGAAAAATTATAAAACAGTATGTTATAAGTGTAACAAATAATATTGTGACAACATCTAACCATAATCCAAACCATGCACTTGTAAAAATAACAGTTGAACATGCACTTGAATGAACATTTTGAAAACTATCAAATTCTTTTCTAACAAGTTCTTGACTCTTTGAAGATCTTATTGTTGTTAATCCTGATAATGATGAGTTTACATGAGAAAATACTGGGCTTTTAGTAACTCCCTCCAATCTTTTCACATCTTGTGCAGTTGATAAATAAACATTTTTTATTTTCCAATAAAAATAACCCATTATTATTAATAAAAATATAGACCACCAGTTGACAATGATAATTTGTATAAAAATTCCAATCATAACTGCATAAATTTGAATAGCTTCGATCATAGATTTGGGCAATAATTCATCGACACATCCAACATCTTTCGAAAATCTATTCAGTATTCTTCCAGATGAATTTGTATGAAAAAATCTCATTGGTGCTTTTAATATACAAGCGAACATTGTATTGTGTAAACTTTTACTTGCATTCATACAAATTTTTAAAAATGTCATGTTTCTTGCAGTTGTCATAATAACACTCAGTAGTATCAATGTTCCATAAATCCATAGTGCAAAATTTTCATCAATATAATTAAAATTTACAGTCTTAGTTTCATTGTCATTTGAATGAGTAAAATTTGTTGAGTTTTGAATCAATTTTTCAGTTATAATATCATCATCATCATTAAGTATCGAACTATTGTTAAATAATTCTAAATCTGTTGAATTTTCATACGTTGTATAATTATCATAAGAAATGTTGATATTTTTATTCAATGTATTCCTAAATTTTATTTCCTCTTGTGTAGTCCAATAAGAAACCCAATAATCAGAACCACTACTGCCAATTTGTCCGAGAATTGCAAAAAACAGAAAAAGCAATAGTATCCAAATAGAACTTCCAGCTCGGAAATATTTCCAGTATAAACTTTTTTTCACACCTCCAGAAGCCATCAATTCTTTTGTTTCTTCTGGCTCATTTTCATTATCTTCTTCTGACTTATAAAAAGTGTCAAGAGAAGAAACAACTTCTGCTGATGGAGTTGATTCTCTGTCTCCATCATCATTCATTTCATTTGTCTCATCAGTACTATTTGAATGTAAAATTTCAAAATGTTCTTTATCAAAATCTTTGTAAATTCCTTGCTTTTGAATCACCCCATTATTTAACATAACGATAAAATCAACTTCTTTCAGGTATTGAATTTGATGAGTAACTAAAATTCTTGTTTTATCTTTAAGTAATTCCTTGATACAATCATCAAATATTCTTCGTCCTACATGGGTATCAACTGCTGAAAGTGGATCATCTAATAAATAAATATCAGCATCTCTGTATACAGCTCTAGCTAAATTTATTCTTGCTTTTTGTCCACCACTTAATCCTGCTCCATTTTCTCCTACTAATGTTTTATCACCTTGAGGTAGTTGATTAAAATCTTTTATTAAAGAGCACGCTTTAATCACTTTTTGGTACTTTTTATCATCATAAGGTTGACCAAAAATAATATTATTTTTTACTGAACCCGCAAATATCCAAGGTTCCTGACTTGCATATGATACTTCTCCTCTAACAATAACATGACCACGATTAGCGTTAAGCTCACCTAAAATTAATAATAATAGTGAACTTTTTCCTGCACCTATTGGTCCCACAAAGGCACAGAGTTGCCTTGACTCTATTGTTATGTTTATATCATGTAACGTATTTGCAATAAGTTTTTCAACCCAAGATGCACTCATTTCTTTTATTTGAATAATTGTTTTATTGTTGGTAGCTGATGCAGAAATCGTTAATGGTCGATTTTCCTCGAGCAATAAAAAATCTTCGAGTCTATTTATGGTTACTAAACATTCGGCAATAGACGCTATTGCTAATGGACAAAAAATAGCCATTGTAAGCTGAAGTTTATGCATATGTTGAGCTACTGAAAATACCACATCAGCTGATACATTATTTCCATTAAGTACAAATATCATTATTGTAAAAAAAGTACCCACACGTTCAGAAAAAACATATGTAGCATAACTAAAACCTCTTAAGTACGATACGATTGTAAGTATATCAATTTCATATTCTCTTGCTAATGCAACAAGATGCTGAAATGGCTTTTCCCAGGTGTACATTTTAATAACTTTAATTCCACCAACTATCTCAGCCATTAATCGTACTCGCTCATCAGTGCGAACGGCTACTTTTCCACGAAATTTATAAATCCATTTACTTAAGCATAATTGAAGAGGTATTGTTTGAATTATCATAACAAATATTCCTGCTAAAGTAGCCAAACCCACATTTTGCCAAATCAAATATGCTGTTACTATTCCTTGAAATGGCATTATCCATAAATAGTGGATGAAGAGAAATAAATTATCAAATCTCGAAACATCGTTTGATAAAAGATTAAGTACTTGTCCAGATGCTGCTTTATTTGCTGCTGATACTGATAATTTAAGTATCTGTAATAAAATATATTTATAATAGATTATAAATTAAATTGAATGTAATTATTTTATAACGTTTCAACTTTTTTTACCTTTCTATAAACTAATGAAGAACAAGCAACTCGTACTCTCATACCAAATTCCATTTGTTTTGAACTAGTATGGTGTTCAAGAAATCCATTTAACCATAAAATTAACACAACACCAGTGGCATAGATATATGCTTCAACAATTGTGCTGTTAGACCGGGAATCAAAATGCCATATAAGGCGGCCTAAAATATATGGTTGAAGTATTCTATAAATAAATTAAACAAACAATTGAAAAAAATATATTCATATTATGAATTAAAATATAGAATTTCTTTCAATAATATAATAAAAGTAGTTAATTAAATATCAAAATTTACCGAAAAAAAACGCATAACAATGTCCAAAATCCAAGATAAATATTAGAATACCAATAAGTGTTTTGTAATGCACTTCTTAATTTAGGAACTCTTTTTTCTTCTTTTGCAGCATCTTTTTCTTTACTCCAATTCCTTTGAATAAATATTAATCATCAGAAAATATTATAAAATAAACGTTTTTTTATAAATTACATTTTTAACAACTCATCTATGAAATATAAATAAATTTACCTTTCAAGAACATCACCAAGACTTTCACTAAGATCCTCAGGTAAGACATTATGAAGATCTTTAACATCTAAATCATGAGTTCTTCCATACTGAAATAATGGTTTCAACCACCTGAAAATGGCATGAAAATTACCGTTTCAATATTATTTTTATTTGACTGTGTATCATTATTGAAAATTAAACAAATTGAATAAAAATTCTGTTTTATATATAATGAATAAATCTTACCAAAAGAATAATTTACTAAAAGGATTAGCTACTAATCTTGGATTTGGATTATTATACTTTTTACTACTGTCCATTGCTAATTTGATTAAATCTATGATTCGGTTAACCAAAATTGAACGGATAGGAATACTTGACTATACAATGTCTGACTAACACGTCGATTAAATCGAATCTTTTATGTTTAATAAGTTGTATGTAATGAACTATTATATCTCACTTTTTCAATAGCAGCAATTTTAATTACAATATTCTATTTTTCATTATCATGGTGTGCGTAGATTCCCTTTGTTATTCTGTTACTATTATTTTAACCTACTATTTTTTTACACACATTATCGTTTGTAATGTAATAATGAAACATCAAAATAAATCAAAACTAATAATAACTCGATGTAAAACTATATACTTAACAAGTCTTTAAATCATTTTATTAAGTATTTTCACTTGAGGAGAAAAAATATGGTAGAATCATTTCAAAAAATACAGACAATATCGATTTGTAAATTAACAAAGGCTATTGGTTGTTACCTAGATATAATTCATACACACAAAAAATTTGTTATTTATCTATGTTCCATATATGTATACATAGCGTCCGATAAACCATCCATTTGTAATATTAGTATTTACTAGTTGTAATTAAAAATACCTATACATATATATGTACATATATGTATTAATGTAATATTTTATAAATTTAGAAAAATAATATGAAGGAAGAAAATATTTTGATAATGTATATATTTATTAATAGTCATGAAGTGATTTAACTATAAGGTTAAACATCATAATAATAGAGGTTATGTAAAGGAAAACATATACACACAATAATACTTCAAGGAAAAAAATGGCTTTTTCCTTTAGAACTGGAATTAATTGGTATCATGATTTTCCAAAACTGGCTAGAGATTCTGGTTTTTATTTCAATATGCATAAGAATAAAGTGCGTATTGATTGGAACCGTATAGGTAAGTTTCCTGTTTACTCTTTTTTTCATTAACTGCTAATCTATTAATTTTTATTATTACTGTAGATAATGTTTTTTTTCAGCTGGAATAGATATAGAACGTGTCATACAAGATAGAAATTTTTTAATAATTGATGAAAACATAAATAGTATCATAGATTATAATCTAGATTCGGAATATGATGTAAAAATACTTGATCCCAATTTTGTAAAATTGTTTAGACTAGCACAACTGTCAGTGGAATATTTATTATATTGCAAACAATATTTAGATCACAGTGTTGTGATATTAAAAGATGAATTACGATCAAAAATGGAAGAAAATGTTAAATTAAAAAAAGAATTAGCTTTAGCTGATGAAGATCTTTTCAAATTGAAAAGTAAATATAAAATATTCGAAAAAATGTACAATGAATCTCCAAAAGATATCTATAAGTGTCCTTACTGTATAAAAACATTCTCTTCTGCTTTTTGTACAAGTTTTCATATTGTTCGTCGTCATTCTAATTCATCGCAAATATCGTCTAGTTCACCAGTTCATGACCAATCTAAAACTGAAAATGAAAAATTACAGGATGAAATAAAGAATTTAAAAGAAAGATTGAATCAAAAAGAGAGAGTAACCAGTAATGAAACAGAAAAATCACCTAGAAGTGTAAAATTAAATGAAAAAAATTATGAGAATCAAACAACGGATATTCAAAGTAATGAGGTCAATAAAGATAGAGTTGTAGAGGAAGAACATAAAAAGAATCAAGAAGAAATGAATAACTTAATAACCTTGTTTTTTAATGAAATCAAACATTTACGAGAGGATGAGAAGAAATCTAATCAGTTAGATAATGAAAAAGAAAATTTGAAAGAACTACTGAAAAAACAAGAAAATGAAATACATCGGTTGACAGATCAAATACAAGAATTATCATCACAACAATCAGCTCCAAATTTAGAAATAATTCAATCAAAATTAATAAGTCAAGAAGAATATTGGAAATCGAAGATAGATCAAATAGAATTTCAGCATACGAAAGATATCGAAGAATTATCAATACAATTAAAAATGACACAAGAAATGGCTGAAAGAATGAGAAATGAGTATATAATTAACATTAAAAGATTAGAAGAAAAATCCAAAAATTTTGATGAAAATGTTCAGAGTGTAACTAAGCCATTTATTGTTTCGAGGCAATATGAAGAAAATGAATTACATAGAAAAAATTCTATTAATGATAAAAAAGAAAAAAACATCAAATTTTTTGACGGACAACATAACACTGTTGATGTTGAAGACAAAGTTAGTGCCAATTTCACAGATTCAAGTGATAAAATCGAGAATGATTCGTCTAATTTACAAAATCAAAGTCATTTGAAATCTGATTCTCTAGATTCTCGAGAAAAGCATTCACTTCATGAAACAAAATTCAAAAGTCAGAGTATTCATTCAAAAGTTTCGACTGATGAAAAAAAAATCGATCATACATTACCAAAACAACATAGTAAAGTAAAGAGAAATTTACTTAAAACAATGAATACAAAAATAAATGCATCCCCTAGTCAATCTGATGCTGGTGATTCAGAAAGTGAAGTTTTATCACAATCCGAAGATTCAGAAGAATCTCAATCGACGGAAAATCGAGATTTATCGTCTCAAGAACTTACTGAATCGGATCAAGATGAATTTGTTCACAAAAGTACAATCTCCAACAAAAAAATGAGTCATTTTAAAGAAGAGGTATTAAGTGGTTTGGAGCAAAAATTGTTAGATTTAGGTGTTGATATTGAAATGGACGGAATCCCTAGATCGACCTACCAAAGATTAATAAGTATCGTTAAGCATCATCGAAATATTAGTAATAAAAAATATCAGGCTTTAGAAGAAATAAGACGAAATATAATTAATAAAATCAATAAAAAAATTCATAATCAACAACAAAAAAAGAAAGAAGAATTTCAAGTATATAGCACACCAAAAAAATCGCAATTAAAAAAAAGTATCAATAACGATAAATTAAAAATGGATTCATCTTCAGATATTAAAACTCATTCGAATACACCAAAAATAAAATTCGAGAAAAAAAGTTTTGTTAAACATTATTTGAATGAAAATAATCATGAACTACTGCCAATGAAAATGACTCCCCAAAAAATTCAAGATTTAAATACTACACGCTCAAAATCACTAAAATTAAAACAAGATGAAAGTAGTAAAAGATTATCTACACATAACAAGAAAAAATCGTCTAGTTCTCAAGTAATCTATGTCAACGAAAATACTGACAAGTTTGTTAATAATGAAAAACATAAAGCAACTTTTTCACCAAAATCATTAAAACAAAATAATAACAACAAAGACGATATGGATATCTTAAGTATTGATGATGATGATGATGAAAATGAAAATTCAAGTCATCATGAAATAATAAACATATATAAAGAATTTAATAAATTTCCACAACCAGCACCAAGAGTTTCCAAAGAAAATGTACTTGGAACTGTATAATCAGTAAGAAAAGACTTAACTTCGAATTAAATTATGTAAGGTAGTTCAAATTCAATTAATAACTTGAATCAAATGATTCATATTCCCATAAATATCAATCATCTTTACAATTTTTTTGTAAATACTAATTGAAAAAAAAATATTTTTATTTATTTATTATTTATTAGTAGTCAATCTTAATATTTATTTAGTTTTAAACTCATAAAATAGTTTTTTTTTTTTTTAAATATTTAGGTTTAAATATAAAAATATTAATAATTTTTCAAAAATGTTGGATGTAAAATATTGTCAGTTAATACGCTATATTTTGTTACCAAAGAAAGCAACACTACATTATAACCGGCATAACCTCATCATTTTGTTGACATAAGTAACGTTTCAATGTACCAAAATGTTTATTCCAATAACCAAGTTAGTATTTTGTATTAATTATATCATTAATAAATACATTATTATTATTATAAATAATTATTTCATTTGTACTGAATGATGGGAGCATTTAATAAAACTAATGAATGTTCAAATTAACCGAATAATAAAGAAATGAGATATAATTGAAGATTTTGTAAACTATTAGTTTTATTTATATGAAAATTTTAATACGAATTGAGCTTATTTTATTTTTATTAATATCTAATTAATAAAATTGTTTTTATTTAATCAGGGACAAAAATTTAAACGAATGGGCCATCATAGAACTGCAGGGTGACATTCAATTCGATTCAAGCTTACAAAAGTCTGATCAATTGTTGATCGGTGATTTGTTTTATATGAAAGATTGTGGTACACCAGTTTTTATTATTGGAACTCATATTTTGCATGGGAAAGAAATAACTTTATCAAAACCATTTGCAGTATTAGAAAAAAAGAAAGTAGCAGTTGATGATAATTTTGTTACTGAATATACTGTCAAAGCTATTGTTAAAAAAAAATTAATATTTAAGATGAGACCTAAACCTATAATTAGAGAGATGCCAACTAGCAAGTAAATATTTTTTTATTTAATCATAAAATTGAATAAATATTGTCTTAAGAAATATCTTAAAATAATTAAGAGTTTACTTTTTCAATTGTTCTTTTAATCTTTCATCTCTCCTTCTTCATCCTCTTCTTCAACCCCTCTTATATACATGACATTATTACATCTTATTAGAACTTCACCGAGATTGCCTGTACAAACTCCATCCACGTGCTCTTCAGTGTTAGCTAGTTGTAAATTCATGTATCCATCAACGGATACCAAATAACCTTTATATTCATGTCCCCATTTCAATTTAACCATTACCGGTTTTCCAGTTAAACCATTAAGGAAAGGTTTTGGATTTATTGGCATAGTTGCTGTTGTTGCCATTTTTGTAGTTATTTAACTGTTGACAAGAATAAAAATTCAAATTAATTAATTGTAAAACAAGATTTTTAATAGGTTATATTGTTTACAGTTGCATTCTATAATATAATGAAATGAATGGAAATTTAAAAAATTACGTATAAACTTACTAGTCGATTATCTAATAAAAAATATTTAATAAGTTTAATGATAATGAGTCGTTTTAACAATTGAATTAATGATTAAATTACAACGTTTTTATGTATATAGTTGTATGTAAACAATTTTACAAAGAGGTTAGATTTTGTTGCGTCATCATGGAAACTCGCCTTAACAGAGCTACAACTGTATATAACGAACTTTTCTGTGTCGTTCTGAAATTATTTCTTTTTTATTTATTGATTAATCTCAGAGATATGAATTCAAAATGAATAAATGCATAGAACAAATTAGAAAATGAATTATAATATGGGACGAATAGAAGATCATTTTTTGTTGTAAAAAGACAATAAAGATATTGGAGTAATATTTGATTTTAGAGCATGCGTGATACCCGTGCATGTGTTTACATGTTGCATTTAAACTCCATAGTATATGTATTACTTTTTGTCTGGTTTGGTAATAGATATAGTTTGTGATTATGTTTATATTTCGCAAAACAAGAATCAAATAAATGTAATGTAAAAAACTTAAAGTAATATCTGTAAAAAAACAAATAATTATTGTACTGAAACAATATTAAGAACATATGTAATAATTATAAATACTACACCATATTTGATATCTAATCGTTCTGAAGTATAAACATCTATATAAATACGGTTTTATAGGCTATGTAATGATCAAAGTGTTGTTTAGTGTTTAATACAATTATAATATAAAAATATTTAGAAAGTTTATTTTTTTTATGGAATTGAATGATATTTATAATTTATAAATATTCTTATATTGTTTAAAAATGAGTGCGACAAAAAATAATGGTCGTGCAACTGGAAATGGACTTGAAGATCTAGGAATTCCTGGTCAAATCTTTCTAAGAGATGCTTTAACAAGCTGTACAGATCCTCTTAAAGCAATTGAAGAATTTCAGTTAAAGAATGGAATTTTATTACCATCTCTAAGGCCTATGCTTCCACTTCTAGATCTTCATGGAGTTCGAAGACTTGATTTTCACGCTTCAGTGCTTGAGGAACTGAGGGATAAATTAATAAAACGCATCAATGAAATTGGTACAGAACGAGGAGAAAAAAATGCTAGTTCTGGTGATAAAAGACTAAAAGATATGTTATCAAAAAGTTTTTCTGCTGTTAGAGTTCCAGCATTAAGACCTGTTGTTATGGCTATTTTAAGAAATACTCCACATATTGATGATAAATATCTTCGAGTACTTGTAAGAGAGAAAGAGCTATATAATAGTGCTGAAACTGAGGTAAAACGACAAATTTGGAAAGATAATCAGAGTCTTTTTGGGGATGAAGTTTCACCATTATTTAGTAAATATATTATTGAAAAGGAGCAAGTCCTATTTGATCATGGGAATCTTAATAGTTTATTTTTTTCTCCATCACCAAAAGTAAGAAGACAAGGAGAAGTCGTTCAAAAATTAGCTCATATGATCGGACAAAGTGTGAAACTTTATGACATGGTTCTACAATTTTTACGAACATTATTTTTGAGAACAAAAAATATCCATTATTGTACTCTGCGTGCTGAATTGCTCATGGCTCTTCATGATCTTGAAGTTCAAGAAATTATTTCTGTTGATCCTTGTCATAAATTTACTTGGTGTCTCGATGCTTGTATTAGAGAAAAGAATGTTGATATTAAAAGATCGCGAGAGCTTCAAGGATTTTTAGATAGTATAAAGGTTAGTATCATTATATAAATGTATTTTATAGATACGTTATTTGTCACAAATATTAAATTTTTATATATTTCAAAATAGCGAGGCCAAGAGCAAGTATTAGGAGATTTGAGTATGATTCTTTGTGACCCTTATGCTGTAAATTTTCTTGCTAGTAGTGCAATAAAAATAGCCCTTCATCTGATCAATGGAGAACAACTTCCTCGAGACAATGCAGTACTGGTTTTACTTTTACGAATGCTTGCATTAGGGCTTTCTGCTTGGCAAATGATTGACTCACAAGATTTCAAAGAACCTAAATTAGATAGCCAAGTAGTTACGAAATTTCTACCAGCTTTAATGTCGTTGATGGTGGATGATCAAATTAGACAGTTGAATTGTAAATTACCTCCTGACGAAAGAGAGAGTGCAATTGCCATTATTGAGCATTCAGGACCTCCTCCAGATGCCTGCCAAGCTTATGCACAATTATCAGGAGTTGCAGCTGTATTATCGATGTATTATACCCTTCATGTTGGTGGAGCAGCTATAGGAATAAGTGCAAGTGCTGCCAGTACTACAAGTGGTATTGTTGGAAGTGTTGGTTCTGGTAAATCTCGAAGTGATGCAAGAGGATTGATGAGAGTACTTGCAACTCTTCCTAATTGTCATGCACAACGAGCTTTCGAAGATCCTTTTCTTCACACCCTCGTTTCTCTGCTTATCTTGAATATGGCCGATGAGTTCTCAAATGAATCTTTTTGTACTGTTATATTTGATGAATTCTTTTTAGCTGGACTTTCAAGAGATAATGTTATAAGACATTTGCTTAAATTACTTTGGTACATTTATCCTAAATTACCTGCTGCACGTTTGCATTCGTTAATGAAAACTCTTCAACCAACAAGCCAAGTAAATACATTTTTTAAAATTTTATTCACAATTATTTTCTAATGAATTTATGATTTGTAAACAAATCAATATTTTTTTTGCAGCATAACGAAGCTGTACATAGCCTTTATGAAGCTTTGAGGGAAAAAATTGGAAACAGATCAATGAATGAAACACATACAATGGGTCAAGATTCGATGGGGATGGATTGCTCTCCTTCATTAAGTGGGGTTCCAACTGTACCTACGTAAAAAATACTTTTGTAAAAAAACATTTCCATTATAATTCATTAAAATTAATCTACCTTATAAAAATATAAATCAAATTTAAAAAATTTAATACTCGAAGAATTTAATAAAAAAAAAACTTCACATTGAAATACTTCAAATTTTACTGTATATAATTGATTCGTTACAGTTTAATTGATCAATTGATGAAATAATTAATATTCATCATTAATGAATTAATCAGATATAGAAGATGCCCGACTACTATATAACAGGTATTGAATGGAAATAAATTATTGTGATCAGTAATATGATTATATCATGTGTTGTAATAATGTGATTAACATTAGTTTGCTACTGTTTATTGATAGTTTCAAGTTTCATTGCATCTATTCTACTTAAGACTGGTTTTACAATTATTTGAAAAAATTAAATATAAAATTATAGTTTCTAACATTACAAACAAATGTGTTTATCTAAGTGATAGCAAAATATTACCGAAATATCAAATTCACTCAAAATAAGATAAATAAACAATAGACAACGAAAACTAAAGAATTAACTAATGTTAACCTTTTAAATGTTTACTTCACATTAACATCATTACTTTCACAAGTGGATTGGAAAGCAGAAAAGTGTAAATAACATTTAAGTTCCTAAATAATTAAACTTTTGTGAAATATATAAAAAGATATCTACTGTTACTTAAAAATGCCAGTTCATCATAAAAAGCTCAAATATGAGGTAAGTTTATTTATTAACTGTCATTAGTTTCATGCAATTAATTGAATAAATGTATTATATAAAGAAGCGACGATCACATTTGATTAAACCTATTCAATCGTCATCAATACCTACTTCAAAATTTCACCAAGTGTGTTTTTCACCAAAAAGTAAAAGTTCTCAAGACGTGAAATCTCAAAGTAAATATAATGGTTTTACAAAACATAAAAAAAAATACAAATATTCCATAGATGAAATCAAATTAATCCAACCCGATTCAATTGATATTGAATCTCTTACATTTTCACCAACAAAATTATCCTCCTCTACATCTCGACAATTTGACTTCGATTTGACAAATTCTGGTAAAGTGAGTATACTTAATCTTGTATACATTTTTTTTTGTCTAACAAATGATCAATTGATATTTATTAATTTAGTGTCGTAGACATGTTGGAGATAATCTAGATTATCATATAACTCAATTAGAGAACTTCACATTTAATCCAGTATCACATGACAATTTGTATTCTTACTTAAACATGACAGAAGAACTAAAAGTTGATGAAGAAAATATTAAAATGAATTCGGAAAATCAAGAAAAAGAAGAAATCAGTAAAAAAGAAGAATTAACTGACTATGCAGATTCCGACAGATCACATTTGCGGTTCGATCATCAAAATGATGATGATGATGATAATTATACTGAAAGTGGTGAAGGAACTTTTAATGACAGGAGTGAAATAAATGAAGATAAAAATGAAAAATATGCGTTAAAACTAAAGGATGAAAATGATGATTATGAAGAAGAGGAAGAAAATTTTATGGTAGAAGAAGAACATATTGTTAGTGAAGCAGAGATATCAAGCATTGAAAGTAAAACTACGTATGAAAGAGGTAAAAATGATTGTTTGTATGTAATTTAATGTGAAAAATAATTGGTATACACGTATGCTTTATTAGTAATGGAATCAGTGATATTTAATACCACAATTACAAAAATGTCGGAAGCAGATGAAAAAAGGGCAGCTTTAGAAGAAGAAATCAAAGAACTACAAAAAGAAGTTAAAATGCTACAAAATGTAAATCACTTTTACAATAATTTACTGCATATTATTTTAAATCAAACAATGAGCTAAAAAAGAGTTTTTTTTTAGAAAGAAGATGCAACGGATAGCGATCATGAAATCTTAAAACAAAAACAATTGGATTTAGTGGAAAAAATAAAAGCGTTAGATTTTGCGACTAAAAAATTACAGGAAGATTTAGGTCTTGATTCATCTCCGAGTCATGATTATACTTCAGAATTCATTCCACCTATTTCTCGACCTAACTTAAAAGATCAAGAAACAGTGGAATCTAAGATAGATCGATGGAAAGCATGGGAAGACGATAATAAAAATGAACTTGAATCTTCTCAACAATCATATCTTGAGGATAAATTACCCAGAGTTATAGTTTGTGGACGTACAGATCATGGAATTCCTAGAATTGTTATTGCTGGTAGTCCAAAAGAAGTTAATGATAATATTAAAAATGCTAAAGACATTTCGGAAATAACATCAAATAATATTCAAGATAGACAAAATAAAGTTAATAATGGAATGACACAGTTGGAGAATGATCCGTAAGTTATTAAAATCAATATATGATAAGTATGTAATATATGGCAGTATATTTTCCAAACAAATGCCTATTGTAAATAATATTGAAGTTGTCTCTATATGATCAACTTTATATCAAATTAAACTCATGGGTCTATTATTATTTTTATTTTATAATAAATTTTAGTACTTATTGAATTTGTGTCTTTAGAGTGAAAATACAAGAAGAAAAAAATTACGTAGTTGAAAATCTTCAACAAAAAATATGCCATCTTCAATCAGAAATGCGTATGATTATGCGAGAAAATGAAAAATTAAGCCGGCAAATGACATTTTTGAATCAAAAAATTGGTTATCCAAACTGTCCTACTGATTGTTCGAGTAATTCACCACGATTTAGTCCACGTTCACAGACTAATCCTGACTATTGCAACAGTATTTGTGGTAATAATCAATGACAAAGTATTCTATGATTGCGTTACATATTGCAAACGTGTGTTCAGTTTTTGATCAAAGTTAACTGTGATTGAAATTTTAACATAATTATATTTTTGGATCTAGCACATTTGAAGCAACAAAAACTTAATAATAATTTTCAAAGATTATCTGGAGGTGGATCAGGTGAAAATATCTGTTGTTTCTCTCAATTATCTCCGAATTTTAACCAAGATAAATTCATGGCTTCTCGAGGTCCTACTTTAATTCCTGTATCAAAAATTAAATCCGCATCACAAGCATGTCCCGCAGAAATTGAGGATAAATTGATGAATTATGAAAGCGACACAAAGCAATTGGTTTTCTATTAAATGACCAACATTCGAGAAAGTTTGATGAATTAAAAAAAAAATAAGAATAATACTTTGTATAATTTTAGGAGCAACAGTTAATGACGATGGAAACAACAGTGCATCAAATAAAATTACAATTAGAAAATACTCAAAAAGAACGACATCAGTTACAGCAACAAAGTAAACTGCTTAAATGTACAGCTCCTTGTGCTCCATGTCCTTGTCCAAGTTCTGGAAATGTTCAAAACCCTTTGGCTTTTGATCAGGTAATGTTACCACCTTTCGTTATTGGAGATTCCTCTAAAAATAATAAAGTAATTTATCATATATATATATATATATATAACTATATTCAGCATCTTTCAAATGATACGTTTAAATTATTTCAGTCTATGACAGGAACAATTCCACCATGTACTGGACCTTGTACGAATGCTCCAACGGTTTGTAAATTTTAAAACATCCTTAATTATAGTTGCAGCTATAATTAAGGATGTTTCAAATCATGATTTGAAACATTGATTTGTATTTAATAGGGAACAAATGATTGTCTCTTACAACAACTACGTGATTTAAGAGAACAATACACTCGTTTGCAAGAAGATTATAAAAATAAATTAAAAGAAGTTTCTTACCATCGAACTAACATTGATAAGATGAAACAGGATGTAAGAGAAGCTATGAATGCTAAAGAAAAAGCAGAAAATCAAGTAGTTGATTTACAAGAACGATTAAAAATGTTTGAGTCCGATAAAAATAAATATAATGGTAGTAAGGAGCAAATTATGGAACAGGAACATACATTAATAGTAATGAAACAAAGGTATAGAGAATCCCAAGATGAGCTTGAAGAATTAAGAGCTTTGATTCAAGATCAAGCTAATCAATTAGAAGATTATCGCAATAAATATTTGCAGGTTTATTTTTTATTAGAGACAATATTTTTAAGGCAAAGTATTTAAAATATTTTATCAAAATTATATATTTAAGGCTCAAGAACAAGTAGAGGAACAAAAAAGACAATTAGATTTAATGGAAATGGATAATGCTAGAATGAATGATAATGTTACTTTAGAAATAGGAAGAGTGAAGGTAGGTATCAGCATTTATGAATATTTGTCAAATCTTTTTTGTTATAAATTTTAATTCCAATTCATACAAGAATCAATTTCAAGAAAAATTGGCTGAATTAGCACCTCTACCCGATCTTCTTAAACAAACTCAAATCAAACTTCAAGAATGTCAACAAAAACGATTAGTAGCAGAGAGGAATTGTGAAGAACTTACGAGAGAATTATTGAGTTGTAAAGAAAAAATTGGAGCTATGACCAATCAATCAGAAATGTTAAAAAATGAAAATGTTATGCTAAAAGTATGTTCAATGTTTTTTTTTTCGAAAAAATATTGTTTACTATTTGTTTATTGTTGAAAATTTTTTTAACTCAATTTAGGGTTCGAATCCAGATCAATTGGATGATTTAGAAAATAGCAATCGAGAATTAAGAAATGAAAACGAAAGGTTGAAGAATGCAATCGCAAGATTTGAAGATCGAGAAGCAGACAATAAAAGAAAACTTGATGAAAAAGCACATGAAATTGTTCAGTTGACTTCAATGTTAGAACAAATTCGTGAAGACTCAGCAAGACAAGTAAGTAGAACAAAAGAAAGATGTGAGACTGTGAGGAGAAGTATGCAAGCTCAAATTAATGAACTTGAGACGCAGTTAGTACAGTGCAGAGCTGCAGCAAAATCAGCACAAAGAGATCGAGATGAGGTTTGCATGATTAATAAATCTTTATTTCAAAGTGAAAAAAAACAGGTCACATTGATAATATAAATGCTTTGATTTTATATATAGATCAGACAAAAAATGCAAGGTCAACTAAATCATTTGTATGAAAACTTTGATCTTGCTCAAGGTAGAATTCGAACTCTTCAAGCTCATGTTAATTATTTAAAGACATCCTACAGCAATATCTTCAATCCTGTAAAACCTGGAGAAGATCAAATGAATTCTTCACCACCGTCTTTACCATTAGAAACTAATATATTGTAATTGGCTTATTATGATTATATCCAATTTATTTATAAAACTTGTTATTTTAATACTTATTTAAGTAGATTTAATAACAACTTTAAGGTAGAAGGAAGGCCATTAAACTATTTGAAGTATGATAACATTATCCAGTTTAGGCTCTTGAAAAATTTTATTTGGAAATATTCAATTTTTACATATATATATAAAAATGTAACAAAAGCCAAAGATACTGTGATAATTATATATTTAGTCACTTAATCGTAAAACAGATAAGACTTTATTTTTTTATGACAGTTTTCAAGCGCTTATTACTTTTTCTTTTTTTAATCGCTCAATATTTTCATTTTTTTTTATTTAAATTAGGTGACTTTTCATTTCTATTTATTTATATTGATTTATATCTATGTATATGTATATATACTTAATCAGTATTCAATACACGACTAAGCATTTCTCGTAGAGCATCTGACTTTGAATTAAGGTTCGTAATTGCAACGCGGAACTCTGCGAGTTCAGCTTCAATGTCTGTTGGTACACCAACATGTTTCTTGCAGCTGCAACACCTGTATAACATATTGAATATTTAATATCATTTTCAAAATCTATCAGTATTGCAGTTTTTTAAAAAATATATAATTATTTTTTATTGATACTCACTTTTTATCGGAACTGTTGTTAGATGATTGTTTTGGGCATGATAAATTGGAAGGTGCTGAATCAATTCGAATAGTTGGAATGGATCTAGTATTTGTAGATATAGTTTCGGGGATATGACTACTATCAAAACTAGTAGTATGAGGATTTTTGCAGTCACTACAGCCTTTAAAGAATTCCATTAGAGTTCGGACACGTTTGCTTCGATATCGATTCTTTTTTTCCTTAAATTAAAACAAAATAATGAGTAATTAGTTTAGTCACTTCTTCAACTCATTAAGTTAATAACATTTCTAAATAATTACCTCCAAAACTTCTGGGAACCTCGGAGGTAGAAAGACTTCTTCGTCAGGGCAACTTGCTCCACACATATGCAAATCACTGTCATCATTCCTTACTTGTGGGTTACGATTAATTATTTCTGGAGAATGATAACACGATCTTTTATAATTTCGAGGATAAGAGTCTTCAGTTTCACTGTTTAAATTACACTGATGTATTAACGATGAGCGCCTACAATAATTTTCGGAATTTTCTTCACATGGCATGTGACTTTTATAACAATTATAAGTTTTGTTGTTTATCGGATTAATTGTGGATTTTGAATCTTGACCAATTATTGTACGAGTCATATCATACAGATAGTGGATATTATCGGTCATTCCTTCATCCTTTTTAAATCCACATTCTCCAACACTCTCTTCACCTTTATGAAGACAGCAAAATTGTTTATCTGGCGAATTTAAATTATTGAAATGAGACTCGCAAGATGAAGCGAACGATTTCTGAAGATTTTTTGATTTATTTATTTCTTTAAATCCACAAGTGGAATTGCCACAATGGTGATGGTTTGGTGTCCCACTTATTTCCTCTTCTGAGCAATGATTTACCGGAGATGGAGTTCGATTTATGATGGACCTTAAATGTCGACAAATACTAGCTTTTACGGATGAGGCAGTCTTAGCTTTTTTGTTTTTTGAACATGGAATATAATCCATCTTTTCACTGGATGCTTTTGACCATAGACTTTCAATGTTTATTTTATCTGATAAACACTCATCGGAATTGTCGGATTGATCTTCTACAGAGTTAATCTAGAAAACATTTGATCAAAATTAATACATTATTTTCATATGTGTAATAATAATAAAAGACATTTTTATCATAACAATTAAATATATAAATTATTTTTCATTTAAATAACAAAATTTTAATCGATAAAAACATGCTGAATAAGCGTATAATTTATGCTTAAATATTCACAAAATTAAAATAAAAGTGATGGTTATGTAGAAAAGAAAATCATTAGTGTAAGTTTTTGCTTGAAAACTAAATAAAACGTGAAAAGCTTTGAAATTGTGATCGAATAAAATCTTTAAAACATATAAACAATGATTCAGAGGAAAGTGAAGAATAATTTAATGTAAATTCTTACGATTATTACCGGTAAAATTGAAAAGAATTTTTATTTAATTTATTTGAGTAATAAAAAATTATTTATACCTCTTTTCCCCAAATGTTTAGTGTTCCATTAGCCTCAGATATTCTAACTTCAACATTACCAAGAAGATAAGGTCCGCAATGTCGAACTTGTCCTTTGGTTTTTGGAGAATCTTCTGCTATTGAAGCTTGTATTAAGCAACTTCGTTGTTTAGATTGCCCATTTTCATGCCAAACAATACATTTGACATCATCATCTTCGTTATTATCATTTTCTTGTTTTTTCTTCTGAATTCTATTGACTCCATCATTTTCTGTTAATCCGCATCGAGATGATCCAGATGGTTCACCAGCAGCATCTGTGTCAGAATTGGAATTGAATTTTCTTCGATTGTTGATAGATATGAAAGGGATTTTAAATGGTTTAGATCCACAAGCAGATGATTCAAATGTTTCTGAGGCTTTTCTTTTGCGAGAATTCGATTCCTTTTGCATTAAAGGAGTATTTGTCTCTTCTGACTGACCTTGAACGTTAGGCAATTGTCCTCCAACGTTTTCATCAGTTTTTCCAGGTGTGAGGGAAGCAAGAGCTTGTATAATCCGTGTAGTGGTAAGCACTGTTCGAGGAGAATTTGCTGTAGTTTTATTTTTTGGTGTATTTACAGCAGTGCTAGTATCAGAATTGATAATATTTCCAATAGTTGGTGGATTCATTGATACAACTGGGCTATAATCACTTGCAGTCCATTGTTCAATTGAGCTTAAAGTCGATCCAATTGAGCTCATAGATATTTTCGCACTCGAAGGTTGCAATTGAGTTTTTGTACTTGTATGAATCATAGTTTTTGGTTGATCTTCAGTCTGTACCGCTACCTCTTGAACTGTTCTAGATTTTTTCTCGTTCTCTAATTTTTCTAACATCTGTTTCAAATTTTCTCGTTCTTTTTTTAATTCCGAAATCATATCCACGACTTTCCGATATTCTTTGCCTATTTTTTCAAATTCTTGCTCTTTGTTATTTAACTGAGATTGAAGAATCATTATCTCTGAAGATTTTTCTTCACATTCAATTTCTTTTTTTCTTAACTCTGCCATCATTGTTTCATCAATCATTATTTTTTTAGCATTATGTGCTTCAATTATAGAGGTGATATTCATTGGCTTTATCATTGTTTCATTGTCAACAATGTATTCAATTTGATCTTTATTTACTTTCGGTTCTTCCATTCTATGATTTTCTCGAGTATTTTTATTTGTAAAATTTCTATTAGATATTGTTTGAAGATTTGGCATTTTTGTTCCTTGTTTTTCACTCTTTATCAAATCTTCTGGTTCTTTTTTTTCAGTTTCTTTATAGTTCATTGTCATTTTTCTTATATTTTCTTTATCATGTTTTACTTTTCCATTTAATTTTTCAATTTGTTCATTATAATTTACATCTTTAACATGATCCTCTTCTAAATCTACTTCCATTTGTAATTCATTTGATCTATTATAACTATCCTTCACATCAAATACATGCATTTCCACACCATTTTCTATCACATGATTATTTATATTTACTTCTGTAAGACTAGGTGATTCTCTAGATTTTATAGTAGGGGTTCTACGATCGTTACGATCTTGTAAGCACCGTGTTTGTAAATTCATAATTAAATTATTGTCGTCTTGGTTCATTTCTAAAATAATTTTTCGATATAATTATAAGATATAATTATCTTATTACAGTGATATTAAAAAAAACAAAATGCTTACCTTTCATGTTATAATTTCCCATTGAGATTTCATGAACAGTGGTTGGTTTCTCATGACTTTTTTGTTCATCAGAATTGTGAGTAAAATCTTTAAGATCCTCGATATATCGTTTGACTTTCATTGGAATGTTGTTATATTTTATTGATGGAAGTAAAATTTGTTTAGAATAAAAAACCGGTTTATAAAGAGGGTTTTCTTTCATAACTCCTGTTTCATACTCGGAACCGACTAAAATCATTTGCTTTTTACAATTCATCTTTCCTGATCTTTTTCCGGTACTTGAAAGATCTTGAAGTGATCTACTACGTTCTTTGCAATGTTTATTTAACCCTGCTGCTGAACTTTTTAGAACATAGTCATCAGATGATCTTTCAAATTGTTCTGGTTCAATATCATCATCATCATTTTCTTCATCTATTTCTGTTTCTTCATCTTCATCATCATTTTCTTCATCGTCACTTTCTTCTTCTTGCTCAAAATCTATAAAAAATGGAATAAATTTAACGAAGAAAATTTTTTTATTGTTGATAAATATCAAGTTTCACTTACCATCACTATCTCCATAGCCACCATCATCATGTTCTCCATCATATGCTGGTCTATCACTTTCGTCTTCTGAGGAAACATCATAGACACTTTTTTCGTCCTGAGTTACACTCCGAGGACTAGAATTTTCAGGAAGAGCTTTTGAATCATTTGGTTTCGGTGAAGCTGTAATACTTGTTATACTTAGATAGGTAGGCATTGTTTCGTCTTCAAGCATTGACGATTCGGCATTTTGAATTTTTTCAACTTTTTCCTCTTCGATGTATGATGCTTCTTCTACAACTTCTTCAATATGTTTTGTATTATCTGGTAAGACTTCTGTGTCTTCAGCCATTTTCGAAATGCAATTAAATAAATGATTAATTAATACTAAAATTACATTTATTACTTTTTCCAAAACCACACGTTATGTTTTTTTCAACTATACTATAACCTTAAATTGTGTACAACAATGAGAAGAGAAATCTGAAGTGATCAGATTCTAATACTAGAGGCGCTAGTAGTATAGCAATTAAAGATGCAAGAGAAAAATAAATAAAAGACTCATTACAATCAAAGTATCCATATTTTTAAATATTTCTTTGGTAATTATATTTTGTAATATCAATAACATAGCATCATAATTTGCCCGAAAAAAAAACATTATTTTAAATCAAATTTTATTCAAAATTTAGTTCGTTAATTAAACCGCACAGTGCCGTAACCTTTGTAAAGACAATTTCTAGTAATAAATCACTAGTATGAAGTTAGTCACTTTTGAAAAGGCGGTTACATCAAAATAGATTTCTACGGTAAAGTTTTGACATTTTTTATTTACTTCTATCATATATTTTTTTTTAATAATAAATAATTTATATCAAATCAAATGCATAAATTTGTATAAAAAATATTTATGCTATAAAATTTTTAATTTATGTAATTTGGAATTTATAATTTAAAATGTAATTAGACAATTCTTTCGAAGCTGTTGATTCCTTGATATTTTTTATCTGTAAAAAATAATGACTTTAAAATACATTAATAGTTATTGATTTATCATGATAAATTTTATTTAAATAAATTGACTACCAATTCAGTCATTCTGTGTTTGTATGCCGATCCTTCATAGCTTGTAGAAAAAATAGAATATTCCAATCCTCTTGCCAAATGAAAAAGATATTTAGTTTCTATGTCTGGCTTATTTATACAAGATGATCCTTCGTAATTGTCATATAGAGCTTTTTGTAAAATCTTATAAATATTATATCTATCCTGAAAATTTGATTGAATATAGTACAGTTATAATACAGAAATTTTACATTGTATAATTATTATACTTACTTCAGGCTCAAGATTTTTCACAATTCCTTCAATCTTGTTTAGATTATAAACTTGTAAAATAGGTTTCTGTTTAAGTTTTGGTAACATACCACGCTGATCAACGAATTCTCGGAACTTTTTCTGTCTCGTCATAACAAAAGACTCTTTTTCACAAAAATCACAAGCATCACCACAAGGGTTTATGTTTATTCCAAAATATACTGAATACACCATATGACGACATCTGAAATTAATGAAGAGCATCAAGAAAATATCAACTTTAATGTACAGATTAATATATTTTTTCATACTCCGTAGACATGCAATACTGTATCATACTCCCAAATCCTTCAAAAGTTCTACTAGGTACTCCCATAGCAGTGACCTGCATATTTATCCAATCCTCAATACCGAAATAAATTCGGCAAAGAATTGCAGTATTATTTTTTAAATGACTTCCAATTTGTCGATAATATTGTTCTATTCTTAATGGACTAGACCAGTGAATAATACATCTAATCGAAGGCTTATTGAATTTCATTACGAATTTATGAGTAATTGCTAATATTGTGATATTTCCACTCATCCAATCCTTCTCAATTTGTTCTCTTTGCTTTTTTTTTAGTTCTAAAAATGTATTTATGTAATATTAATATATTTTCTGAGAAAATATAAATGAAAAATAAATGTAACAATTATCACTTGAACAATATGCTCCTGTAGGAATACCAATTTTAGTTAGGTATTCTGTAATCATAATTGTTTCATCACATTTTGAACAAGAAATAATTCCAGAAAACTCTTGTGGAATTTTCATAAAATTTTCAATGAGCTTTCTCATGTCATCGAGTGGATTATCTAAAATATCTTTATATTTTACTTGAAGATAGATATTTGGAAGCTGCCAATCTAAGTGGCTTATTTCTCGAAGGTTTTTTAATTGTAAATAGTTTTTTATATCTGTTATAATATTTTCTGTACCAATTGAAGTCAGAACAATGAACTTGATATGAGAATAAACATCTCGTATTTGACAAATTTTTCTATATAATTCTGCAGATCTTTCGTAGTGTTCACTCATGCAATGTGCTTCATCTACTACAATAAATGAAATTAAATTATGAGCATCCAACGTGTTCAAAAAACTCTACGAAAACAAAATGTACTCATTAGTTCAATAATTTAAGGATCTAGAGAATGAAACATCTTTACCTGAAACCAATCACTCATAAGCATGTGTGGCGTCACATAAATGAATTTGATTTTTTTTTCAAATCTTTCAAAACTTTCTAGTATATTACATTTCTCATTTTTCGAATAACCATAAGATACTTTAATATTATGTTCTTCTAGAAATTTTATTTGTTCCTTGAAAAAAAAGAACACAGTTGATATTATGAACAATTTTAATTCAATTATAATAATGAACCATACTTCGGCAATGTATTTGTTGGGTACAATTACAATAGTAGTTTTTCCATGACATAACATTGTTGGTAATTGAAAACAAATAGATTTTCCAGCAGCAGGAGGTAAATTAATTAGAACATCCGAATTTTCTGTAAATCAATTTGTCATTAAAATAAAATTTGATTCTTTTTTTATGTGAATAATAGTAAAAAATTTTTTAACCTGCTGACATTACAGTTAAGGTAGCATAATACTGATCTTCTGATTTAAATGATTCAAATTTGAAGAACTGTCTTAATTTTCTTTGTAATTCTTCTTTCTTTTCATCTACCATGATTATTCAAAAGTTGAAATACCTTTTGATACAATAAAAATAGCTTCCCAAAAATTCTCACATGTATCCAAGTGTTTTTATTGAAAAATTGAATCGTATGAGTAAACAAACAAAGCCGATAATTAAAGATAACCAAACAGAGAGAAAAGTCTTCTATCTGCTAAAATGACTGGGAGGACTCATCAAACAAATTCTTACACATAAGAAACTTTTTTTTTGTTGACCAACTATTTATCGACCGAGAAATAAAACGCGGGAAATTTTACAAATTAAATATTCGTACTTGGAATATTATAAATATTTATCTTTTATATGATCTGATTAATGCAATTATTCCAAGAAGTGCACATTTCGATTCATAAATATACATTTATCTATGGAAATTGTTTTGCAGCCAAAAAATAGATGTATTTTTTAAAACAAAAAAATGTACTTATGGTTATATTTAAAGTATTTCAAAAAATTTCTTTTAATGTATTAAAAACAATTTTTTTCTGTATCTGACTATTTCATCACAGAAATGAATCCAATAGTTTTGCGCCGGCCCGAATCACATTCACAGTAAATAGATAATAATTCTAAAAATGGTCAAGATGTTATCATTTAATAATGAGTTGACTCACTCTCTCCAAATTCTAAAAATATTCACGTTCAATTAATAAAATCAAATTTTGCAAATTAATGTAAGTAAAAATTCACGTTAATTAATACATTTTAATGAATCAATGAGCCAATATATTTTATATAATTCAAAAATAATAACAATAAACGCCAGTAAATATGAATAATACTTAAGCTTCATTAAACCTCATCCTATTTATTATTCTTCATGATTGCATCATTTTCATATATTGAGTCTGATTAAATAGCTTCAATGTCCACTGACGATTGTATTTTACGCACGGGTTCATTTTGCATAATTTTTTATGATTAAATAACAACCATACGCCAATGAGATAATTAACATTATAGAGTAAAAATAAAATTAAAAATGTGAAATTTCGTTGAAAGATATTTAAATACAATTCAAATATGTGGGTAAATACAATAACTATTATTTTTATTTTATTACAGTTTATTTATATTATATTCTTAGCTAATAAATTTTAATGAGAAGATATATATTTTTTTATTATTATGATACAATAATATCCACTTATGTATGCATGCATATTCATATAGACATACATGTGTAGTTCTTTGAGATAATGAAAAGATGAAAAATTTCAAAGTACATAGAAGTGTGAATCATGCCGAGGAATATCGACAATAATCGAGACTACCCGAGACATTCGCGAATAAAATGGCGGCTGCAATCAAGTAATTATTTTCGAAAAAGTATTCCGGTTGCTGATAATTAAAAAAACTTATTGATATTGTTGATGATAACAATAACCACATCTCAATTTTTATTTGAATTTAATCGTGAGTACATTGTTAACGAAGATTATAACTTAATTATAATGTGACTAGCATTTGGACTAATGCAGGCCATCAGCGTTTTGTCAAGTATAAATGATGACTTCAATGTTGCCCAGTTTTAACCCTCCAATTGTTAAACGGTTGCTGGGTTGGAAAAAAGCCGAAGGTGAAGACAAATGGAGTGAAAAGGCTGTGAAAAGTCTTGTTAAAAAACTTAAAAAGTCAACTGGTCTTGAAGAACTTGAAAAGGCCATTTCCACACAAAGTTGCAACACCAAGTGTATTACCATACCAAGGTACATTCAGATATTTTTGCAATCATGCTAAAAAATGATTTTAATAATTCATTGCTCTTTTTTGTTGATGTATGTATGATGATAAATGCTACAATGTTTCTTCACAGGCAGATAGATGTTGAATTTGATATCATACTAGATGATATAATATTTTGAAGTGTACTTTGTTCTAGGCCTAGTCCTGGAGTCGTAAACGAGAACGGGATCCAAGGAGTTAGAGGAAAGGGCCTACCACACGTCGTTTATTGTCGTCTTTGGCGTTGGCCTGATCTTCAATCTCATCACGAACTCAGGGCAATCGATCATTGCGAGTACGCCTTTACTCAAAAAAGAGAAGAAGTCTGTGTGAATCCTTATCATTATCAAAGAATTCAAACGCCAGGTGTGTGTTAGCGGGAAAATTACTTCAATGAAAAGACTTTATCGGTAGCATTTATCTATACAATAAAAACTACTAACAATGTCGTATACTTACAACATTGTTAGCAGTTAGTATCTATGCTATAAATTATTTTTATCTAGTTTTACCGGCAATTCTGGTTCCACGACACAATCTTCCGGGTGACGAATCAGTACTCTATAATACATCTCTTGAAGAACTTAGTGTCAGTGTTCCAGAAAATACGAATTTTCACGCTACTTTAAATCATCGAAATAATCAGCAGGAGGTTTCTCAAACTTCCCAACAACAATCAAATAATCCATATCAAGGAATGCAGGTATATTTTAAATATCTGCTAACTCTTATATGGTTGATTAGACGAATTTATTAAAATGGAACCATTCTTTATCAAGAGTATGCAAGCAACAAGTCCGGCGAGTGTTGGAAGTTTAGGAAGCGTTCAAGGCTCACCTCATCCCGTATCTGGATCTATGGATCCACCAGCTGATACACCACCTCCAGGTTACATTAGTGAAGACGGTGATAATATAGATCACAATGACAATATGTCTCTTTCACGTTTATCACCTAGTCCAGTTGATGCTCAACCAGTTATGTATTGCGAGCCTGCATTCTGGTAAATATTACTTATTTATTGTATTGTCTGACAAAATAGATAAATACAAAAACTCATTTTTATAAAATTTTAGGTGTTCTATAAGTTATTATGAATTAAATACAAGAGTGGGTGAAACATTTCATGCTTCTCAACCAAGCATAACCGTAGATGGTTTTACAGATCCTAGTAATTCTGAGAGGTTTTGTCTCGGTTTGCTATCAAATGTCAATCGTAATACCGTTGTAGAACAAACCAGACGTCATATTGGTAAAGGAGTTAGATTATATTACATTGGCGGAGAAGTTTTTGCTGAATGTCAATCTGATTCAAGTATCTTTGTGCAAAGTCCAAACTGTAATCAACGTTATGGATGGCATCCAGCAACTGTTTGTAAAATACCACCAGGTACGATAATTAATTATTAATAAAAAACTAATAAACTATAATTTAGTATAATAAATTTATTAGTTATCTAAAATATTTTCTTTTCAGGCTGTAATCTTAAAATTTTTAATAATCAAGAATTTGCGGCACTTTTATCGCAATCAGTATCACAAGGATTTGAAGCAGTGTATCAACTTACGAGAATGTGTACAATCAGAATGAGTTTCGTGAAAGGCTGGGGTGCAGAATATCGTCGACAAACTGTAACATCAACACCTTGTTGGATAGAATTACATTTGAATGGGCCACTACAATGGCTTGATAGAGTTCTTACTCAAATGGGTTCACCGCGTTTACCATGCTCTTCAATGTCTTAAATATAGTAATCGACTGATGGTGGAAAACTGTTAGGAGGAAGGAATGATCTGTGAATTTATTCGTCTTTTAACAGTAATAAATATTTGCGTATGATTTTCATTTTATTGATTAACAATTTTTAGATTTTAGATAAACGACTGAAATTATTTATCATTTTTAAAATCATTACGATCTATTTTAATTCAAAATTTTTCGTCGCATAAATCATTAGCTGCAACAACTGCCGCTTTTTTTGACGGGTTGAAAGACGTCTGTGATTGTGCAGATTATGTAATTATCGTGTGCAGTTATATTAAGAAAAACCGAAAACATTCAAGATATATAACGTTAGATTTCGCACTTTCCAAATATTGTTATCACAAAAATATCACATAGTAAGATTAAGCAAGATTGAATGCAATGATATAACTTTGGATTAATATTATTCTGTGCATGTTTTTAAAATGTATTTAACAATTATTTGTTAATGAATAATTATCCATTTTTTGCATTAATATGGATATAAAAAAATACTGTTATGTTTTATGAAAAATAGAGATCAACCATTATTTCAAATAATGGTTTTTAAATATATTATTTGTATACGCTATTATTTGATATATTTTTAACTATAAGTATTTAAAAGAATTATGTTGAGAGTAATTTACATTCAATCCACTTCTAAAAGTGTATTCCACTTTACCTTTCATTTTTGATACAAAGTAACTTGAAGTTGCACCATGATCCTACGAACGATACATATTATATATAGTTAAAAGATAATATAAACATTAGAAATAATTTTATACTTCAAAACATTGTATTATCAAATATGACGTCATTATTAACATACCCTTTAACTAGTCGGTGGCCGAATTGTAAGATGCCAGATCTATAAACAGAATGATTTGGAGTTGAGTCCAAATCTAAATTTATTAACAAATCTATAATTCTTACAGACTACATTCATAAATGCCACATAATCTTAAATCGAGGATTATTTAACATAAAATATAATAAAGTTGATAATTCCATATTTATGTACATGTCTTTGTTCTCAATTAACTGGTATATAATTTAATATATCAGTGGCATGTATGTTTATTTAAATATTTATTTACTGTATAAAACATAAAAAAAAAAAAATTACACAACAGAATATCATTGATCATTGAAAAAAAATGTATTTAGATACACCAACGATATTTCAAGCCTAAAAAATCAAATTTTTTAAAGTGGAAACACAAATTTATCTTTAAAAAGATATATTAATTTGAAATGCTTTAGGAAATTATTATTATTATTATTATTTAAATAATTAATTTTTTATTCATTTAACAAAGTTTATCATACAGATTTTTATGTCACGTAAGTTTAAATTAAGTATAAGTTGCAATTAAAAGCAAATTTTTTCGTGATTGTCATATACTGATTGTGAATTGTGTTTGATTAACATAAAGTGTTCCATTTTCTAATTATCTGAACAAAATGAATCGATTTTACATTAAATTGTTGTTGAAACAATATTTCTTTTTTTTCTCAACTAATGACATTTTCCATACATCATTTAATAATCATCATCATTATTTCTTTTAGGCAAATAATTGAATACAAGTTCAATTAGTTTTATAAAATAATTTATTTTTTCCATTTTTATTAAAAAAAACTTACTTTATTAGTGGCTCTGTACATTATATAATATTGTAAATTTAAATCACAACTGGTTTGTTTAATCTTTCATCATTAATCTATGGTATTCTTGTAAATGTAAAGCTTTTGTCTGAATATCCAAACAACGAAAGAATTCGTCCAAATCTTCAGTTGGGTTCCGGTGATTATTTTGTTTTTGTGGTTTGCATTTAGGTTGAGTATAATAATTATGATTCTGAGTTCCTGGGACGTATTCAGATTCTATTCTTCCGTTTTCTTCAAACATGTTATTTTGTATTCCAGAAGTAAATGATGGCATATAATTATGTTCATATTGCATATTTGGGGGATATTGATATTCTTGAGTAAAAAAATCACTTTCAGAAAATGAATTTATATTCTGACCTTTAAATTCACTATTGTATACACTTGAATATGTAGCATCATCCATACAGCTATTTTCATCAATAACATCTTTCCATTCTTGAAAGTGATTGACATTTTCACAGTTTTTTGTATCTTTTGTTTCATCCATTAACTTCTTTTCTTTTGCTTGCTTTAAAAATTCTTGAAGATCTTTAAAACTTATTTCATCCTCTCGTTTTCTTTTCTTTTTAATTTGCTGTTCAAGTTTTATTCGTTCATTTTTTGTAAAATCAAACATACACTCTTTTAATTTTAATAATTGAGTGTAAGAATTTTGAAGTGAATGAATATTCGATCTCAGATCGTAGTAATTTTTTAAGTCTGTTTCTGACATTAATTCATGTAATAATTTATTGAAAATAATAGGACGAGGTAATATGTAATTTAATAATAGACTAAAAATACTTTCATTTTGTTGATTTTTCGAAGTAGTATATTCATCCTCAAACTTCAAATTATTACAGAAGTGAAAATATATAACATCTGTCATCTTTTTCTGAAATCTCAAAAATTGTTCCAAGTACTGCCAATATTTTTTTAAACCCCATTTTCTGCCTGTATCTATTATATATAAACTATTCATGTTGAGTAATTTATTTACCCCTTCTATTTCATGTTCTAACATTTTATTCCACATCAATATATTCTTTTTACAAGACTCTCTGTCATTTTTTTCTAAATTGAATGATGTGTTTGGTAGATTTTCGAATAATCGTTCCAAACATGTAATTAATTTTTTATTTACTCCTGATAATAATTTACGTGATTTAATAATAGAGTATCGATGTGAATAGCAATGCCATGGACTCGTGTCTTCAGTCTTATTCTGGGATGAATCAAAATTTCTATCATATATTTGATAATTTAAAAACTCATTTATTTTAGTGTCATCGACAGGTTGATCATTATCTATAACATTCGGGGAACAAGTTGGAAATATAACTGTATCATTCCATGTTTGAAATTGTGAAGATTTAGTGAACAATGCTTCATAAAAGCGTTCTTGCGTCTCATTTATAATACATTTCACTTTTTTATCCTTTTGATTAATTTCTAATATATCCATTTTATCATTATATAATTTTTCGATAAATTCATCTATTGGAAGAAATACTATTGTCTCTGTTTGTAAGACCTGTTGAGTAAATTTAGGGTTACCCTCATCAGATTCTTTGAAATTATTGATTTTGCTACTATTCAAGTGCTTTTCAAAAGCCTTGCATAACATAAATTCATCAACCGTATTTATTTCATCGTTTATATCGTTTGTTTGAGGTTCATTGTTTTTATGAATTTCTGAGTCATCAAAATCGCCATTACTTTCTTTTCTTTCAAAAAATAAACTTAAATCTTCTATCTTTGTGTTCCAAATACTTTCTGAATAGTCAGGACATTTGAATAACAATAAATGAGGACTGACTATAGGATTTATCATATCTTTAAACGTATCTAATTCATTTTCTGCCACTAAAGTGATTGCGATTCCATAGGATCCGTAACGTCCAGCACGACCTATTCTATGTAAATACGTTGAACAATCATTTGGAATGTCGTAGTTTATTATCAAATTAACATTCTCAGCATCTATACCACGTGCTGTTAAATCTGTTGAAAATAATACTTTACACTCGAAATTTTTTAATTTCGATATTGCATCTAATCTTTTGGACATATCTTGATTACCAGAAATGTATGTTGATGAATATCCTAACTTATTCACATTATTACAAACCGATTGAACTCTAAAAAAATAAGAACAAGTATTTAAAAAAATGTCTTTATGAAAAAGTTGAAAAATTAGCATAATTTGTAAAAAATATACCTGGTTTGATAATTCAGAAATACTAAGCACTGTTTAAATGGAATTTTTTCGAAAATTTTTATCAATTCTTCGGTTTTCAATTGCACCTAAAAAAAGTAAATTTTTATTATTGTTTGAACTCAGTATACTTCATAAAATAATTAATTATAAATATTTTTACTTGTTTCATTTTGTTTGGATGTGATACAACATTTGTAACAAATTGTCTAACGCCAATAAGAATAGGGTTGTCACTAGAAGGTGAAGAATAATGAGGAGATCGCATGTATTTAGATAAATAAGTTTGTAAATCAGGTGGATAGGTTGCACTAGCTGTTATTACCTGTTTATTTACAGGTAAATATCCAAAAATTTCACTGCAATCATCAAGATTAATTAGTTTTTCTTATAAATATAATAACGATTAAATTCTTTCATGTGAAATATTTGTGGACATACTCAATATCATCTCGAAAACTTGAATCCATCAATTTATCAGCCTCATCAAGTACAAATAATCTTATATTTTCAACGTTTATCATGCTTGTTTTAATTAAATGTTTCAATTTTCCTGGTGTACCAACAATAATGTGATTGTTATAAGAAATTTTTGTTCCTACTTTCGCAGGGATTCCTCCGATTATACTGCCAACTTTTAGTCCTGTAAAATAAAAAAACTCATTTACATAAAAAATACACAATTTTTTTGAAAATCAGAATGAATTATTAATTTAATACCTTTCATTTCTGAGCCTATAGATGCAAGAACCTGGGATATTTGTATGGCAATTTCTCGAGTCGGGGCTAGAATCAATACTTGGGGATGTACATCTTTCACATATACCATATCTAGTGCAATTATTCCGAAAACAGCAGTCTTTCCAGTTCCTGACTTTGCTTGGATGATTAAATCTGCAAGATACAAGCAATTTACTAAGCCATAAGTGTTGTCTACGGCAGACTTTTTCATTTACTTTATTGAAAGTTATGGAACTATTATTAAACATATATTATTCTGGTAAAATCTCTTTTATTTGAAAATATTTATACTTGAAACTATATTTTTTCATTGTTACTCTCTTGGTATTTTAAAAGTTTTTCTGCGAAAGAAATCTGTCTGGGCAGTTCTTTAACAAAAATTATGCCCACCCTTCGTCATTCATTCTCAGTACTCTCATAAAATATCTGCACGCTCTTCTTTTTATTCGCAACCTGCAACAGTCAACACCTGCTCGTTTCTTCGTAAGTAGTCCGAAGTATTTCCAAGGCCGCTTCACCGGATCTTCCAAATAGTCTGCTAACCACATTACTTGGTTTCCAACACCAGACTTGGGCACAATACATAAAGACAGCTTCAATCAACGGAATATGAACAGCTTTTTTAGCAAGTTCGTTTATGTAGTTTTCACTAAGTTTTATGTTGAGTTTCTACTTTTTGAGCTCTTCCAATTATCTTGCGCTTTAAATACCCAGTCATTATAATTTTTTCTAAAGTTTATTATACATTCAATTAAGGTAATATTAAATTTTAAAATGAAAAATTTATCTTTCAATAAAATACGTTATCAAAACTAATTCAACTTATTAAAAAAATCTTACTTAATTCTAATAAATTCTTAACTTAAGAATATTAATAATATTAAAACATCCAATTACCAACTCCGCAGCGTCCCAATGGTATCGCAGTTAGCTGAATTGGAGATGGTTTTTCAAAACCACAATTCGTTAATCCTTCTAGTATCTCTGGTGAAAGACCCATGTGATAAAAAGTCGTATTATCACTGGTAATTACATCCTTTGTGCGATGTTTGGTATTTAATTTATGTGCTACTGAGCAAATCATTTTTTTTTTTATTGTTAATCACTTTGAGAGGATGTGTTTTATTTATAAAAGAAATAATTTAAAAAAAAAAACTTTTATCATTAAACATTCTATAAAAAACACTCAATTTATCGCGTCAGTTGCGTTTGTTGTTTTAGGTTAAAACACATGTTTACATAACCAAAATGATGTGAAGTTTGCTGTGTATAATTTGATTATCGATTTATGTCAAATACGATAGATTACGAATCGCAGTTTACTTCAGATAATAAAATATTTTAAACGGCGCAGTTTTACGATTAATTATTTATTCAAAACAAATGTATATAAATAAATATTATTTATAATTAAATATGATATTTCATGCAAATAATTAATTCAAATGAGTCAAGAATATTTATAAAACTTCATAGAAGTGAAACTTTATTTAGAAAAGTAATTAACCGTAAAGTGTTTCGTTATTGATGTATGCTAGTAGAATAATTAACAAACGAAATATTTTCAATTTATCGAACGTAAAAATTTTATGTAATTATTCTCAATACAAATAGTATGTTAAGTGTAAATAAATTTGATGTATAAAAATGTCAAAATATTAACAAGAGCTGAGTTTTTGATCCAATGAAATTGTCAATATTATTATCAATAAAGGAGTGAAAAATTATTCTAACAAAAGTTGAAAAACAATAAAAAGTGAAACATTAAGTTATTTTTATTAATAACATTGTTTGCAGAAAATTTATATCAATTCAGTATTTGCATATTTTGTGAAGTATATTTTTTTTATCATCAATAAAATTACATTTAACAAAATGTGATGAAAAATAATGAAAAAATTCCGACAATTCTTCATGGCCAGTACTTTACAGACGGGTTTGAAATGAAGCGCCGACTTTTGATTGCGATGCTTATTATTTTATATTAAAACACTTAGTCTTTTTTTATCTGATAAATTTGTGCTAATTCATCAAATTTGCTATAATTCACATCAATACGTTGTCCAATCACCGAGCTTTCATTTTCTCGGTTAATTAATTTAATTTAACATAAACCTCATGATTATGAGGAAATTCATACATCTACAATAAAATTTTGATTCTTAAAATGCATGATATATCGATCAATTTTTGTAGGTCAATCTGTGTTTTTTTATGGTCGTTAATGACAATTCTAATTATCATATAATCCACATTGTAATCATTATAACAACGACCATTGTAATAATAACTAATGATAACAATAAGTTCAGCACAGTAGAACGGTGAGGCTGTCTAATAGGCCCATTTATGGTAGAGAATTCACTACACATCAAACGGGCTCAATTGACAATACTTTAGAGCAATAAAATAATTAGATACATCATAATAATAAAATTAATTGAACGTATAATCATGCCTAAAACGCATTTAATTACATTAATTCACAGTCGTGTGATTTGATGTCAACATTATGCCTTGGTGATGTTTATACTCGAATCCGTTTCTCATAAAAGACTCGACTCACCAATTATTATAAAAATTTGATATAATTTAACTAATTATGAGTTGACTCGTATATCACACTGAGAGAATAAATTACTTTTACAGACGTAGTGAATTTTTCATTCTAATTTTCCTATTCTTATAACAAATAATTATTATTAACTAATATAATCTTTTTTATTATCTTTTAAAATTAGTAATAATTTACATTCATTAAATAAATATCAAATTTACTACAAAAATTAATTTGTTTCCACAATCATCTTTATTTAGAAAAAATAATAAATAAAATATCAATTTACGAAAATAACAAAAATACTATATTAATATCATCATTTAGTATATAAAATTTAATTTAAAAAAATAATTTCTTCTCTCATTGCAGAATAATAATTTGTAATTATTATATAACTCAAAGTAAAATATAAAGAATTTTCTTGAGCTAATAGGAAAGAATAAATAAAAAAAATTGGTTGAGAATAACTCGGAACGTTTCGTGGTTACATAATCTCCTTATTACCTTTTAGGATGATTTATGAATTAGAAATAGTCATAAAAATGTATGAAAACTCGTTCGATATGTCAGAATTAATAGTGAGGATTGTCACAGTATATACTGATAATCGATTAGATGATAATAATAATTAGCAATAGTAGCCATACTGAGGATAATAAGAGAATAACGGTAGAAGATAATACGTTACTGTTACAAATGATAATAATCCATAATGATCATAATTAATAGAATAATAATAATTAATGATAATAATAATTAATATTAATAATAAATCTAAATTCGCCTAGGGAAATTGATTTCTATATTATGCCGCGCTATTTCTCATTCAAATTTATAAATCGCATAACGTGTGGTAAAACACAACTGACGTTTTGCACAGGACCCATTTCAATTAGAAGATTTATTTTACATTAATTAATAATTAATTTTCAACAATCCTCGCTAATTCATACCTCCCCGCCCATAGCCATAAAGTTATGTCCCTCATCTGTCATATATAATTTTCATTTCTCAGTATAGATTTTTTCTATTTATTCATCATCATCTAATATTGCATATGCGTGAACACATTTTGAAGATAGAATGAGGACAGCTTTATTTTTTTTTAATTCTTTTTGTTATGGTTATTCTTAATTATGTAATTATTCGTTAATTAATTTAAATTTGATGTTTTTCTTTTCAATCGAGCTATATGATAACTCGAAACATTAATTTCATCAACGGTCGGATTGCTGCATAATGAACTGGCCGGACGCTGCCTTGAGAAAAATATCATAAAACTCTACTATCGTTGATTTGCGTTTGTTTTACATATTTCTTTCCATTTTCCGATTTATGATAGATAGAGACAGCCATATAACTTGAATTTTTTTATCTAATTATTTTTCTAAATTTATATTTATATATAATTCTCTGCACGATGACAAGTCACAAATAATTATTGAATTGCTTTAAACTAGTGGAACTTCATTAAACAATTTTTGCATCTCAAAGGTCATTTCTATACAAATAAATGAAGAATATTATGATTAAAACTAGTAGACTTATCATTCTATATTCGTGCCAGAGATAGTCTAATATTTGTTTTATTCGGCTTTGATATACTATATTGTTTATATCATTTTTAAATATATAAAAAAATCTGACCTATTTTTTTTTTAAGTTTCTTCATCTTTAATACGCTTAGTTGCTTTGTTTTTAGCCGGAATTATATCGGTATTAAATTACCTAATTATATATACAATTTTTTTACCAACTTGGCACTATTTTTCGTTCGATCTTATATTCATATAAATTGCCAGGCACACCTTAATAATCCTCCAGTATAACCACGTACACGCACACACATACATCATGACGCTCTGCTTGATGATCACAAAAAAAGTACCCAAGTCACTTGCATGTTTTTTTGTTATTTTCCACTGCTCATATCATCTAATACATATATAATTGCAGATAAAATTGCAGAAATGTAAAAATTGCAATACTGCAACTGAATTATTTACTAAGCTTCTTTTCTATTCGCAGAACTGACCTGATCAATCTTATTCTTTTTATTTATTTTTTTTTTTACTACATCACACATATCTTCACCTCGTTGTTTCCAAATTAGCTCTGACCATAAGAAATAATCATTCTTATGTTTGTCTTTGATGCATAATAATTTTTTACACCTTTTGCTATGGACGTTTTCATCAAATATCTATAGCTTGCATTTTTTTCATTATATAACAAGCATTCCTAATATTTTCTCCGTTTAATTAGACCCTAAATGATACATTAAGTTGTCACGATAAATAACACTTTTCGTGTCATACATAATGAAAATTATCACGCAGTATTCAGTGGTTATTAATTTTTTTTATTTTGATAATTACTATATTTATTAATTGTCACCACATGATTGTATAATACGGCTTTCTAGATCATTTATTTATTTAATTATTTATTTATTTTATTTATTTACTCTCCAACGAGTCAGTCTTGAGGATCTCTACTTCTCCAAGCCCTGAGGACGCTCGTTTAGGCACAGATATAGAATAATATAACTCGATGGCCGTTACGAGTTGGAGGAGGATAGGAATTATTATCTCACAGGCGTGAGGGTGGCTGACAACGAGTCAGCATTGGCTTACGTCAGACATGATCCCGGTGATGATGATGATGATGAAAATGGTGATGGCTATTTTCATCTGCTTCACAAGGAACCACTGTCAAACTTGATAGATTGCTCAAATTTCCACTAGATTCTGAATAGCTTGATAGACTAGGTCGTCTTGATGGTGGTACCACCACTACGGGTGCTGATCCACTTACGCCACTCGGAAATTTCCTAAACACCCTCAGTAGTGAACTTCCTGCGCTATGACAGCGAATTATTCGATCTGGTGTTTCTAGTATTGTCGACTGACTCCTACTATATGTTGGCGGACTCTCGCTGTCAAATACAGTCCGGTTTGGGGGTGGACGAACGCATTTCTGATAAATCTCACTTTCCTGAAATTGAATGATTAATTAAGACTGATAGCATTGATGGATTGGTAATGGAATTGATTGATTATTTTGGAAAATTCAATTACCTGATCAGGATCACGAAGGTGTAATCCAGCGTGAGCACCATAAGGTTTTTCTTCACCATCAGGAAGCTGCAACCGTGGTGGTAAATCAAGGGCGAGGTCCTGCCGAACACTTCCAGTTCGGATAGCTCGATCTCTTGCAGCAGCAACCATCGCTTCCTGCATACCGTTGGCACCACCACCTGCTGTTGCACTTTCGAGGCCACCACCAGCCGCGAGGCCGCCATGACCCCCACAGCCGACATCCATGCCTGCGCTCACCGACAGCATCTGCATTGGAAACAATGGAAAAACACCCAACTGTTAATATTTTTGTTCAACGAATGTATATACAAGTAAACATACAGAGTAATGAAAGGTTCAAAAAACTTTTGTAGTAGAAATTGTTTTATAAAGAATACTTGTTGATAAAAATAATAATTGCAAAGAGTACGTTTCGTTTTATTGAAAGGATTATTTGCAGAATTTATTTTTTGTTTTAACTAAGACCAAAGTTAGAAAGGTCTTTCTTCTGCGTAAAGGAGATGTTATGTCTATTATAGATAAAATAGAAAAAAAATATTATTAATAATTAATTGAAATTTATAAATATTTATCTTTTTTTTTCAATTTGTTTACATATTTTTGTACTTGTAAATTATTGATTTATTTCATTTTTTCAAAGTACTACAACCCAATTTTATAACCAAGTTATATGCTAGTGTTTTTTTTGTATCAAATAGTGCTTGATTTAATTAGTCAAGCTTTTGATGACCCTCAACTAGTTATATGATATATATATCGCACTATAAAAATTTCAAAAAGCACATTAATTCAATATAAAATTTAGATTAAATAAGAAAAACATGTTGGTAAAAGTCACAAAAAATAAATAAATAATACATCTTGTTAAAAATTTCTCATTGAAAAGATAAGGAATTATTAACTTGAAAAAAGTTAATCAAATAACCGTTAATAATTATAACAATCATTCTCTGATTTCGTGACATAATTAATTAATGACCACGAAAACATTTCATTCTAAAAACATAAATATTTTTATTACAAAACTTTTTTGCAAGTAGAGATTTAAGTTGAATAATATTTTGTCTAGCGATATGCACATAGTATATATAAAAATATGACTAATCAAAAAGGAAAAATCATGGATTGCGTATAAAGTAGAATCTATGTGATGTTGATATCAGTATAGAAGCTCATTGCTTCGTTTCATGATATGCAAAAATACTCAGGGGCGAGAACGTCGTGCGTTTGACCAAGATAAGTGGTTGGTTGTTTAGTTCAAGCTTATCGGTATCGCATGTACTAATCGTAGACTATACAAACAAGGATATAATGATTAATCATATAAATTATAATATAATATTTTACTTGAAATAATCTTCACAAGATTTTTATGAATAAAAAAAAAAGTCTCGTCAACGATTGACGTCTACATGAGAGATAATAAATTCAAAATCAAATTGCTCAATGAAGAATGAACACATGATGGATGTTTAATAATGTTAAATATTATTTTTTCTTCAATATACCTATCATTTGGTTGTAATTTGGTTTAGCCTCGACATGAAATCCAAATATTGAGAAAAAATTGTTTGTAAAATCAACAACGGACGTACTCGGGTAACTCTGTAGTGAACATTTCCCGTTTGTCGGAGATAAAGTTAACAAGAGCCTGATAAATAACGTCAAGAGTCTAGACAGTTGATTATATAAGGCGTTCTTCATTAAATCGTTCCATGCATTTAGCTCCTGACTTCTTTGAGTATCTTAGACAAAGTCACACAGGCTTAGGATGAATGATTCCACGTCATAAGATATATCTTATGGTGACATGGTTTGTATAAAAGAAAAAAATCTATAGAGATATCTAGATGCATCTAATGGCGTCAAGGTTGATTTAAATACACGACATTCAAGAGTTATTTTCAAATCTTATATTTCGCACGATCGATCGATGTCTCACTAGTGACGCACGTTGGTATGCACTTTCCTTCGATACATTGCTTCATCGTTTCTCAACGACATATTGTCTGCTTGACAATAATAACAATAATGTAACAATACAACAAAACAGAAATTGAGACATGTTACAATACGGATCTATAAGTTGAAAAAGTGTCATTTTTATTCTCCTAGTAAAACGCAGTGTTAAACATTTTATAGACTTTTTTTCCTTAGGTAGTGCAACTGCTGTGGATTTCCACACGTGCTAAAGTGCTCACAATAAATCTAGGAGTATGTCAAGGATGTCGAGAAAGTGAAGAAAAAATAAAAGGTGAGTGTCTAAGCTGTTCGTCAGCTACATATAAGTGCTTGTTCAGTGAAGGTTTAAATTTTAATCAGTCTTTGTTCTATAACCTGGATGAAATGTTGAGAATGAGAGGAAAAATAAATAAATAAGGAGGAAAAAATGAGGGTGTTGAAGAATAGCATATTTGAAAGTTCATATCGACCGCGGCAGCAGTCGGGATAGTTACGACTGAAGCATGACGAGCGCAATGAACTGCAGTGAAAGCCACAGAATCGCATTCTGGGCTAGACGGAAGAAACGCGAGACGTCTGTGCCGACGTTACGATATAAGGTTTAACGGCCTTTACCATTTTTCTTTTCTCACAGTATTTGTATTTATTATTTTTCGCCAATGTTTTTTTCATTCCTACTTGACACCAAATCATCATGTAGCATTTAAAGAGAGACATGTCATTCTACTGAACTCGTAACTGCATGATTCAAGGCATTTTTCAGACCAGACTATCACTGTCTGGAGACCTTCCATTATATATAATTCATGCTGTCGTAGCAAGCACAGGTGTTCCACATAATAATGAGATCACGAATACTTAAAACTAAAAGTACCTACCATCAGGGCCATGTCACAGGATTTGGATGTTTGATGGACGTGAAGGATTCTTGCTCCCAGTTCTACTAACTTTCTCCTCAGTTGTTTTACAGAGACGCCGAGCGTCTGTATGCAGCGACGCCGCAGCTTCATTTGAATGATGATGACGCCAGATTGACGTTTAGAATACAAATGTATTGAGTATTACTAGCAATGTGTATACGTAGTGACGTGAGCTGTCAGAGTACTTGGGCGAATGCAGAATTATACAAAAAGCTAGATGATCGAGTAATTATACCAAATGTCAGCTGTCAAATTGGCATCACAACTATCTGCTCCCAGACTTCTTGTTGATGATATGACTGAGTTTAATATTTCGCCGGTTATTCGAACTCTCGCTCCCTTGGGTAGAAATTTCAACCACCGAGTTTGGCAATGACCACTTGAGACATCAACTATTTATCTCAACTGACTTGGATTCTATGAGAAAGATTACTCAACTCAAGACTGGCATGTGGCAAGTCTCCTAGTCTCATTACACCGCAAATAATATTACAGCATTTGCATAAAAAGTTTTATTATTTTTTCCTTTCAACTATTTATCGTATATAAACTCCTGAACAGTCTTTATTCTCTCTCCCTCTAGTTCTCCTTTACTTTTCACAATTCACTTCCCGCCAACTTGATGTGATTCGGAATGTCGTTGGAAGCCGAAATGTCACACGGACACAGCGTAATAGCAACTTGCTTCCAACAGTTGCAACTTAGGTGTTGATTGCACATCAAGTCCAACGGCAGACTAAACTCATCCAGTGGCAGCGAGGCCGCAGCACCGTCGTCGATCGGCCTGTCGTCGTTTTTCGCCCCTCCCTTTCCTCTTATTCCTGCTTTATCAGTCTTTCTCACTCAACCTGCATCTTATCCTCTCACTTTTACTCCTTTAGTTATATACGCTACGCTTGTCGACCCGTGCAGTCCTGCGCTCGCAATACTATCTGACATCCCCCGCCGCCCACGGCTAACAGACTGCCTTGTCCCCACCTACTGCGCCAGACGTCGGCTTAGCGCTTTTTGTCTGTGTGTACGCGCGCAGACGACTCGACTATTCGTCCCTTACTCCACCGTACCCCTCGCCATTTCGACCCGAACGGCAATGCTGTTGACGTCGGTGCTGTTATGTGCACGTGTGCGCACGAGCCAGCTAGCCAGACCAGCCGGCCAGTGAATGCGCTTTCTCGCTGCACGACCTCCGGCAGATACGTAAAAAATTAAGTCTCGATTTTCTATATTTTTATTCAGTTCATGTTCATATTAATACTGAGAAAAGTTGACCGCATACTCTTTAATGTACATGATGATAAGACGGAGTATTCATGATTATTACTGTTAATTAATGACTGAATTTTGAATGAGAAAAATGGCTTGCTCAACTTTGCAAGTATTAACAAAGAAACGGTTTCTTTGAAAACTCACAAGTATATCAAATGCATATATGGATTTTTTTTATATTGTAGGTATAATAAGTGCTACTGTTCTTTCAATAAAGATTATCAAAGATAATTGCAATTTGTTTTATTCTAGGAAAATATAAGTATTAAATAAATAACTGTTATCTACATTGGAGGATTCAGAGTCTATAAGAAGTCGAAGACTTTTTTTTTATGGTTGTAGAAAACGTAGAAAATAATCAATTATTTTTACTATTTTTATAGAACAGAGAAACTCTTTTATACAACGTTTTTGTGTAATATAATAATTACAAGCTTTATTGATTTTAATTGTGCTAATAAACAATTTGCAGTTCGTTAGAGTTACCTTGAAAAAAATTGTACAACAATTCTAATATTTTATAAATTAATTTTTATATCAATTGACCCTGAAAAATTATTGATAAAATTAGCATTAGAAATTACTGCAAAAATATTATTGCAATTTTTTAAATAATGTTTATTATAGATTTTTTAAAATTCTTTAAAATGAAAAATATTATTAAAAGTATTGATTCATATTAGTTCAACTGAAAGTGATTGAATCATAAATTTGAAAAATTTTCCAGAAAGATATTGATTAGAATAATTATGAATAATTAATGATAATAATATGAATGAAATATTTTTGAATTTACATACTGAATTTGAGTGCTTTGTTTTCAAAAAAATAAATTTATCCTTTATACGACAAGAACTCGTACTAGTTATTAAAACGACTTGAGAGTGCATTAGTAAACTCGGAAACTCGATTGGCTGCAAGTGGAAAATTATCTGATTCGCGTGCGAGTCCATTGATTTTATGTATTACGTCATTGCATTGTGTAACGGCCTCTGACCAGAAGCAGAGTTAGAGCTAGTTAGCTTACTAGTACCGAGAATGCTCATGTTTTTTCGTAGAATTGGTATACCTTGAACCCGTGTGTTTTTATTGTTACATATCTGAGATTCATGGTTTTATTAATAGCACAACACCAACAGAGTGCATCTATAAATCTTCGTTGATACTTATTGTCGACTTTATTGAAAATAAATAAATATTTATAACGATCTAATAACCAGAGTATATAAAAATGACTGAATGACTATTTGGTATATGATTGTAGTTCATAAAATGATAATAAAATATTCGAATGCATTGAAAACTGCAGAGGAGACTTGACTATTCAACAGAACAGTCAGATGGACGTGTTGCTTCTGTCTGCCTCATATACATAGAGTGCAGAGCAGCCTCTGCACGCGCGGCCAGCCTTTCCTCGGCCAAGGTCGCGGCTCGTTTAACGACCACGATCGTTTGCAAGCCAGACTGGCCCGAAAGCTCACCCGTACTGTCGCCGTCAATATGCTCAAATGACACTAGACTATATACATGAATAACGTAGCAATCAAGCTGACAAAAACTTGTTACAAATTTATGAATAATTATTTTTTGTACTTGATACTGCGGTGGTTTCTCATGTTTTTTCCTAAACTTGTACAATAATAAACATGGATACTAAAGTGCAAGAAGAACCAGACGGAGCAGTATACATACTTGTACCTATATGTATACAAGCAGTATAACGGGAGACGGCAGAAACACGTGATAACGCAAGAGGCACTGGCGAGTGAATCTGTGTGCGCGCCGTCTAGACGGGGGGTTAAGGGGAGAGAATTGTGGAAGTGGCGATCGAGACGAAACGAGGTAGGGGCGAATGTCGAAGCGGTTCGTGTTGAGAGAAAAAAAATAAAAAAAAAGAGAGAGAGAGACTCATTTGTGCAAAAGTCGAATTTGGAGTAGGGAGGACTATGATAACCAGCTATCATATCTCACAAACGTCCTACACCTCCTTCTGTTCGTACTTTTCTCTTCTATGTGGTATTTTGCATCCTACCTGCCACACTAGGATTTTCATGGAATTATTTTGACGATTTGGTTATCTCGATAGATGTAGGGATTCAATAGTGTTTGATTTATCCCATATATTTATTATTGAAAATAATATTATCCAAAATTTTTTTGTTTTTCAGTAAAATCCCTCACTGCAAATATCGAATTTGAAAGTGTTTTCAATATGACGTCACTTGTTTAATTAACATTGTTCTTACTTTTTAAACACTTTTGAGTTCACTGAAAGTACTTACATTGTTAATTAAATGGGTAAACGTCACATTAAAAGACTTTTAGTGCATTGAAATAATACGCTATAATTTGCAATAAAAAATAATTTTTAATAATTTTCCATTTTCTTGATAAAAAAAAGTTTTCATTAATTTTTTAAGTAAAATTAAAAACCCAACAATTGTTTTTATTCTTGAAGAGTAATAGACAACAGCTACTAATTGACGAGGAAATTTGTTCTTCCATTATTGTTAAAAAATAAATGAATAAATTAACAATAGATTGTGCAAGACACGTAATTATAATTCGAGTAAAAAGGATGTTTACACAAATATTACAGTAGCAGCTGCAAGAAAAATAAAGTCCATAAGGAGCATAAAAATAGAAGAAAGACTTAAGATTTGTATGCAAGACATACATATATATCTATATATATATATATATATCAGGTCGCGGCCTCGGCGAGTGCTGATATGATAGTGGTCGATTTGTCTGACAAAAGAGTATACAAGTATTAAAGAGTAAAGTAGACAGTTTGTATAAAATCCAGCAGACACATAGTCAGCATTAACATAGTTAAACGTGATTGCCGGATTAAAAGTTCGAAGCACTACTTTCATACGATGGGAGTAAATTTTTTGAGTGAATTAGATCACAGTGATACAATATTTAAACTAAGACATTTAAAAGCGATCTGGATTACACGTTTTGCATTCTATGGCATCCAAATATTTCAATGTCTCGACTATTTTTACCACCCGTCCTCACCAGACATCATTTATTCTTTCTCTTCTGCATACTCTCAACTATAGAGATACCCGCATGTATGCCAATGTACGTTTAGTTATGTCTTTCTTTTCTTCCTCTCCGGTACCTTGGGAGGTCATCAGACACAGAAACTGTACACGCAAATATTCGTCTGTTATTGAACTGGAGAACGTGTGTATTAACGAGTTTAAAGACACATGACGTAGGCTATGTTGAATCTCGTCTGAGGTCGAGCAACGACACTTGAATCTTACACAATTCCGTTTACTTCTTGCAAAATCAATTGTGTCTTTTAACTTAAATGTCGGAAGTACACGTGCTTTTATTAATATGCATACCCAACGTGTGTGAGTTTACTCTAACTTTATTTATATGTCGAGAAATTTATAGTAAGTTCTCGAGAAAAACTACATAGTGCCAGCTGCTAAAAAAATTCCAGTTAACTTATAATAGTTATTTACATAAAGACATTATTTTCGGAAAATTTACTGTGAGAATTTTTATTTTTATCTCTAAAGAACTTTCGGCCACAATAAATTTACCTTAAATGTTGTTAGTTTTATTTACTTTTTTTTTTAATAATTTACTTTAAATGAACAACCTGATAGATGGTTATTTTCTTAACAGATAAATAAATTATTTAAACAAAATACGAATAAATATTTAAATTGTAATAATTATTTGTTAGTTAACAGAAATTAGAAATTATTAGATAATAGGTGTTTATAAGTGAAAAAAAATATAATACTTTTAGAACAAGTATTTTTGCAATAATAACAAAAAAGAATGTTGTTTACATTTATGATTATTATTATTTAGATAAATTATCTTTTCATCACAAAAGTTAATCGCTTTAATAAAATTATAACATGATGAATTATAGCTGTCACTTCAGCTATTAATGGAATTAATCTTTGAGATATGAAATAAAACAAAAAAATATAAAATCTATTTAGCCCTGGAAAATTATTTCAATTTGCATGTTGTTAATCTGTCAAACGATTATCTCAGATTCCTGAATTACATTATGCACGTTTCATCCACATGCCAGTATCTATATATCGATATAAAGTATCAGTGTAGGTGGGACTATAATTGGAATCAAGTGTAATAAGCGCATTCACCTGCCACTTTTTATTACTCCATTCGATATTTCATATTTATTCAAGGATCAAAAGAATATTTTAATGAGAAAATTGACTAAAGAATATTTGCTCTTTTAGAACCATTATTCTTTTTATATTAGCTTTGTTTCTCTTTACGTACAGATGATTATTGGAGTTAAATAATAGCCACATTAACAGAATAATATTTCAATAAAAATTTGAATAAAATCTTCGACTATTTAAAACATCTTAATTTATAATTTATGAATGATCTTTTTTAGCAACTAAAAATAAAACATTTATGTAAATAATAGTTATATTTTTTTAAAAATAATTTTTTATAAACCAAAACGAGCTATAAATTATGTTTTTAATAAGCCACGAAGTTTCAATAGAATTATTTAGTAGACCAAAACACGTGTAAGGACTTTAAATGTAATTATTTATATATGATAAATGCAAAGGTCATTCGTAGGAAGACATTTCTGACGAGATTTTCATAAGATCATGTATAGTGTAGGCTACTGTGTAGCATTCTGTGACTAATATGATTATGATTAAACAAAGACTTGATGTATTGTTCGTGGTAATAAATTATTCTTGAGATTTTACAGATGAGAATTATGTCTGTTTCTCATCTCGTAAATCTTTATCATATATTTTTTATTTAATAATCATCTCTGTTTACTTTTCTATATTTGTCATCATCAGATTTTCTGAAGCAATCTTAGCTGGATAATATAACTACTAAATCATTTAATTTTTAACATTATTGTTATTGTTAAATATTTCTTCTTTCAATTGGTTTTTATTTTAATTTGGTACATAAAATTTATGACGATTAGTTAAATTAAATGTTGAGGTATACAAAGTTGCCAAGAATTAAGATTAAATGATTTTGTTTGAAATAAAGATAATAAATGGCACATTGTTAATTTAACAAATCAAATTTTAGACACTTACATAATCTCAATCGTCAATTGTTGTAACCAAATAGTTGGTAAGCACGAAATTCGTAAGAGATTTTTGTACTTAATGAAATTGTTGGCTTGAGTCCAACAAGCAAGAATTGAACCTCTTCCGTACAACAATTGACAGCTAAGATTATGTAGGTGGAACTTTTTTGCTTGTTTTCTTTTAAATGCATTTTTTATTTACTATACTGATATATGAATTTTTACTATATGCTTCTTTAATCAATATCATCATTCTTATAAAAATAAACTGTTTCTAAAAAAATTAAAATAATCAAGAGGACAATAAACCTTCAAATTACAAAAATTTATGTCAGTCTATTAAATTTTAAAATTAATCTCAAAATATATTTATTTTGTCACTCAATTGACGTTTCAGATTTTTACAATTTTTTTTCTCCAAATATTATTTTTCAATAAATTTAAAAAAAAATGTATCAAGAGTAAAGCTTCATGGAAATTTTTCAAAAAATTGGAATAATAAAATAATAATAATCATCAAGTAAAGCTGCATTGATAAAAAATACACTCTAATAAAAGGATGCTCTAATTTTATTTGATTTGCGTTATCTATTCATGAATATATTCATAAATGAACGTAGACTGCAATAATCGTTAAATGATATCTGGAATGGACACACGGTAAAGATATCTTCTATTCACTATACGATATGTGTCCTATATTTTTTAGCGATTGAGCAAAACTCAGATGTTTCCAGTCACATTATGTTACGAAACATGTGTATTTACACACACGCACGTTAACAAAAATACATGTGTATATGAAAGAGGGTATGGCTGATGCGTGTATAATGAAAGTGCGCTGCACTCCTCACTGTTTAAAATGGTCGATGCCCTAGTATCGCGTGCACTTGGCACCATATTTTCTTACCCTATTCCCGACCCTCGTGCTTTCAGCCAAAAGGGCTCACCTTTCTCGCTAGGTTACCTACTACTTCATCAGCATTACATTTTCTAGGAAACATGAGGGATAATTTTCTTTCTCAATAATGTTTTAAGTATTTCATTTTATAAAGTTTCTTGCTATTTTAATCATTTCCATATCTCAAAATCAATCAAGTGATATGGCAGTATAATCATGTTTTATTGAGCAATACTCCAATTCTAGAAATATTATTACTTTGAATAATTTTTTTTTACTCAAAGTTAAAGTTTTAATTATAAATTGAACAGTATTTTTATTGAAACTATATATAAAAAACTTTAAAATATTTTAAAAGTTCCTTTTGTGACAATTTTTATAATAATTTATGAAAGAACCGATAAATTTAATATTATCAAATGCTTTAAAAATATTTCTCACCATAAACTCTCGGCGATTTTTATCATAATAACGATCAATAATTTTATTTCGTTAATTATTAATAAAACTAAAAAAACTTTATCATAAATAAAAAATGATTCTGTAAAATGGCAATGTTGAAAAATCAATATGAACGTGAATAAAAAATATACATTACATTTATTCTCAGTAAATAAATTTATCATCCCAAATGAACCATCTGATTCATTCATTATGAGATATGATGATGCCACTGCGCATCCTTAAAAGGAAGAAAATCACGTTCAATAAGAAGAAAATTTGGAATGCTAAGAGAAGTTAGTGACGATGGTGTACTATTGATAAAGAAAAAAAGATATCGAACATCATAACCCTCTACTATAAGAGCTTTACATTACTTTGAATATTTAATAAAAAAAATCATACTATTATTTTTATCAACAAACTTTATAACGAATGTTGGTTTTTAATTTACAATGATAAAAAATATTTATGTATTTAAGTCTCTTGAAGTGACCAAAGAAAATGATATTCAATAAAAAAAATTCTCATATAAAAAAGATATTGAAAAAGAGAATTATTTCCGGCTGAGTATGAGATTATATATAGTAGTTTAAAGCACTGAGCTTTAAAATGAATCAATCTTCACGGAACCCTGAAAATATGGTTAAAATAAAATAGAGAGTCTATTTAATTTTAACCTCAAAAGCAATATTTTTAGCGATGAAAAGTAGGAAATAGATCAATGCAGACAAACGATAATAAAACGCAAAAGCACTCACGTGCGCCCATAAAGGCGGTGGCCGGCGTCGTCGACGTTTTCGTTCTTTCCGTGCTTACTATCCTTCCCGGTGACCTTGACCTCAGTCTTCTCGTCCTCTGTCCTCTTCTTCTTTTTCTTTTTTTTCTTCTTCGTTTCTTTTTCCTCTTCGGCTTCTTTTCCCCCGTCTATGGGACTTCTCGGGCCCCTCCGGCGGGTCCCTGTACGACCTGCGGCACCCGGCTCATCGGGGTAAGACGACCGCGATGACATCGGCTCGGCAGCTGTCGTCCACTCTACACCACCACCTGCACTGTACGACCTATTATTCACGCAGTCACCCGCGTAATTCGCCACCACCGACACTCCAAGTATCCTCTTTTTATTTTTTTCGTTGTCAGCCTCGGCATTCCTCGCCTTCGCTTCGTCACCGTCACTCGTAAATATTTTAATGATTTCCCAACGCAAATTCTCTCTTCTCTCATTATGGAACTTGGCAGAGAAACCAGGTGACAGCCAACTCATCTGAAATCTTCGCCGCTGTTGTCATCACTGGAATTCTTCAAGAGGAATCTATGAAAACTGTCTGTTGGCACTGCTTTCTCTTCCTTTTTGCTACACCGTCAAGCTTCAGATCAATAATACGTCTCAAATAATCAAGGAAATTTTTTCCAGCTGCTCCAACACATCATCCATCTACTCTCTGAAGTATTTAACATCTTTTTCACCTGTAAGATGTTTTCTCGCACTGATAAGCCCTGTAATTAAAATCATCCAATTAATGATTATATTCATTGATGATAGTTGTAGAGATAAAAAAAAGCTTATTTAAAAACCAAATATAAAATTGGTGGGAGCAAGGGACAGAATGAAACGTAGTGGGAAAAAATGTGAGCGACATACATAAATGTCCCCACTTGCGTTCTATTTTCGAATGAACCTCATCTACGATCGGGAGAATTCTGTTCAGAAGAGACGAAAAATAAGTGGAGTAACTAGTGTCTGAAAGGTTTATCCTCATACTCTCATAAAGTGTAACAACTATATCATAAAAGATTGATTCATAAATCATTACAAATAATTATTTAAGTGAATCAAAGGTGGATAAAAAAATCAATAATCTGATTGAAGGATTAAAATGTGGAGAAATATAAGGAATAAAGCGTCATCGGCTGAAACGCCATCACCTTGGCTTTTTGTTGTTCATCAAAGAGACGGCCATGATGTGTTCTGTTGTAACTTTTTTGTGTTTTTTTTTCTGTTTTTACACTTACTCATGTCATTACAGAAATACTTACTTGTTTTGTTGCTTATAATCCGCCATACGTGTACACAACTTATCTGGTCAAACGATTCGTCGAGTTCATCAGATATCAACTCCTTCGAAATAGGGAGTTGATGTTTTTTGTGTCACGCATGCGTGTGAATTACGTTTATTGCATGTGTATAACTTATGCCGCGTGGTGGGACGCTTTGATTCACTATCAAATTAAACGCAGCTTAGAACACTGTTTTGTAAATAAGCCGGTTGGCTAAGTGAAGCGTATATTGTGTAAGAATGCGGGTAAAAAAACACATAAACGGCTGGATTATGAAATTTACCAAGCCAAGTAAAACGTTACAGCCTTCTATCTTATGGCACTGTTTCGGAGCACAGTCGCGACAATATACTATGCTGATAATGTTCGCTGTTTGTCGGCAATTCTCGGCGGAATCCGAACATACTCGGTTACTCTCGGACAAACACGCCACCACTGTTTGCCCTTCGCGCCAAGACGGCGTCACTTTTATCGTACTAATTTTATTTTTTTTCATGTATGTACCAGCGTCTGTCTGGTTTATATACAATTATTAACGGCCGCTTATTCTTCATCATGTAATTTTGATTTCATTACGTTCCAGAGTATTTGACACAAGGCGTAATGAAATAATTTGTTTTTCACGAATTAACTTTCTTCTTTTTTTATTCTCTGTTCTATTCATCAGGTAACTCTTCTTTCAACCACTTTTTGCTGTTCTCATTGCAAACATTGCAAGTTACTCAACAACTTTTTATTCTTTTTTATAGTTTAGACGAGTGAAGTCTTCCTTTAAAATAAATAAATAAATTAATGTAAATCATTGTAACAAGGAAGAAAAGTCGAAATTTATGCCAAGAATATGTACGTGAGAAAAATGATTTAAAATTCTAACCTATTTTTTTAGTTAGTAACAATTGAAGTGAATCATTTGAAATAATTGAATTTTGAAATAATAGAAGGTTTGAAATTACATTTTAATGTTACTAAGACAGTGAATAAACTTTATATGTACTTATCTTTTTCAGAGTACATTAATTTATTATATTGAATGTAACAACAGGCTTCTTTGATGCAATAAAAGATGTCAAATTACATGGCATAGAATTATTTTTTTTCCTCAATGGAAACTTTTCAATTGTGGATTCTTTAAACTGAATTAACTGTTCAATAATCACTGAATTTTTTATAACAATATTTTATTCATTTAAATAATTTTTTATTGAAGAAATAAATAATTATAGAGTAAAGTCATCACCGTCACAAGAATTAAGGGTAATTACATTTTTAATATATCACATTTCATAGTCAATAAAAAACGGTATCTAGAGCTCAATAAATTGATTATTTAAACATTTATTATAACATTAAAATTATATATCATTAAGCTGCTAGAAATAACGGCATCGATAACTGACAATGTCCTTTTTAACAAATCATTGTATAAATTTTTTATTCTTTCAGATCACTATCTTCTAAATAATACATAATTTTGTAACATATCAGTTGTTTTTTTATCTATTTCCACCTATTGCAAGATTGGTGAGGATCAATATTTTGTGCATTTTCTCATATGAATTGTACATAAATAAATATATGCTGAATGGATTTCTTCGTCAGTCGAAAAAGTCACGTACTTCATATCGGAAATGCATATAAAATACATGTCTCCTTCTCCTGACAACAGAACCGTCATCCAAACTTTTTAGTATGGACATTATCAATTTTTCAATTTGACCCGTACAGATGTTATTCAAATTTTTGCGATTCAAAAATACGTCTGTACGAAGTACAAAGTACATTTCGATATATTTACATGTTTCCTTATAGTACAAGATTTTATATTTCAATAATTCAATACCCAAAAAAGACAACCAAACATACTTGATGTTAATCCAAAAATAATTTTGACCATAAAAAAACTTTTAATAAGTAGTAAGTGGATGAATCATTATTTAAATCAAATTTAATTAAGTATAAACATGATGAATGGTTAAAAGCTGAATTCATTCATTCATTATTCTTTTTTTTTTCTATTTCCTAATTTATTAGCTCTTTTAATCTCATCCTTTTTGCATTAATCAAATGTTGCATGTGTTATTCAAACACATTAGCCAACACCATAAAATTCTATCTCACTACTATTTGATCACACTTATAAGGCAGATACGGTTAAAATCCTCGGGAGAGTGGAGTCTCGGTAGTTGCTATCGTCCGGCGATAAAAGTCGATGGGGATAATAATGCGTTGATACCCTGAGCACTGGGTAATGCGAGAGTATAGTCTGGCCTGCGTCCGCTTGTCTGGATGACTGTCAGTGGGTCGTTGAACCCCCCCTTACCTCACATCATCCTTCGTCGTGATTGCGAGGCCGTTGTGCCGAATAAGCGTTTGTAATTGCACATGCTAATCATGGTTGGTATTTTACGGGACATAATAATATAGCCACAGCTAAACCGTAAAATTACATTTTACAATGTTGCTGTTAAGTTTAATATTCACTGGGATTTTTTTGTCTGGAAGCAAATAAATAAATAAATAAATTATTCTTATTTCTTATATTAATCATAATAATGTTTCAGGATAGATTTGGAAATGCAGTTTGAGTAAAGGATATTTCAATTTTTCAAAAGGTTGTAGGAGCTGGTGACTGCAACAGTTTGGTTATATATTGTGGTCTGATGTCTGATGCGAAGGGGTGTCTCGGCGGGGGTTAGTCTAGACGGGAGACCCCCGATTCACTTTACTCACTCTCTTACTCTCAACGTTCACCCCTACCGCCACTGCATAATACGCTAGAGTTGAGAAGTATGAGTTTGTATTTGTCGCGGACTGTCGGAGGTATATTGTTCAACTCTGCGTTTTTTTAAATTACATTACATTTGATATTTGTCAAATGTAAAAGTGTACTTTGTTTATTCATAATGTTTGCATTTTCTTCTATTATTGTTATTATTATTTTTGCTATTTTTTAGTTTAATTCTATTCATTAAACACTCTTTTGAAAACTATACCATGTGTCTATATGCATTATGTTATAGGCAAAAAATTGCAATATGACTCAATTTTTTATGCTGATTATTAATACTCACTTAATCTTTGATTTCAAGGTCAGCAGCTTAAACCTTGTACTTTTTAAGAAGAAAATTATGATAAAGATAGTTTTTTTTTCTTTTTGTAATTTACAGATCAGGATCAAAGCTCAATTTTTATTCTCTGTCGTTTTAATCTTATTCAGAGTTTATTTATCCAAATATATGAATCGTGTGGATGTTCTAATTAAAATGAATTAGTAAAAATTCACTGATTAACTGAGTGAAATCTACATGACTCACGTCATCATCTCTATTAATAAGTGAGTCACTGATTCATTTCAAGAGAATGTGAAATTTGGCACATTTTTATTTTTATATTCATCATTTCTTTCATGAAAAAGACATCACTTGAATGAATATAAGCTATAGGCTTTTATTTATGTGAATGCTTTGAACTAGTATTCGTCAATGAGAATTTTTTTGGAATTTCTTAAGGCATTTTTTGCATTAAACACTGAAGTAGTGATATTATCTATCGAGACTGATTTATTACTTTAATCCTTCATTATTGTTTCGCAGTTTCTTTTCCGTCTCATGACCTAAATATATTTGTGGAAAATTCTCAATACAAAAATTTACATTCTTCACTATTGTTTTATTCCGAGGCTTTCTCTGTCTGTTGTCCTAGATAAATTCTTGGAAAACACTTGAACACAATTCTGCTAAATTTTATAGACATTTTGAAATATTTCTTATTAAATAAAATATTTTTATATGCTCTGTCTTTTAAATACTAATTCATCAAAACAGTTGATTCATTAACAAACATTTTTTCATCAATAAATGAGGACATCTTTATTTGTTTTAATTGAAAAAAAAGGATTAAACATTATTTAATCATTTGTTATTAATTATTTGTAATTAATTTCATTTATCGATTGTCTTATCAGTAACACTCATCAGTCCTCAGTACACTTCGTGCCATAGAATAAAATCTCAACAGCTGAATTAGCAAATTTGTCTCTTCAAAAATTCAACAAAAACTTTATTATTATTTACATCATATCATTTTGATTTAATAAAAAATGTATGTACAAAAAAATGAGATAGTATACCACTGAATAAATGAAATATTTAAATAATAAACGCACCTGATCTTTTAAAATTTCAATAGGAAATTAATTAAAGTGTGAGCATACAGATAGCCTTGTCAAGGTCATCCGTTTATGTTTAGCGCTATATAAATGGTATTTAAGAAGACAGCATCATTAGATAGAGAAAGATAAAAGAAAAATCAGCCGTTGACAGAGTGATGCTGCTTTGGACCATGTTCTGTTTTATGTCAATGCGCGCGCGCTATAACTCTTTCTACATATATATCTACTGGGAATTCGCCATATCAGGAGCGACGTCGCCGTGTACGGTGGTGGAGGGGGCGTCTAGACGAAGCGTCACGAGTACGCAGCGGCTTCCCCCTGTATCAGTCACTATACCCGGCCACAACATTGGTGAATCGAGAGACAGACAGGAACAAGACAGAGAGGCAAAGCAAAAGACTGGTATTATTCGGGCATTTCAGTAAGGAAGACCTCATATCAATGTCTTCAACCAAGTATTCATATTCTTATGGTTAAAGAAAGAGATAAATTTAATTAAGCACTTGTGAATTCATTGTAATTTTGGGTAATTATTTATTCCATTAAATGAATAGTATACTTTCACAAGTTTTTAAGATAATTATTTAAATTTTTTATTTTAATTATTAACTTTCATGAGTGAGATGTAAAAATTATTGACTTTTAGCTGATGTTGAGCTACATAATAATGCAACATTTTTAGTTGACTTATTAAATATTCAAGCAGACAATCAGCTTTTACATATTTGCAGGTACAACAATCAAGAGAATGTTTAGATAATAGTCATTGACCTATATAGATATTTAAATGTTGACTTAAGAAAAACAACTAAAAAGTTTCATCATGAATGACCTTTTTATAAATTGTAACCTTCAAGTTGAATATTCGCTGAAAGATACGTCGTTGTATGGGTGCCACGTGTCATATAATCAAAGGAATTCCTGAAAAGTCATCAAGACATCAAAAAGGTCGAATGCAGACACCCAGATAGTTGGAAAATCGACCTGATGCCGAACTACACTGGTGGATATGGTATATAAAAAACTGTTGGCAAGAAAAAAGTTGGAAAAAGAATTTTCAAATAAAAAATTACTAATAACATACGACGAGATACTTTTAAGAAATAATAAGGAATCGTGACAAAAACCATTGTAGATTTTTTTAATGATTTAAACTTTTGAGAAAGTATTTTGGGATATTCTTGAAATTTTTAACTATCTCTCCTGGAATGTAGGACCAGATAGGTTACTTTGGAAGGTGACGCATACTTGAATACTCAGAATTACTAAAAAGGTGCTCCATTTGCTAAAATTGTACAAATTACGTACTATTATAAAAAACTAGAACAAATATGGCACATATGTCTAATATGAGCTACTATTTTTCGATGTTATACTAATTCTAAATGGGTGGGCTCCTAATTGCTTCAATTCTCTTGATGATAGTTTATCAAGATTTTGTTTTTTTTTCATTGATTAATCAATTTCTATTTTTTCCATGAAATATTGTAAAATCAGATTAAATATTATCATTTAAATAAAATTATATATAATAAAATATTAATCACCAAAATAGTATACCTTTGACTTTAAACTTGATGAGGAAAAAAACTCGCTATCTTGGTCGTTGAATAAAAGACAATTGATGTTATAGTTTTCCTATTTTGTTGATTTTTATTCGCTCAACGTAGGTGTCTTTTGAGAGTGAAGAAACGTGTTTTCCATCAACAAAATTTTTTTTACGATTTTAACACCAGCTATTTGGATGGATTGAAAAAATTTAAATTATTTATCCTTATTATATTTTATTTCTAAACATGTACACTTCCAAAAAACTAGAATATGAAAACATCAATAGCTGATGCTTTTTTTCTCCAAATATTCATAAATATTTATATGAAATAATAATTATGGAGTTGGTAATATACCCCAGGAATTAATGCTAAAATAGATTTTTATTATGATCAGACATCCTGTTGCAATTACAAACTATTTCACACAATATGTATAGTCTAGATTGTACAAGGCTAAATTCGCAAGTCTACTATTATTTAAACTCTAGTGTTGACTCATGCTGAGATGAAGTATTCTTGGACACAGCCTGTTTTCTTTCAGTCTCACACATACCGTTTGTTTTACGTGTAAAAAAGACCAAGTGGACCAAAAGCATCAAAAGTAAAAAAAAAAACATCACCATTGAGCGATTGACTTGTTCATTAATCCCTAAAATAAATTTCTTCATTGACATTTATCTTGCGCCCACTTCATCTAGACATACCCATTTAAAAAAAAATTGGCATTGTATAATCATTGAATGATGAGCCATCAACAATATACTTAATTTTCCTTTTATGTATGTGCATAATGTAATGTTTCAAGACATCTCCTGGCCTACTTAATTTCTTTTGTACCTTCTAAAAAAACTCTTTTTATGGAACTATCAAAAATAACTTTGTTATTTTGCTCCTTCCAAAATGATAATTACAAATAAATAGGTATTATCCAACTCAGATAACTCATACAGACCAATGTGCAAGTTTGGTATACCCTAATACCTACCCCTAAACGTTTCACACTATCACGATGGTCAGTTGTGCTCAGTTGCGAATTCTGATGTGCAAGGAGGGAGTGAGAGTCGCGACAGCAAGAGGTGGATTGAAGCGAGGAAGGGGGCGCCGGCTAGACACCGCTCAGACGGTCCAGGGAGAGCAGGGGACGGGCATTGCCAGAACCATTTTATATACTGACGTAATCTATTTCTATCTATACATTTTGTAACTTTTTTCTCTTAGTTTTTACTATTTAATTTATTTTCTTTAAAGACCGATGAACTACCCCCATGTTATAAACAGTTTATTTAGATTTAGAAACACGCATTTTAAAACTGATGAACACGAGACACTTGTTTATCTTATTGAACAAACAATCATTCTTGATGTGGCTCTGAAACATCAATAAAGACTTACTTGACTTTAGTCATATTTTCTTTATACTCACTCGTTGTCTTGTGCAATAGTTATTTAGCAGCCATGAAAAGCCAATGAAGATTATAAAAAGACTGATGAAGTATTAGTTAAACAAAAGATAGTTGACAATTGTCGCAACTTTGTGGCCTCTGATAATATTAGGTAATGTTTTGTTGATAATTGTATGTGACGCTAAAATTAATTATTCAGCATTAGTTGCCGTCGAAAGATTTCTTAGAATATTATTTAAAGACAAGATTAAAATTTCAATTACTAAGAAGTATTTTATTTCTACTCGGAAGCAAATTTTTTTTAATGAAAAAGAAACCCATTGCACAAGCGTTTAATGCTTATGTTGACATTTTTTAGGAATTTGTAAGTAATCTGATTTTTTTTTAGACTTTAAAATCTAAATTTAGCACGTTTTTTATAATTGAGTGGTAAATTATTTATATTTGATAATAATGTTTTTGTTAAGTTCTTAAAACATTTTGTACATTTATCAGGAAGGAATTAATGGTAATTGAAAGGGAAGCAGAAAAAAATTGGAAACGATTTGATTTTTTGTCTGGTGAAAATGTTAAAAAGGTAATCATTCATCATTACGTTATTTATCTGAAAAAATTGAATTAAATGAAAAAACTAAACTATTAAGATTGTTAATTTTAATGTTAGCTAGTAGCAGAATATTTGAATAGCCGTGGAATTGATAAGTTGAAAGGAAAGGTTGTAGCTACTAGAAAATCATCTGATGAAATCAAAGTATCAATGAATGTCATAAAACCATCACCGGTTATTTCTCCAACAAGTTCAGCTATAGTTGGCTGGCGATCATCATTGCAGGATTATAATTTAGAGGTTTTCGGGCGTCTATATGTCTCAGCAAAACAGACAATAGTGTTATCACCAGACGATTTGATAGAACAGAAGTTCATAATTCTGGGTTGATAAGTCTTGTGATTTTACTTAAAATTGTTTTAATTGTAAAATTCGATTAAATTTACATTACACCAAAACATTTTTTTTTCAACATTGGTGGTAATTTTTCTAATAACGATGTGGGATGTATTTCAACAGCAACCATTTCTTTAGTACTGAACCACTCCAAATGTACCAGGTGCTAAAAGTTAATAAACATTTATCGATTTAAATATGCAAATTTCAATTGCATAACTAATTTATTTACAAAAATAAATACCTTATATTTTTTAATAATTGAAAAAATGTTGTGACCCTGCGAGCTAGATCCTGAGCTATTTTCATCATCTGCATTATTATATTTACGTATTTTAATAGGTTTTACATTTTGCGAATCGAAATTTTTATGAATAGCATAGACAGTGTTGTCATCATGAACGATTATGACATCTTTATTGGCTGGGTCGAATGTGATGTTTGTAATAGGGAATTGTCGAGCAAGCCAATGTGTTGGAATTCGATTTTGCAACTCGTTGGAAAACTTGGTGTATTGTTTCTTCAGCAAATTATACTCAACCACCTGTAAATTGTAAATTCATAATTATTATTAAAGTAAAAAAATCAATATTTGGACTGTTGAAATGTTATTACTTTATGATCCGAGTAAACAATGACAAGATTAGAAGTGCCTGTCTGCACTGCCATAGCTGTTGGTGGGCGAGAATATTTTGGTAAAGGCCACCAGTTAGGTGATTTTGATATCAGCTTTTCATCTATGACATAGACAATTACATTTCCTTGTCGATCTGAACATATTAAATATTCTTCATTTGGAGAAAAACATAATAATCTAATGTTTTCTATCGTTTTCGAAGTTGCAAAGAGAACACCTTTAAAAACAAGTTTGTTTTTAATTACTTTAAAAATAGATATTTTATTTCCATCCTCCTCATTAGTTACTGCCACAAATAATTTATTATTAGGACTGAATGACATTTTTTGTATATGTATTGGAAGGTCATTGTTTTCGATGCCTCTCATTAATTGTGGATTTCCATCAACTAAATCAAAATTAAATACTCTTGTATGGCTTTCTGTAGAATAGACAATTATTTTAGAATCTCTAGACACTGCGTAAGACACAATACTTTCTCCTCCTTTTGTTCGGAGTTCAAGAAGTTTAATTGGTTCACTTTCTAGTGGATAAAACATTCCTGAAGACACAGTTTCATTCGTAGCCGTACCAAGCTTCCATAATTCTAAATAATTAACATATCGAAGTAATATACAGCGTGATTCTCGACAAACTATGACCGATGGAGTTTCTAATAATGGTGGATATTTTGTTAACATCTTTGGAGGATAGCTTGATTGTGCTAGATAACCATCAACTCCGCCAGAAAATAGTTTTCCATCAGCTTCAACTAATGATCTTACATCATGAGTATGTAATCGTCTTTCAATACCTTTAACCCATCTTGGAGTAACTTTCCCACTTTTGTCGATTGAAGACCCAGCTGTTTTGATTACTCTTGAGAAACAACGTATTATTGAATCAACACCAGCACAATAAATAGTATTTGAATCACACGAAACACTGAGAGCAAGAATATCTGCAATATGACTTTCATGTGACTCAATAAGTATTCCTACAACTGGATCCCATATCGATAAAACTCCTCTAGAGTCTCCAGAAACTATAAAATTATTATCTGTTACTCCAAGACTCCAAACAATTGTTTCTTTTTTTATATGTTTCCTAGAAGTTGTCATTTTGTGAACTGCATGACCAGTTTCTGCATTCCACACTCTAATCGTATCTGGGGATCCTGTAAATATCATGTTTCCAGTGTTGTCCCATTTTAAACACAAAATTCGACCTTTTTGTTTATCAAAAATTCGTTCATAAATTAGAGAGTCTGAAGTTACAGAAAAGGTGTTTATGTATCCATCTTCAGTGCCAACTGCTACTCGGTTTTTATGTGGGTTAATGTCAATACACCAAGCTGCACCTCCAGTAACTGAGGTTTCATTTTTTTTACGCAAACGTATCAGGTCATATTCTTTCACTGTACCATTTAAACCAGTCGACAATAATCTCAAATGATTTATCCACACCATAGACTCAATTGAATCACCAGGATCGCCAGCAATTGTTGATTCTAAAAATGGAAAGTCTTTGACATCCCATATTTCTATAGAATTATCACTCCTGAAACAGTATGATAAATTTAGTAATCTGTGTAATTTATTTCCTAATTTTAAATTATTATGTATGGATGAAAAATGGACCTAACCTCGAAAGAGCTAATTTTTTGCTGCGTTTCTCATAAGTCAGACAAGAAATTGATCTAGGTTCTAAATTATAAAATCTCACGTTATGTATTTTACACGACATTATAATTACTTAATTAATATTTTAATAAAAACTTTAATACGATAAACAATTTCTTATATATTACACAGTCAACTTAACACGTGTTCTTCATGTTATAAACAACACAGACTGAGCGTGTCACGTTTTGAAATTTTATCGGGACGTGACATTAGACAACCAATTGAGAGCACTCTTTTCTTGGTTTTGCTATATCACTTCAAATAAGCTGGCGCTAGAAGCCAATTATAAATTTTTCAAAATGATCAGTTGCTTTATTTATTTATGTATTTATAAATATTCACGCTTATCTTATGGTCATAAAAACCTTGTAGATATTTATTTCTTGCATGATTACACTTTTATATGCAAAACCATTGGATTAAAGCTCTTATTTACAATTCACGTTCATTAAGAAGTTTTTTCAAAGAACTGTAACGTCTAGAATAACCCTGCAGCGCCAAATTTAACCTCAATTTCAGTCGGAGAAAAAATCAAATAAAATCTCGTCTTCTATTCAGTCTCAGTTTTTTATTCATTCTTTAGCAATAAAATGCAATTTATTATAACATATTAGTGTTTCGCTAATTAACGAAATATCGAAAATAAACCAATTAATTTGAGAGAAAGTTATTCTTAAAAATTTCCAATTGTTCTAACTTAAATTTTATGGTGTCGTGATAAACAAATTTGAATAGTTAAAATAAATATTCAAAATTATAAAAGATTTTTTAAACAATTAAAGGAATACTACTTATTGTTTTAAATCGTCTGACTTTTGCATATTCTTATGGGTGGGTGTGTTTTTTTTTTAGTGACTGGTAGATTGAGTTTGTGAAAATTTTATTGATATTTAACATCATGTGAATTTATTTTTATTTGTTTAATATGCATATCAAGTCTTCAAGAAAGCAAGGATTATTGAGTAATCTTTATATTCTATGTGTTACACGGATTATTAAAAATGTCGAAAGATCAGTAAATATTCTTTTAAAATTATGTTTAACATATCGAAGAGAAAAAACAAGTTTTACATGGTATTTATATAGAGTGCACATTTGTTAATTAAAACTTTTAATTAATAAAATAATATTTATGAGTTTCTACATACGTTAAAAAGTTTCTTTTCTTAATTATTATGCAATAAAATAATTCAAAATGAAGAAAAAGTACATTTCCTTGCTATTTATGATCATACAATTTTGTAAAGCTGATGTTGATGAGTGCACCGTAAGTATTTTGAGCCAATGTTTCAAACAAACATCATAATAAAAAGTTTGATTTTTTTTCAGTATCAATATAAATATTCGTGTGATAAAAATGAAAATTTGCGACTGTTAAATGACACAAATCCACTCAATTGCAGCCTTGATAACATCTTAGAAAATGCAGAGTATACCTTGATATTATCTAAGGATGGATTAACTCCAACCGGTATGTTCAAGAAAAAAATACAATAAAAACATTAAAGTTTGTTAAAAAAAAACATTGCATAAAAATTCATCTTATGAAATTCATTTATTATGACTATTTATTTTTTCTAGGGATTTTGAGAATTAATTCATTTCTTCCAACTGTCAATTGCCAATACAAAGTAGCTCTTTTAGTTAATGAATCAGTCAAGACGGATGAAGAGTGTAAACAACATAATTTTGATAATCACAATGAGAATGAAATTCATTCATTAGACCAAACTATTTGTATATCCGCATTTGATAACTCTACAATCATTGAGCATGAGTCAATAGATTGCAAAGTATGTTTTTTTTTTATTTCATTGAAATTCATATTCATACAAAAATTGTTATTAACAATGATATTACTTTAGGAAAACAATATTTATATATACTTCAAGCATATTTTCACTGGTTGTTATGCTCTTCGTTATAAAATTGATCATAATTATGTGATACGTTCAAGACAATATATTTCTACGACTTATCAAAGAAGGGAAGTAGAAGAACCAACTTTCCGCTGCAATTATGATAACAGGCCAATAAATAATCAGAGGTGAATACTTTTTTCTTTGTTAATTTTTCCTTGCATGATTTTAACTTTTCCAGTTAAAAAATTATTTTTTTCCATTTTACTCAGCACTTAGATATGGAATGGTAATAAAAATAAATATGGTCTGTTTAATTATTTGATACGCATGAAAATCACAACGTATGCGTATATATATTTTTGGGAATGTTTCCGCTAATTATAATAATTTTTTTTTTGTATAAATTTTCTTTTATAATCTTTTGGGTAGACAAAAAAATGTGTTCTTACAGTAGGAATCTGGTGACGTTTACCTTCGGCATTTCAGTACTTCCTGGTTCTACAAGTATGAGTTTAGAATTAACTCCATTATCTTCTGAAGATGAAAATAAAGAAGATGCGTGTGTAGAATATAGTAAGGCTCCTCAATATGCTTGGGAAATTAGTCTGGTAATTTTTTATTTTTTAATTTTTCACAAATATCCATATACTCTTTCAATAAAATTTTAATGCAACTGTGTTTTAAAATTATATCGGATCTTTGTGAAGATTTTATTGTATTCAATAAGTTGATTGTTGTTAAAAAAATATTAAAAATGGGCTTTGTTATCGCATGTGCATGATCCGTATAATTTTGTAGCATTTTTTTTTCTAAATCGTTTTATCAATTATTACTTTATTTTGTGTACTACTGTTTATGTAATTGATGACTTGTAGAGTGGCTCGAATACTCAGTTAGAACCATTAAAAAGTTGTAAAGTTACGATGGTAAGTTTATTTGAAATAACAAAAATTAATCAAGAGTTTTATTTATTAAATATAATAAACATGATGTATTATCAGGTAAACATTGTTAATGAAACGAGTACAGAGGATGTCGAGTGCAGTTTTTCGCTTCCAGTATCATATGATGAAAGTTATTGTTTTCTTATTACTCTCCATGATAGCCGGTGTTTAAGACATACCACTTGGAATCCACCACCAAAGAATAAATCTACTGTTCCATGCACTTGGATACCAAGTAAATTTTTTTATTAAAAAAAACATATTTACTTCATTCTGTATAATTTGAACTACTTATGATTGAAAATTTTTTAGAATGTACAAAAGTCAATATAACCTCAGGAATTGAATATCCTGGAGATGTCGAAGGTAACTCACCAGTTGTATCTGCTGATCTCTCTTCACTCCTCCCCATAGCTGCTGGTATTATTATTGTGACTGTGGTAATTGGAATGTCTATGGTATATCTCTATCGTTCACGCGTAAGAATACTTCGAGAGGATTTTGCATTAAACGCTACGTTAAGAAATTTAAAAGATGGAGATCATATCGAACTAGATGCTATTGATACTGATGAAGAACATACTAGAGCTATCGTGCTTCTTTATGCTAGAGGCTCCAAACCTTTTATGAGTTTCATGTTACATTTTAGAGAAATTTTAGAATGTTACTGTGGATGTCATGTAAGTTGATTCCTATCAGTATTTTCTTAAAAGATATAAGTTATTTATACTCAGAAAAATATTGACATTTTTTTAAACTAATGTAGGTATTTGATTGGTACGCAGCATGTGAATGGGATGCAGTAGCCAGAGTTGGAGCTTGTGAATGGGCTGATTCTTTAATTAAAAGCAATCACCGTATAGTATGGATCGATACTCCAACTGCAAGATCTCTAGTAAATATGACAAACAATCAAAATATTGTAAATAAATCTTCAAACGATGAACAATTCAATACTGATCTTATCAATGATTTTCGAGATTTAGCATTTCCTTCTGTGTTGGAATTTGCTAAACGGAGTATCATCAATATTAAATCACAGTATGACAAACATTTCATTGTTAGGTTGGTATATCAGTTCTTAATTTGATTTTAATCTTAAATTATCAATAATTAATTATCATTGATGTGTTATAGAATAGAAGGATTTAATCATGATAATTCAAGTGAAGATATATTTGCAAATCTTTCTCCTCATGCACGATTTTTGATTCCTTATCATCTCAAACAATTATGCTCACACTTGTAAGTTTTTATCGTGAAAATTAATATTTTTTATATGCTGTTGCAATTATTATTATTATATTTAATTAATTGATAATTTATCTTATAGATCTTCTAAAAGATCTGAAGCCAAAAATGATGCCTTAACAACTGAAGAAAAACAACTCAAGGAACGATTAAGGAAAATGAATCATCATTATTAATTTTTTTATAATGAAAAAGTGATATTTTTCAAATAAATAATACATTTTTATATCAAAAATGTTCTATTTCTTCAAAGAAAATCAATTTTTCTCTATGCCTCGCTTCATTGCTTTATTTCGTTTAATTTTAATTTCGTTTAAATGATCACCTTGAGAAAAATCTGATGAATCCATGGATTGATGAACATCTAATTTACGTTTTTTTCATTTTGTTGAATCTTTCGGTTCAGAATCATTGATTTTTTCCCCATGAAGTTTAAATGCATTATCTTCGAGATTTTTGTGTTTTTCGGGTGTAAAAAAATGAAATAAAATTTTTTTATAAATTCGAATAATAAAAATTATTAAAGCTTAGAATATTTTTTACCAAAAAAATGAATAAGCTTGAATTTTTTAATTTTTTCTAGATAAAACAACCCAGCTAGTTGCAACTTACATTTACTTGACGTTGCATTTTCTCCTTTGTCATTATCAACTGCATTATTATCTGCTGTAAAATAACACAAATAGTTTTTCAACTACATTACTAAGTAAATCACCAAATATATGATAAGACTGATTGATTCTTTACCTTTATGTTTTAAATAATTACCACTACTTTTACTTTCTATTTTTTGTATTATTGAGTATATGCCACGTTTGTGCGGTACAATTAAATTAACATCCCCGTAATGTTTCAACCTGTATTGTTGTCCTGCATGCCATAGCTCTTTTTGCATATTTTCTAGCCATGCTTGTTGATGACCAATAACAGAACCTGGTCGACAAATTCGTGCCCAAGCTATAGCTTCCCTTGCTGTCATTTTATAATGTTTAATCAAGTAAGCACAAATTAATGATCCTGTTCTTCCTAATCCCGCCTATGATATATTTAAAAATACATTTACAAGTCTCAAAGTGATAATAAACAGCTATTAATAAAATTAAAAGCTTACTCTACAATGAACAGCTATTGCTCCATTGGTTGTCTCCGAAATATGAAGAAATTGATTTAAAATTTTTCTAGATGGTATGCTACCATCTGGTATAAACATATCATAATGATGGATTCCTAATTTAGTAAATCTGTTTGAAGATATACTTTATAAATGTTTTTATTCATGAAATATTGATAAAGTAAAAACGATAATAAAAAATAGAAATACTTGGAGGCATCATAAGATTCTCTATTTAATCGAATGACAACTGCAATATTATTCTTCAAAAAATATTCAAAATAATGTTCAGGGTGAGTGATAAATAGATTCCGTACTTGGACCAATGAAGGCTATAAATTTTTGTGGGACGATCCAATTCAAATCTCCATTTTCTAATCTCTCGTATTTTTCATATTCTGATAAGTTAAAATCGTCGAAATCAAAGAAACGAAAAGTTGCAGCTTTCAATAAAGCATTTAGACAATCTATTTGAAGAATTAAATTGATTATCAAAGTTTATAATCAGAATAAGGAATACGTTTTATAGAAAATACCTTGTAATCGAATATTATAGTTTGAATTTCCAATGGTAGCATCTCTAAATGGTTTAAGAGGTAAATTTCCTTCGACTAATGGCTTATATGCATCTTTGGGATTTTTATTTAAATATAAAAGAGCATAAGAAGCTATAAGATAAGCAGCATTAGCTTTTTTTTCTTCTTCTTTTATGGTGTAATGAACAATTTGCTTACGACGATTACTAGGATGTTTTAATTTTTTATTTACTTTCCAACAATATCTAAAAGTATAAATTTATATTTAATTATATCAAACACTATTGATTTGATAAATTGTAATATTACTTGTAAAGACAGCCAAGATTCAAGGGACCAAAATCATCATAAAAATTGGCATAAATTAATTCATTATCAATGCTAAAGAAATCAATATCAGGAGTTTTCTGAGGTTCATATTTTCCTTCATGTAAAACTGCAAAAAATAATTTATCTTTTATATATTCAGACACAAAATACACATCTGGATGATTGAAAACACTATTGATATCATTATGCTTGATTTTTTTAATTTCTGTTAAATGTAATTTAGAAGTTCGCATTGGTCTGTCAAAATAGAGTTGATTTGCCATAGTTTTTATTATTGTTTCTCATTATTCTAATCATTTAGTGAATCGAAAATTTATTATTGAATGATAAAAATACTGAAATTTTGAATGTTGTTCACGCCATTTTTTTCTATCAACTTCAGGTTTATGGATAGTTATATGATGCTTTTGTCAAATGTTTTCAGCTTATTTCATTTTAAATACTTGTGTATATTTTTTAGAATTGGATTTAGGATAAAATAGATAGGATAAAATATGAAATACAGTATATAGGATTTTATAATGCTTTTATTATTGATGTATAATGGATAATTAAATTTCAAACGAGAATACAATACAATCATTTAAGTAAGTTATGATTACTCCATAGCACTAAATGCTGTATATTACCTTTCTATTATAAAATGAGACCACTCAAAAGCTGGTTTCAAACAATTATCTTTAATTTTATAAATTTTCATATATCTTTTATACTTTTTCATTTATATTCAATTTACTTTTCACTTTAATATACAGGATTTTCATTGTTTACTTATACACAAACTCACTAATAAGGCAATACTTATATTGTTTATACATTCATTTGCCAACATTTTTTGGCAAAAAATATTATTTTTCATTTTAGTTTATTATTGTATCTTCTAATTTATCAATGATTGTTTTAACTTAATATGACATAATTGATAATAAAAAATGAGGTATCCCTAAAAGTGATTAATTACTGTTAAAAATTCGTTATTCACTATATTTATAATTGACTATCATACCATGGTTATTATTCATTAAATAACTCATTAGTTCCATTCACGTTTGAAATAATAATAAATAAATAAATGAAGAATGAAAGAAAACCGAAAATAAGATTAAAAAAAAAATAAAATAAACTTAAAAAAAAACCAGTGAATACTTTAACGGTTTGTTTTTTATTTCTTTACAATTTTCAATTTGCAATTTTCTTGTTAATTTTTCTCTTAAAAGTCTGGCCTTTTTTTTTGGTATAATTGCATTTCAAATTATATTTTCCGAAATGGAAAATTTACAATATTTATTAAAGTTACTTGTTAAATATTATTTACATATCATAATTAACTTTGTTGTTAATAGAATATAAATTGATTACTCATTTTCAATAAACTCTCTTAATATATTGCTTCACATCAATTCATTTTACACCCACAATTCCATTTGATTTTATAATTATTCCTCATTTTCGAAAAATTCTACTTATTCATACAAATCTTTAGTATATCGGACTAATTGTTATTTTTCATGACAATTTATTTTATTTCTTTCAAATATAATTTAATATTGAAAGTTCTTTTCTCACTATCATTTCTCTTATTAATATTCTGGCCATTATAACGAGTACAATCCCACAAAATTTATCTTTTAACATTTTTTAAAAAGATTTTTACACATAGAGTAACATCGTACAATTACGATTTACTGTTGATGTAATATAAATGTTAAGTTCAAGAAAAAGATGTATGGCTATTATATTTATTTTAAAATATTTTCCTTTGGGATTTTCATACAACCTAGCTTATTATGTTACAGTTGACGTAAATAAATTATAGATAATCGACAATTACTTTACGTCAAGTGAAATTAAACTTTATTTGTTATAAGTTATTTATCAGTTATATTATACAATTACTTATCGGACTTTTCTGTTTCTCATTACTCTTGAAAGCAAGAAAACTTACATTTTTTAGTTCTTTTTCTTATTAGTTAAATTAAAAATTACGTTTTATGATCTACATAAATTTATTTATATATTTTCAGATTATACATGATAATATTTTTTATAATTATGGCTTGAAATATATATTATTTACACACAAATTTATCCATATACTCTATATACGTTAATAAAAAATATAGTGTAAATAAAATAACAGCACAACCAACTGACAGAAAATAATAACCCGTAAACTGCACCAATTTTTTAAATTAAATTATCAAATTAATTATTAAACTATAATGAAAAAATTATACTACCGTAAATCTTTACGGTTTTAAATGAAAAAAAATTATTTTTGAAGTACAAATAATTTTTGCCATTCATTGATTATGTGTTATTATTGAGAAAAAATATTTTAAGCCACATTGTCTAAATCGTTTTGTCATTAACACTCAAGTTATTACCACTTTCTAATAATCTTATCAAATCTTACTTTCTCTATTAGATGTAAATGCCAAGGTATCCCACGAGTCGACGAGAACTGTCGCATCTCGTAAGTTAATTATCTTCTGTAAGGCACGATCGTGAACGTAATGGGAAATTATTAATTCATTTAACCCAATTTGTTACTTTCCGTTAATCAATAATCAATAATAAATCATATAACTAATTAATATTTGTACAAAAACAGTTTTACATTTAAGAGCTTAATCATGACTTCTGTTTACTCCAAGTAATTTTGCTGCGTCATCAGCAGATGCTTGGAGAACTTTGTCAATGATGCTCTTATCCCTGATTCCAAGTAAGTTGGAGATCAAATCATTTTCTGTATCAGGAGTTGTTTCGGAATGAAAACTTTGTTGATTAGTTAATTTACCAGTTAGTGTCGTGAGTGATTCATACGGATTAAATCTCATAAGTCTACTTGGAGCTGCATCTCCTGTTGCTACAGTTGCCACAGTTGGTAATGAAATCCTGTCTTGGATTTTAGTTTCTCCAATATTTGCTGAAGTCATCATTACTTGTTGGCTACGTGGTGTAATGGTAGGTGGTTGAATAGGATTTGTTTCCTCATCACCGCTGGTTCCTACGTAGATTGTTGAGTCAACTGATTCATGCTTTTTACGATGACGAAGCATACTATGCTTCAGTGTGAATCGTCTGCAGCAGATATCACAGGAGTATGGTCGTTCTCCAGTGTGTGTACGCATATGACGTCGAAGATCTTCTGCGGACCAAAATCTACGCATACAGAAGGCACAAACAACCTGGAAAAAAACAAGAAAAAAATTTTAAAATATGTTTTTGAAAATGAAAATGATGTAAATTTTTTTCTTCACGTAATGTGATTTTATTTATTAAATAAAAAGAATTATTTACCTTCCGATTGCTGTAGTCAGGAAATCTGCCTCGTTTTTCTTCTCCATCACTGAGATGTTGGGCAGGTGCGTGGTCCTCCATATTTTCTGTGTCCATATCAAGAGCACCTTTAGCCAAAAGCATTTCATAAGACTCTTCATGATTATCTTTAATGTGATCTAGACAGTCTTGTCGTTCGGAGAAACCGCTGTCACAGAGATGACACTTGAAAGGAACATCACTAGGTGATGGTCCAGGAGATGATCTTGGAGAAGGTCTTCGTGGTCTAGAGACATCCATATTTGGTGGATGAATATTAGGAACTTTATTTTCAATATTGGTGTTAGTCTCCATATTTTCTGAGACACTAGACGATTGGCTTTCATAATCACTTCGATCATTTTGTTCTGGACATGGAGCTGGACTATGATGTTGCTCTGAATGAGTCTCACTAATTGGACTTTCAGGCCTAGATGATTTTTCTCCATGTGGATGCTTGGTAGCTTTGTGTTTCTTTAGGTTTCCTAGCGTTGAAAAAGTGGAACTGGGACAGAGATTGCATTTATAGGGTCTCTCTGGTACATTTCTTGTTGCAAAAGTGTTATTATTGACAGGGATTTCTTGAGCTTCTGGTGAAGATGAATTCCTAACACGTTGAACATTGTTAGGATTAGTCTTGTGTTTTCTGAGCAAATGACGATCGCAGTTAGATTTGGTTGTAAAAAGTAAGGAACAGTACATGCATTGATAAGGCTTCTGACCAGTATGAGTAAGAATATGTCGCCTGAGCGATGAAGTCCAAGGGAAAGGTCGTTGACAGTATGGACATATTACTCTATTTGGTGCCATAGAATAAGCAGATTTCTTCTTCTTCTTTTTCTTTTTCTTCTTCTTTAGTTTCGATGATACAGAATTAGCTGAATTATTCGAATTAACTGAGTCAGACTTTTCATCACTTCCTGAATTGTTACAGTCACTAGTAGAAGCCACTAAGCCTTCTTCATCACTCATATCTTGTGGCCTAAACTGTTGGTACTGTTGTGAGGCATTATCTAATAACTCCGAAACACTCGCTAGATCTGCACCATCTTCATTTTTCGGATTTTCTTTTTCATTTTCTTTCATTTCATCAACGTCTAGAGGTTCTTCTTTACATCTTAATACCATATCTTCTGGATTAGCATCACTTTCTGATTTTTCTTCATCCATTTTCTTTCCGTTATCTTTGTTTTCTTCTAATTTTCCTCTTAATAGACTAATAGGACGATCTTCATCATCAAATTCAGACCTTTTGTCGGGATTTTCATCAATTATCAACTCTTCTTCAGTATCATTATCCTCATTTTGATTACCTTTTAGCTGTTGAGCAAGAATAGCGTATTTAACTTGATCAGAAATTGCATGCTTACTATCTTTACTCCTTTCATTAGAACCAGATTTCGGCAAAATACTAGGGTAAGGTTGTTGAAGAGCACGATTGGATCGTTTGAGGCTTCGTAAAAGTGTTGGAGGATAAGTTGGTGGTCTACCACGAGTAGAATGACCTCCACGAGGTTTTTGACACCAGTATTGTGGATGTTGTTGTTTAACGTGTCGTTCCATGTTACTTCTAAGCGTGAATCTAGCCGTACAATGCTCACAAGTAAATGGTCTTTCAGTTCTATATCTCCTTTGTTTTTGTTTCTGGACCAGAACTCCATTTCTAATAACCATCTTGACGGAGTTAGATGTTGAGGTGCTGTCGATTCTTTCTCGTGGACTAACAACTCGAGAACTTGACTGTGATGCTATAAGTTTAGAATAATCACCTTGTTCATTTTGTGATGGTTGAGGAATGTCTCTGTTGGTTGAATAGTTTGAAAAATTTGGATTACTCATTGAAGGCTCCACCAATGTGCCTCCACTGGTCAACTGTAATCCTCGAACTAATTCCTTTTGTAATCTATCTCTTACAGCAAGATCTTGGCCAAATAAATGAGGATTAAATAAATACGGAGGTAAGATTCCAGTACCTGCCGAGAATCCACCAAAATTTCTGTATAAAAGATGAGCATTGGCATATAGTGCCTCTAAAGATGATGAATTTCCAGATTGACCAGCTTTTAATAACGCTTGAGTTAATAAAAATTGATTGGTTGCGTCGTAAAAGTCTTTACTTCTCTCAGAGTGATCAGAATTGGCTGATAAATCTGATCCAGTCTCTTTAGACTTCTTACTAAGATCTAATACATCCATTGTAAGATCCAAAGGAGCGTCCTCGTTTGTCACATCATTTTTCTTTAAGTCAATCGGACTAGCCTGAATTCTTTGGTGCGATTCAGATTTGGCTTCGGTGACTAGAGATTGATTAGCATTCATTGACGCGCTACCTTCAGAAGATCTAGAGTCTTGATCATTCATCTTCATATACTCGGACTTTATCATAAAATCATGATTTCCAGAGTTTTCGGAGATTCTGTGAGTCAGTTCTAGAGGATGAACAACTGGAGGTCTAGAGATTAGTTCAGTTTTATCATAGTGACTTACTGAATTAGCAACCATTGTAGGGATTCCCATGTGTCGAAGTCGCAAAGCTTCTTCACTGATTCCCACATCTTGTTTGATCTCCATTGGATAGTGCATCTGTTGATAAAAATCATCTCGATCATTAGAGTAATTGAGAGATTTTCTCGAATCTTCTCTCATTACTCTAGGAGATCCCCTGTCAACATTTTCGTTAGTGGAATCTTCATTTGGATGGTAAATTAATACACTCTTGATGTCTTCTCTAGTCAACTTTCCATGACGATTTCTCACGTGTCTTTCACAGTTAGCTTTGGTCGTGAAAGCATAATGGCATAGAGCACACTCATAGGGCCTATCTCCATTATGGGATCTCAAGTGTCTCACCAAAGTAGCTTTGTCCGTTGACGTATAAGGACACATATTACAAGGATATGGCATTCCAGGTCCTACTCCCATATGTGCACGATTATGACCTTTCAAAGCACGAAGATTAGGGAAAATTGCAGTACACAATCTGCATGGAAATTCTCCTTTCAATTTCATTCGTCTGACTTCTGCTGCAAAAGCGTCTTGCGCTTCTTCTTCATGATACTCTGATGCAGCTCCTGACGATCCTGATGATCCTATTGTCGAGTTCAATTTAACTTGATGATCTGGAGTGCTAGTATCAGATCTTGGAAGTATTGGACCTGATGTTACAGAAATAATCGACTGAATGTCGGCTAAATCTTTTCCTTCTTTTGCTTCAGTCAATGCTGCCTTATTTTGAAGATCAAGTCCAGCAAAAAAGTCGTTTCCTTTTATCTTATCTTCTTCTAATTTATTTGCTATTTGTTGAGGATTTCCACAATCCATTTCATGAGCTTCTAATGCTGATTTACATGGAAATGCTCGCAGGCATTTTGAACACATAAATGTTGCACTTTCTCCTGATGCTGGACGATGAAGAGACTGCTCACAAACAGCTCTTGCAATTGCTGGAAATTTATCTGATGAAAAATCAACAAAAGTCAAATCGTTGAAGCCAACGACTGAATTTTTAAGGCTTTTATTATTATTCATTGCGTTGTCATTGAAATGCACCATATATCGATGGAGATTTAATACTCGATGATTTTTAAAAGTCCTCTTACATGTCTCACATTCGGCAGTGTAGTCTGGGTGATGTTTTTCCAGGTGAGCTTCCAATAATGCAACCGTTGAAAATTCTACAGTCTCACAAACAGGACAAACAAATGCATTTTGTCCATGGATAAGATCTTTGTTGTCATTTCTAGCATTATTCAATAAAATCTTATGTTTTCTACTGACTTCAAAATCATCTGATCCATCAGTTCGTTTTCTTTTACCTCTGGATGGTGACACAGGGTTTGAAATGTCAGTTGAATTGGTCTTGGCAATTTCATTATTATTATACTCATCAACGTGACGTCGTGGACGATCTGAGTCATTGCTACCATCAGAATCAGTGTAACTGGGAGGTGAAACCTCACGGTGGGCATTTCTTAAGTGTCTGTTCATGTTTCCGTTGGTGGTAAAAGCCATGTCGCAGTACTTGCACTTGAATGGTCGCTCGCCTGAGTGAACCAGCACGTGCCGGTCTAAAGAACTAGCGGAACTTAGTACCTTATGGCAAACTCCACAAGAGTAGTCTTCTTCTCCGCTGTAGTCTGTGCTACGTGGAGAATTGTGGCCTCGTAAGTGATTCGTTAGTTCATGAGATGTAGGCAGTACTAAAGGACAAGCTGGGCAGGGATGAGATCCGTCTGAATGCTCGACCTGTAAATAAAATTATATTTAATCATTCTTTTCCCTATATGATGCTTCGTGAACTCTATTTATAATCATGAGTGTTTCAAATGATATACAATAAATTATTACTGTATAAAATACTTACCGATGATGATGAAGCTGCATCAGTTTGATTTTCACTGTTGTGGCGTGAGTCCGGCACACTGTCAATGGTCACTGTAACAGAAATAACCAATTTGATAATTAATTAGATGTTCTTAACAAAAAAGTTTCATTTTAATTTCAAAGAAAATATTATTACTTAAGTAGGTTTTAATGCTAAGAACATTCTAAGAATAAAAATAAGAAGAAAACCATTTTTTTTTATCAAACAACTCATTTTCTGTGAATCCTATAACCAAACATTGCCAGAGGAATACATCAGGTGTGATGGCACATCAAAGACAAAAGATTATATGAAAACCGATTGATTGTTACTTAAGATAACATGTACATACTTCTCGATAAGACACTTCAGACGTTTTCTTAAGGTTCTCAAGCTTATTGTTCATTATCTTACACAACTACAGACGATTGTAGTTCATATAAAAAATCAATAAATATATGTTTCAATGTCATTAAGATGGCTTTTAAAAATCTATAAATTGTTATTTGGAACAAAGTGAGTTATCGTATTCTTAAAAACCATTAAACATATTAAACTATATCTCAGACATTATTTTAATCTTTTAAATAAAACTATTATCTAGTTAATGTGTATGAAAATCTGACGTAGACAGGAAGCCAATAACAGAGATCGTGATCCGGGACATTAACATTTATCAGTAACCTCAGGCAGTATTTGTGACCACAAACGGATAAATCTTGCTGATTTTTTTCGTTTTTTTTTTCTTTCTATTAAACGATGGTTTACCACTTCAATTTTGCATAAAAATTAGCAATAATTTAACCAACTATTTTTTGTCTTCTCAAGATGTAACTCCAAAGAAAGAAAAAAAAATTTATCAAAATAATAAATTTCATAAAGTGGGAAATATTATGTATTAGAATATAAGTTACGCAGAATTATATGTAGGGCTGTAGAGGTCAATTATGATCGATTCTATAATAACAATAATTATTTACAAGAACAAAAAGATTAAAACAAGATACGTTATATAGTTGTAAAAAATATTTTAATCTAGAAACAAAATAGTTTCAAAATTGTTTTAAATAATTGCTATTAATGATAGTATTGTTGTATTGTTTGAATCAATGAAGAAATAATATGTGAAATACTTGGAGTTCGATTTTCCGAATGAAAATAAAGAGAAAATTATTCAATCTTCATTGGAAATTATTTATAGCTTAAAATAACAATAGATAAAGAATACTAAATGAGAAAAAAAAAATAATAATTTCTTCTCTTCTGAGTTTTTTATGGCATCACACGTAAAATATAATTGTATCAGCGGGTGATTTATTCATTCGCATTCAGTAGTCTACGAGGATTACGATGGGAAACGGGTTTGGCATGGGCAACTCGTCTCTCATGATGATGATGATGATGATGATGCTATGGTACTTGATGCGTTACTCGTGCGAACTCCCGTACTACACGTTTACGTAAGTTATGCTGCGTATGTTAAAAGTATTTTACCTCGAAGATGCGTGGGAGAAATTTAGATAAAGATAAATAATACGAAGGAATATAAAAAAGAATTGAGGTACAAACAATTCAACATGATGATATTCCAAAAAAAAAATAAACTTTTTGAAATGAAATAAAATTATTACATGAGCCTAGACAATAGTTATAGTTGGATTTTGATATCAAATAGTGGTTTATTATAACCTTGGATCTTATCTCAACACTGATCTCGATAACCCTGCTTGAAGAACCTTGAAAGTGGAACTCGACTGGTCTCTCGACGGAAGAGAAACGTCTCAACTCTATAAACGAGCGGTTGGATTGCTCACACGTGGGTATAATTCAAGAAAAAGGCCTTTGTGAGCTATGAAATCTCCATCTCCATCGTCAGAGAGCATCTTCGATGGTTTAGTTATTTCCCACAATTTTCTCAGAGAAAAAAAATTGCTTATTATAAAAAAACTACTAAGTGAATGGTTTCTAAAATCTCTAGAAAAATAGTTTTATTTTTTTTCCAACTTTATATCTTATTTTCTAAACTATCTTCAGAATCCTTATCAAAGTATTGTTTCAATTTATTGATTCGTTCAATTAACGCATCACCACTTAAAAGGAATCCATCAACAATAAAAGTTTTAAATGCTTTAGAATATTCTCGACATCAATTGTCAACAGGCTGTTTATCAATGTTTTAAAAATCCGAATATTTCTGAGTAATCACTAGTTAATCTGTTTTAAATGGTTTTTCCTCGATGGTTGGAAATCCCAAAGCATGAAACTGGTGGAGATTTGATAGAGAAACGCATGCGTATCAAACATGATGTTGGATGCTGTGCTGGATCCAAAGTGGGGACAAGTGGGGGCGTCGCCCTAGTTGCTTATTGGAGAAATTCCATTTTGAAGCAGTTTTATCTTATTCCTTATGACGTTTACATGTTTCAAACTACCAATCATGCTTCTTTCATTCCCCTCAGTTCTTGCTTCTTGTGACTAACGACCTCACAGCCTCTTCTACCTTCTCCTCCGTCCTATCGAGGCTGCTTTATTCTCAATAGCTGTCCCTCTTACTTCAACTGCCACATATCTCAGCACTCTGTCTCCTTTCCCCACCCTATGCTCTTTTCGTAAGGCTACACCCACGACACGAGTGAGATGGAAGTAAAAATGGCGATTGGCCCGTGTGTTTCGAGAGCTGTAACCCTGGTAACCTTGGACTTACCCAACTGGAACCCCCAACCATCCCTTTGAGCTTAGCAGTCAACTGCACACGTTAGAGACTTTTCGATTCATCAATAAAATTTACGTTGGAAAATTCCATGTCTAAAACATCAATATCAGTTAAAAATTAACTGTATCAACTTTAAGATGATGTTTGTAACGATTTTTAGCAAGTTTTATTCAACTTGGACCAGGTCGTATCAATACGAAAAATATACAGGTCACAAGTATCCAGGAAAGAAATGATTCATCAATGAAAGTAATTTATTGATAAGAAAGCTCTCGAGGGAAATGATTTTACTGTTAACTGAATCATAATTTTTCAACCCTGTAATTTATTCAAACAGTATAATCGGTCAAAGGTGTTAAAATGACATAGTTAAATCACAGTTTGAAGGTAGTTATGTGATGGAACATAAGCAGAAGGGTAGCAAACTCATGTATACATAAAAATATTGAATTGAAATGGGTTGCATTCTTGATATATCAAATGTGGACGTAGCACATTGGTGGTTATCTATAAAGCTTCTGTTGCCATTTTAAGTATCATCAAGACATACGTGGCCCAACCGAGTTTCTCCGCATGTACTTGATGCCAAAGTGTAGCTTGGCCTAGAGTTTAGAACCTATATTGGAGAGACTATAGATCTACTAATGGACTATAAGCTTACAGATATAACAACCACTGAAAATCCACATTGCAAAAGTTCCGGAAACCAAATGACAAGAATGAATGACAGTTTTAACTTTCGATTTTGTTCATTTTATTATTCATCTTGTATATATTATATTTAATTGGCGTTCTAATCTACTTTTCAATAATATCAGTTTTTATATAATTTTATTATAAACATCTATTATTAATTTTTGTCAAACGTTACATCAAATGTCATTATTTATTCAGCTAATAATCATAGTGAATATTTCTTCAACCATTTTCAAGATCTGTTTATCGTGAATTTCGTAATATTTGATATTTTATCAAAAAAAATTTATAATTCTTTATCAAGATTCTTTTTTAATAGCTTTTTTATCATATTTATCATACAATTGGTAAATAAATACTATAGTTTCAGCACGTGCTGAACTAGATCAGCTTTCAATACTTTTCAAGACACGTCCCTGATCATTTTAGACTTGTAATACATTAGGGTGGCCACAACAGAAGAATAGGGAGTGGTTTCTTTCTCAATGCCACACCCTTCGAATGCTGGATCAAAAGTCATCTCGAATATCTCTCCAACAAATATTTGACTTCCTCCCAAAGTAGTTTGTTTTCAATCAATCGAATATATATTTCTTAACAAATAAATAATTTAATATTTAACCAGGACTTGTTAAACACATTTGTTTGAAGATAGTATTACAATTTAATCATCCATTCATCTCATGTAATTCTTTCCAAGTTGTAAGATTGATGAACTATTTATTTTGACTAGTAAAACTGGTTGTAAGCCAAACAAGTAACAAAAAGTAGCTTTAATCATTTCTATATGTTTTATTTTGGATCAGATTGAAAATTTATCTTTCAAAAGCAACCAAACGTCTCAACTTATTTTATCTTATAAAACCATAAACTTGAATTTACAGTTGTAAGAATTAACTAAAGCTCGTCTCAATTCTTCTCTACGTTCTGGAAACTGCACAAATAATAATAAGGAAAAAAATTCATACGTGATATTGAATAAGGAAAAATAATGAATGTTATTTAAAGACAAATCTGTATTGAGATGAAGATATAAATCTATATGCGAATGTAAATAAAATGATCCTTGACAAAATTTCAAATGATTTTTTCGGCGGATCACAGGAAGATAAAGTTAAAAAAAAAAATGATATAATAAAAAAGATTAATGTAATGAATAATAAGACAATAAAAATTATAGTGTGTTGGATCAGAATTTCGTGTCTTATTTCTGTTTACAAAAAATCATCAAAGCAGGTCACAGTCTGGCGTAATTTCATCATCGCACTCGTCTCCTCGATATTGTGTCGTATCCCCCAGAGGTGTTTTAAAGTTTGTTATCCAATCGAATTGAGTGTTTCTGAATCACGTACTTGGAAGCTGATTTCATTATGTCCCTCTACTGTTATCAATTGCCGTGGGATACAATCATAAATGTCTTTACTCTTTTCTTGGTAAATTCGATTTATTAACTTCTCCATTTCTCGATGTTTGATGTTTATCAATTAAATTTAAGAGAGAGAGAGAGAGAGAAAAAGTAAATACAACTTACCCTTTGTAGAGCAATCCATGCCGGTTCACTGAGATAATCCTTAAGTCATGGATGAAACACTTGGATCTCGTGTTTTCTATATCTTCGGTTAAAATCCCAATGATTCCACATTCATCACCAAATTTCATTCACAACAATATCAAACTTTATCTTTCAATTCAATAATTCACTGAATTTATTATTTATTCGTTGGATCTAAATCTACACACACTTGAGTTTATATTGAGAATCCAACTGCACAGTTCTATTTATCCAATATAATCCTGAAGATACTTCAACACACAAGTCACTATTCTCTGAGATGAAATAATATTTCTCAACCTGAACGAGAGATAGATCAGTGTGCGAACAGACGAGATGTCTTTCACACAACTCTCTGGCGAGAAGTGACTCTGGTTGGGCTGACAATTTCTCTCAACCTGCTCGCTTTGACTCAGACCTCATCATCTTTCCCTCTCCAAGTTTCTCTCTCCTCTGCCGGGGAGTTCCCCACTCTTCACATTCGAACCAAACGACCAGTGCGATCGAGGGCTGAGGTAGCCTTCCCTACCGCCCCCACTGCTCGTGGCTTTAACTCAAGCTTAAGTCAGTCCCTCTCTCCACACCGCGCCACTCGCTTCATCCCTGCCCCTGGGATCCAGCAGCAGCCGCAGCAGCAGCTTCGGATGGTGGCTGACCTCTGCGCTACCGCGCACGTACACTCACGCTACATGTTGAACCTTTGATGTATATGCTATCATGTAGATATCCCTCTGGTGTATACTTTACTCTTTCATGTCGTTTATTTTTTAGCCTTCTCTTTGACATCGATCTGATGATGATGATGATAATAATAAAATACTATGAGAAAAAAATTATTCACTTTGGTTTTTAAAAATCAATATTTTTCCATTGTATCAAGATTTCAATAGAAGAATAATTATATATTTCATTATCCTTTTATACATTTCACTTTTTTCGTTGAAATAAAAATTTTTCCATCACTTTGAATAATGATTTAGTAAGTAGATAAATTTAATTTAACAGTTGTTTAATATTTTTACCAAGATATCATGTTTAGATAGTATTTTAATCTCAGGTTGTTGAGATGTGATTGTATTTATTGACTAATAAAGAGACAAATTTACTTGTTAGAGTAGAAAAAAAGGTTCAAGACTGTTTAATGAATAAGTAATTACATGGAAGTATAATGATGTATGAGTATATATAGCTGTATGCCTAAACATATTATGTAGCAGTTAAATAATACATTTCAGTTGTGAAAATAAACGAGAATCGATCAGTCTTCGATCAAAAGTTATTATTGTAATGACAATGAAAGAATATATTTATATATAGATATAGTGTTATGGAGTAAAATGATAATATTCAATCGGTATACTGAGTATAGAAATCCTTTGACTAACAATGAGATACTGTTGGTTTTATTTAAACATCAGAACGATTATAGTTTCACTATACTCTCTCTCCCGTTCACTCGTATACGATCTGCTCATGTAATGCTTGGAGATAATTATTGATTTTTATGATAAGCTAACGGAAGAAGCGTGATTTGTTCAATCCAAATCCTTCACAGTAGCTTACCTTCCGCCTTACTTTTCAGCTTTGATACACTTACTTGCATCAGACATAAATAACATTAGAAATGTTTGATTAATTTCATGTTACTGCAGTATAAGATTGAATTTTAAGTGTATTTAATTAAACAACAATTAAGAAGTCTAATTGTTTGTATATTTTAAAGCTTAAATTAAGCTTAAGGTTCCGAAGTTTATACAGGAAATTATCTTGTTATTAAAGTCAAATTTGATGCAGATCCTCATTATTACACATCTTGCTTACTTAATATTGATAATGAGTCGATAATATTTCCAATTAAGAAAAAGTTATTAAAATAATTATTTATCCATGATCGTTTAGACTTATTTTGTTTCATTTACGCTTTTATTTCCATTTTGTGTGTTAAATCAATCTGAATTTTATTTTATTTCTTATTTCTCTGTTAAAACAGGATTTCTTCTAAAATATTTTCTTAAGATTAAAGAAATTTAAAAGCTAATACTTGAAACAACCAGTCGCAAATCTCGTAGAATAATAAGTGGATTATCTTTTCTTGTTTTTGGTTTCACTGAAAAGTCAAGATATATGACAGAAGTAAGAAAATTCCCAGTTTTAGAAAATAGTGAGATAAACAATTAAGCGGATTATCAAAAGGGTTCGAGGGTCTCACTGAGAATCTACTGGTTGCCACAGCTGTGCTGGCTTCAAAGAACTGACTTTCTTCACCTGTGATATATGACGGGATTGTGCTTATTTTAACTTAAAGATGGGGTACCTAGTGTACCAGTCAATATGAATTCGTAAAATTTTCCAAATATTTTTAATCCTTTAATTATGCTACCAGTGAAATATAATGGACTCTTAAGGTTAAGGGATGCTGGGTTACTGAATGCCATATATCTTGTTCAAAACTCTTTAAGAAGATCGGATGTTGGCTTAAAATTTTTACTAACCAGGAAAATCCAATGATTTAAATAAGATAACATACAATTATTATTTCCTTGATTGTATATTTCCTGTATGTTATATCAAATACATAGGAGATTGACTTTAAGGTCAATCTTAAAAGTCATTGACTGTAGAAATTATATTACAAACAGTGAGGAGAGGAGAATAACAATGATGCTATCTATTGTTAGTAATTCATGTGTGTGCTATGACGCATAAACGGTTGCTTTGATACTTATGTTAATTCTGTGTACCTGAGAATAAAGTTAGAAGTATGATCAGGAACAGAAGAACGCTTGAATATTAATTGCGACTGACCTGATGCAGCTGATGGACCATCGGTGAAAAAGACTAGGACCTAAGTAAAAGGTATACAAAGGATTTATCTCATATATAAAACCTTTTATGACGTTTTATGCAGTCATTAACTGGACCCAGGATAGCAAAAAAATTATCCAAAAGACTTATAACAGTTGACTGTAACGGTCTTAAAAGACTCATTTTTTCCTATATGCAGATAGTTTGTCGTCAAATGCAGAATTTCTTTATTTCAATAATTCTCAGAATGACTAAGATATAAGCATTTAAAAAAAAGTTAAGATGAAAGTTGATTAGTAAATTCCAAGTTCCTGCTTCAGAGAGATGTTTTCAAAATATTTGTTGTCAATTGCTTTATTACTTATTGCAAAAGACGAGACTTAGGAATAGCTATCTAAATTCCAAAGATCTGAATATTTGCTTTGAAGCAATAAATTATTAAGTTCCAAGTAAAATTGTTCTCAACAATAAGACGCCTAAGTAAGCGCCAACATTCTTCATTAAAATTGCAAATATCAAAGTTTATCATCAAATTACTTTTACGAAAGAAAAAGAAGACGTCTTCTCTGGAAATGAAAGAATAAAAATGAAGAACAAACAGTATTTACAGTTTTAAAATTACCACTATTTAGATTAGCACTAAGTGCAAATAGTGAATATTAACTAATTTACTTTTAGAGAATCAATATAGATAGTCTGATAAAAGTTTCATCTCCATCAGATCTCAAAAATTAATTTAAGATTGATATTTCTTCATCAATATAAATAAAGCTAATCACTTATAATATCAAGTTGATAAGAATATTTCTAAGACTCGACCAAGAAATATATTTTAGGAGAAGCCTTGTGTTTATCTCTAAAGGAGAAATATTTTGATTATACTTAGATGTGATAATCATCATTACGAGAAGTAATTAAGGTAAATGAAAAACATGGTTCTAAACTCATTAAAAAAAATTTTAGGTATTTCAATATCTTCATTACTTGCATTTAAGTTGCTAAGTGTATAGAAAATGTTATTTAGAAGCCATCAATTTGTCGTTATAGGCATGTTCTATTCTGTATGATGAATTTCATCTTCACATTATGCTTTATCTCTCTAAAAGGTACGCTGTTCATTGATAGCTCGGATAGTAAATGTGAAACAAATAAGTATTCTTATCATCAGTATGTATGGTCTTTGCTTCTTTTAACCATCATTAATTATAGTAAAATTAGTAGATTTTGATGATGTAATATTAACGTGAGTTCATTAATTGTGATAATTATTGGACACGTGCTCAACATATGTTGTACATTTATTTAATCATTTTACATATTATTCAAATTCATTATCAATGATAATCGTTACGTATTTAAACCTAATGTTTTCCATTAGACACATTCTACAAACAGGTAAACGTATTGAGCTCCTGTGGCCAATGGGGTCCCTACTGTGTCCAATATTTCGACTATATGGTTTTAAAAGCTATTAGCTCCAAGGGTCAGCTTCAATAGGATTCAAACTGAAGTCTATTATATCCTTCAACTACTTAAAACTGATTGTTGTCGCTAGTTCAAGTGTTTTGGATTTTTCTTTAAGAATTTGCACAAACTTTTAAGATTTTAGGATTTCATAAATAGTATTTATTATTTGAACATAAAAAATAGATATATTTAGAAGCAGATATTGAAGATTTAAAATTGTGCATTGTAATTGTTGTTTTATCAGTCAAGTACTGTGGCCTTCAAGTTAAATAAGGTAATTAGACAATAAATTTTTGTCTGGGTGATATTGTTGATGTGAGCTCGAGTTGAAAGAAGGCATATAGGAAATAGCAATTGAATAAAAAGGAAGAAAAATAGAGAACAATAGTTGATAGAATGTTATCATCTTGACCTCGCGTTCTGAAAATTAAGACGGAAAATTGTCCACTCGGGTGATCATTATGACGGTGTATTGTATGTCAAAGACATTATGGCTGACGAGTGCGATAAGTCTATAATTTTTAATTTGTTATGAAAGCATTTATTTTTGTTTCTTACCCATTTTTCGATCATCAGTTATTAATTAGAGTAATCATTAGCTGATTATTGGAATTTAGATAAAATTTTTGTCCAAAAACAACTATTATTTCATGATGAATTAATTGTTACTTTAAAAGATTGAATCATCAAAATGATTTTTTATTTAATCTATCAAATGAACGTAAGCTAAAGATTATATATCTTTTATTGAGTAAAAAAATTTTTTCTGTGATGCTGTAGTGTCAATAAGCTCTTAAGAATATAGTATGGAAGAACTGATAAGTAAGGTGTGATTAGATCGTTTTTATTTGCTTCAACTTGAAACTGTCCTCACCCATGTTTGATGAATGATGTCATGGCATTGGTCCATCCGGTTTTCTATACTTCTCTTTTATTTCTTCCTCATGGTCCAAGAAATTTTTTCTTTTCTCTCCTGATAATGATAATAAATCCCTCAAGATCTTTCGTGATATCTTATCCGAGTAAAGCTTTAACTCTTCTTTAGCTCATAAAATTTTTGAAAGATTTCGGATTGATATTGAATAAATAGAACGAGCATCAAGTCAAATAAAAAGATTACTGCT